GGTATGATACTATTTGAGTGATATCAGCAAACATTACATATTCGCTAAAGGGGGTTGGTTGAGGTGTGTCTGAAGTATAAATTGTATATAATGTTGGAGAAAGGCATCCAACTTGAGGTACTCCACTCTCAAAATTAAACATAGTTCCCATAAAGTTTCCAATTTGAATTTGTGCTCTCCTATTATCTAATTAGTCACACAATATTCTTAGCAAGTGTTCGTTAAGTCCCAATTTTAATAATTTATATTTTAAGCCCAGATGCCAAATTTTATCAAAAGCCTTAGAGACGTCCCTTAAAATTATATTGATCTGGTTCCCCTTGCCTTTTTCTATTGCTATTTTTCCTTTATTGTAGCTATTGTAGTTAGGGTAATTCTGTTGGGCATATATCCATGTTGTCTGTTGTTTGTTTTCCCCTGTCTTGAATTTAAGAATTTTTCCAGTAGTTTCCTTATTCACAAGGAGGTGGTCCTATCTTTTTGGTTTAATTGAAATATTGAAGCTTGACTTGAAGGTACAGTATTTTTTGGCTATACAGTTATTTTTGTTTTTGTATTGAATTTGATAATTTTTAGATGTATTTTGGTATTGGTGGTGGATTGTTGACTCTTATTCTGCTTAATCTGAACCAAGCGTGTTCTCTTGCTCTTCTCTTTGGGTCGATCGATCGATGGGTGAAGTAAAGTATGAAGAAATCTTGATGCTGGTGCTTAGATTGGTGGTGCGGGAACTGGACTTGAAGAATAATGGTAGAATTTGGAGGGACTTGGGGTTGGTGGATAGTGCAACCCAAGTGCTTCTGTTTTCTTATGTTTGTGTGTTTCAGCTATTTTCGTCTTAGGTATTATATTTATGTCAGGTGTTTGTGTGTTTAGCAAATATTGCAATTTTATGCCTTACATTTTCGGGTCTTATGTCCTAGCCAATGGTGAGGAGTCTAGGGCAGGTACTTGTGTTTCTGCTAAGAACATCCCGTCTTTTTATGATCTAATGTTGCAAGTGGTAGGGCTGCCAAGGTTGTCACTGGGGTAACGTTGCATCTTTCAATAGAATGGAGTTGGTGTGGGTTCTAGGGCTCTTCTTTTACTGCGAGGGAACCATGAGTGTTCTCTTCTTCCGTCTTCTGTCTCTTCCATCCATTCAATGATTGGTCCTGGCTCTATTTCTTCTAACTTTGTCCATATTCTTTTTGAGTGTTGGTGTAGGTAAACGTTTAGGGGTTCTATTTGCGCTCGTTGGTGTAGTTGACGGTTGGTGACTATGTCAGGATATCTGATGTTATATACATCCCTTAGGGCTAAGTTTTGAATTGTCTGCAGTTTCTTTATGTTTGTTTTGTTGCATGTAGGGGAATTGGTGGATATACTAGTCGGGATTGGACAAAGGCTCTATATAACTTTTACTTGTTTTTTGCTGACAGGCTTCTGAAGCGTTTTAATTTAATTACCATGTTTCTGGTTTGGACTTCGGACTTTGCGAGGCAGGGAGTATTTATACAATCCTGCCTACTAAAGATTCGAGTTGCGAGATGAAAGGCACCGCTGATTGGCTGAGGAGAGGGCAGCAGCTGGCCAATCTGCGAGCGACTGGGGGGCAGCAGTTGTGGTCTGTAACTCGCTGCTGATTGGCTGAGGAGAGGGCGGCAGGTGGCCATTCGGCGAGCGATTCAGGGGCGGAGGCTGTGGTATGGAACTCCCTGCTGATTGGCTGAGGCGAGGACGGAAGAGCAGCTGTAGGGGAGAATATCCATACAATATTATTGTTAAATATACGTTATCTGCTATTGTAACATACGAGAGGACGCTGACTGTTTTAACCAGACAATAATGAGAAATGTTTTCTTCAAACCACGGGTAATGTAGACCACCTCTCTGTATACTGTAGAAGAATTGGTGTTGTGGACTTTGAATTATTGAGTTGTGGTAGAAGAGTTATATAGTGTGTCGCCACACGGGAGAGCTGGTTTACTGAGCTTCAACTTCTCGGCTTCCTAGCGGCCTCATCCATTGACACATCCTCGCTGGTGTTCATAAGGGCGTTGTATAGCTAGCTGCTTACGTTCACACTAAACGACGGTATCTATCTCCTCAGCTACAGTACTTCCGCGCTTGAGAGGCTAAAGACCTCCCTCTCTCATCTCTCCCTGTCATCCAACACACTTTCTCTACCGTCGCCGGACATTTAGGAAGTGTTTCCCGTGACACTGTCGATCGCATTGACAAAGAAACAACCAACGAAGAAGACACAAGCTACCCGCGATCTCTCCCTCAACCATCTACAGTCACTAGACAGATCATAAACCCCGGGGCAGAAGCACACAGCACCATTGTGACGCAGTTGCAGATGAGGCCAGTCGCCCCCTAAAGAACATATCCCGTCGGCTGGGAGCACATGGACAACCCGGACCCTGGTACATGTAAACTGTGTGGGCGACCCCGACTCCTATACTCCCTCACTACATCCTGGCATGAAACGAAATCTCCTCCTACAAGTCCTCATGCAGTCGTCACCACCACGTCGTCTCTTCCTAGTCAGGTATCCTTCCCTCTACAGACGCCTGACACTTGGCATTATTAGGGACCTGCCACTCTGTGTTGTAAATAGAGGAATCCCTAAGGTTGCGATGTTCTTTGTCAGGTCCCAGAATTATTTATATAGGAGCAGAAAGTGACCCTGTATGACCTTTCTGGAGTCATCAGAACAGTATGTTTGTTATATTTTATGTTAAACTACTTGGTGTACCCAGCGTTGTTCGGGTTTATTTCTGACACCTTTAAATACGTAATCATAAAAAAAATCAGCTCTTTCTTCAAAAGTGCAGCCGTGTATAGTGAAGATACTCGGAAACAAACAGACATTGTGTTTTGTAAGTATAGATTGATGTTCGCGCGTCGAGACAAAAGTTTTATGTGTAATAATTAATTTTGTATTTTTTTTAATAAAGGAAAAGTTACATGAATATAATAGGGAATATCGGTGTGAAGCTGAACAGACCCACTGTTAATTAGTGTTATCCACCACAGTGTTGGTATTGTCCTCTGCTACAAGAGCTGGCTTGTGCCTGACGGTGAATCTGACAGTGGCCGGCTAGACGGTACCATGGGACCATAGGCGGTACCACACCACAGCCTCTCTACCCCGACCACACGGCCAGACGATATATATATATATATATATATGTGTGTGTGTGTGTGTGTGTGTGTGTGTGTTGGACTCAGAAAACGAAAGGCGACCACAACGCGTTGTGGTTGTTTGGAAAATAACCGGAAGTGAGATTTTGCTATAGGTTAGGTTAGTTTGGATTGGGTTAGGTTAGGGTAAAATCCAAGATGCAAAATTTCGCTTTCTGGTTATTTTGAAAACAACAACAACGCGTTGTGGTCGCTTTTCGTTTTCTGACCCAATATATATATATATATATATATATATATATATATATATATATATATATATATATATATATATATAACAGTTGAGAATTGCGTTATAAGATAAGCCTAGCCTACGAGGGTCAATTGTTCCCGATTATCTCTGGTTGGTCCTATACAGTCTCCCACTCTAATGACACACAATTCTACGACCACCTTCTAACGCGACCATCGACCCGTATAATGAGGCACAATCCTCTGGCAGCAGTTAGTGAGCGACCCACCCATGTTATTAGTGAGACCTGCGGAGTATGGGAGACGAGGTAATGGTGAACTCTTTTCATTTGGGCAACTTTCATGCCCCAGCACGCTACACCACGTGAGAAATAGGTCAAGCTGAATTATTCAGAAGTAGAATTCACCGATATTTTTTTTCGGAAATGCCTAGTTATTTCTGATCTCGCAGTGTGACACGAGGCAAACACTCATATCACAAATAGAAAATTAAAATAAACATTGTCAGCAAAACTATGCAGAGTACCTTTAAGCAACTGTCTCCCGCAGTTTCAATAATGAGTTGTATCACTAATTACTTAATTATTGTGTAAATTGATTTGAAAGGACCCTGTAACATCAACATAAGAATTGGCTACAGAATTAAATGTATATCTTATTTTTTTTTAAGTATAGAAGCTAGGCGCAAGAAATGCCTGTATTGAAGTTCCAAATCAGTGGTATTAAGTGCTTCTAATTGTAACTACATGAAGAAATCAATTAAATAAACAATGGTAGTTACAGATCTAACTTTACACATTGAATTATAAAACTATAAATTTATGAAAAGTTGACGAACATTTCCAGAAACATCACAGTCATAGAATGTTCAGGAACATAATTGTAGAAAATGTAGTTCCGTTTTGGGCTATACTAGTTTAGGTCGCCAGAAATTATAATTTCAATTGAAACATTAGGGGTATAATTGTAATAGTGATGTCGTTGAAGTTTTAGATTTTTAGAAGGTAAATTTAATTGTAGTTGAAATTTGGGAAAAATTATTGAACGGTACTTGTAATTTTAATTTATTCTTAAAAATGTACTGTAATATACAACCCTGATCCAGTCTTATGATCAGTTATAGAACGTTTATGAATGAAATTGTAGAAAATGAAGTTTTGGGTATCGCCATTCAGGTCGACAGTAATTGTAAGGAGAACTTAATTTGAAATTTAGGAGAGGAATTGTACGGTAAGTCGGTAAGTATAATGCAAAATAACTTTTGAATGAATTTAATTGAAACCTGTGAAAAGTAACTATTTTTAATTGTAATTGAACCGAAACAAGTTAATTGATTCAACACTGCTTCTATGTGTATTAATTTATATACAAAATAGCATTTACCATTTTACATGAGTATCGTTATTGAACCGAGAATGTTTTAACTAAGGGTTATATAAAATATATATATCTTTTTTATATCACATTAATCAAAAACAAATATTTTATTAAATAAATAATAATAAAACTTTTAGTTAATAACATATAATTGAAAAGTTTCTAACAATACGTACATAATAATACTTAAAGTTGGAAATGATCGTATTAATATGATACGTATTTATCTATCAGCTGCGGGAAGACATTGTTTACAGGAGGACGTGAAGAGACTCGGTTCACAAAGGATAATATAAGTTATTTAATTATTATCTAATTATGCCAGTGGGAGCTGATGGATTTCGTCTTCCCAATGTTAATGAAAGTATTGCGAAGAATAAGTTAGAATGGGTAAGTAGATAAGAGGCCATATTGGATATAAATCTTACTGATGCCTGATACATTAATTATCTAAGGCAAATGATGAGATGTATTTGCTGTTTGTATTTTTACTCATTAAATTCACACAGATCAACATTAATAGATGGCAAGAACTAAACTAACAGTCCAATTTAATTAATCTAATATTGCAAAAATAATATCTCGGTTATCCTTAATTTCTAGCGGAAATATAGAAGAAAAATGTCTTAGAATTGTTTAAGCATTACGAAATACATATTAATATTAGCGAAAAAAAGAACGGTGTAAGACTATAAATTCACCTTCGAATCCAAGTAATGTTTTATTGTTCTTAAGTACTTGAATGGAAATCTTGTATTTTACCAGTACAGTACTTGGCAACAGTACATGATAGAGACAAGCTGCTAATAGACTGACAAGTGGCAAAGAGGATAAAGTATAAGTTAACAGGTGTCAAATTGGTAATACGCACCATTATTTATATCCGGCTGGGATGTTGCAGCTGTTACCGGGTACTTTCAGGATTGAATTTTTTTGGTAAACAATAAATACTTGCCAACACCTATTAGGCTGTTGTTGAGATAATGAAAAAAGTGGAAGGTCAAAAATGCAGAAACCTGAAAAAAAATTCACCTAATCTAACTTAACCTAACCCAACCCTAACCCCTAGTGCAGGGGTCACCAAACTTTTTTCACAGTGGGCCGGATAACTGAAAGAATGACGAGCGCAGGCCGCATAATCATTCTGTTCAATACTTGCAAGCCAGAACGAAAGCTCTGGTAACGTCAGAGCGTAGGCGGAGCCACCACGAGCCGGGGAAGGACTTGGGATCCGGCCCGCGGGCCGTAGTTTGGTGACCCCTGCCCTAGTGTGTAAAAAACTTACCTTAAGTAAGAGATACAGGAGGATAGAGTGATGCGACTTGAATGAGGAAGTGGTGTCTTCAACAGTGTCCATCTCTTACCACAGTACCATGCAGGGATATCTTCACGGTACTGACGCTATGAATTACACCTCAGACACTATACAGATGAAACAAGAACATTGTGAGCCCTACAGATGTCAACGGCTGCTGCTTCATTGTCTAAAACGTTCTGAATAATGCACCGGACGGCCAATATTCACACACAAAAAAAGGTATCGTGCAGGGTGGGGGGGGGGTCTGCTGACTTCCATAATGATCCATACATCACCTGATGTGCCGGGAGGGTTGGTATGCGTGCCTGTATGGCAAAGGTTTCCACCTACTTATGGTAGGGCAACAGATATGTGAGGACACCCTCAGGCAAGGAAAGCAGGACTGCCACCATAATACAGGACCAACACGCATATTCCACTATCCTTCGTCCGTGGTGTCATATTGTTTCGCACATAATCCGTGCGGTACTTTTTTTTACTGTGTGTACATCCTTCTCCCTCAGACTCCATCTTCCACTGCCCGCAAATTGCTTGTGCTGATTGGCATACGGGTATTTCGTCACATCGGCACTCACACTGATTGGTGCATATGACTATGACGTCACATTAACACTCATGCTGATTGGCCAAATATTATAAACTAAAAGTTAACATAACTCTAAAACTATAAATTTCGGACAGAAATATTATAGAATAAATTTTAATTATTTTATTCTCTTTCTACCTATATATGACTCAATATTCAGTAAGGTGTTGGCAACTAATAAATATTAATCCCTTTTTAATAGATAACTATTATATTAGGTTAGGTTCAGTTAGGTTAAGGTAGTCATGTATATTAATATGTGTACCTGTATCAGCATCTGATACTTTGGAAAGTTCCCATTCTCACTAAATGTCAACAATAGTGCTAATGCTTTACACCTATTAAACACAAGATAACCTCGGTTAGGTAGGTAAGCCAGGTCTATTTTATGAACAAATATTTTTAGACCTAGGCAACTGATTCCATCTTCTACCAAAAACTCTTGGCAACTGTTAACATTTCAGAAGTACCAGGTATATATACATACTGTACCTCTATATAACTGTATAATTTATATTTCATAAAATAAACCAAACTAACCTATCTAACCTAACCTAAAATTATAGTTATCATCTATTATCATCTCCCAAAAAGGAAAATCCTTTTTATGAAAGGAAGCAAAGAACCTGTCCTCAATTGAAAACTCCCATTCACATGATTTAACTCCTGCCTGTTAAGTACAAGATTACCTGCTGTTTTATAGAAAAAGGGAGAATACTCTAAAACATTCCCATAAGGACTGGCAACTTCACAAAATATTTTCTAGAGAAAACTTGGGTAACAATGAAGGCCAGTTGTGTGCTTAAACTTGCTACTTGAGGACAAATGCTTTCTCACCTCATGAGAAGGCCAAAAAATTGACAAGGAAATTGTGTTTTGTAATAGTTAAACTTTTAATTTTTTTTCATCCTGAACACTAATTTATGGCAAAGAGATTATAAGCTTTGATTCCACTGGTTGGTTTCATTGACAAAAATTATTGGTAATATTTTGGAACGCTGATGCTTGATAACTAGAAAATTTAGGAAAATAGATGAAAACTTTTCTTACACCTAGAAGAACTGGAAAAAATGGAGGAATTGCAATTTTTTTTTTCTATTTATCATGAACATGAAACTATGTTGTTGTACTAACTTCTGGTGATGCCAATATGACTAGTTAATGTTGCAGTTTATTATAGAATGGAAATACTGTACTTGATATTATTTTAGGTGAAGTTTGGTAGGTTTATTTATGTCAGGTTATATAAGATAGGTTAGACAAGGTTTGGAAATTTAATTGGAAAGGGTTCAGTTGCATACAGTTTATATTTATATGACAAACCGGAACATAAATTTTTTGGTTATTGTTGATCTTTCTGCAAGACAAGGAATTGTAATACTTTTTGATAGAAATCATAAATTACTGGACCTGCATTGTACAGTAAAATTAAATTTACAGAATATCACTCACAAATAATTGGTAATATTATTTTGTCACTGAGAGATAATGTTTTTTATTTCAGTTGACTGGACCTGGACAGAATGAATGTTGCCGGACTTTTGTAATAAATGAGGAAGACCACACACTAGGGAATGCCCTTAAACATGTCATTATACAAAAGTAAGTAAGACTATGAATATCTTGTATAATTATTCTACAGTCGGTTCATGTACAAAAATGAAAGTAAATTTATAAAAAAATTATGATAACGGATTTCACTGCTTGGGCAGGAGGTGAGTTTCTGTAAGGTGTACTTTTAAAATTAGATTAGAATTGCACTGAGACTATGCATTAATATCAGTTTGGGAACAAAGTTGACACATGTATTTGATTTGAACTTAATATGAAAAAAATAAATCGTAATGAACAGAATATCATCTTAAAACAAAAGATTGGCATAAATTACTGAATTTTAATTAATTTTGTAATGAGCCATTGACTACCATCTCCCTGGCATAGCATTGCTAGTTGAGTACTGGTAACACTTACGGTAATTACCATCATGCAGCCAACCAGGACATGGGATGCACTATACACCTCCTTGGGTCAGTCAGTGATTTGATTACTGGCCTGAGCCTCCTGCCATATACAGTACATCAACATAACAATATTTTGTACTCTACATTATTCCTGGTTTTGACAACTGTCAGTTGAGTTAATCCCAAGGAAAATGTGTTTCTCAGTCTAGTATGATTGTTTCTCTTAGTAGTGTGGAGTTATAGGAGATCAGGTGGACATAAGCTAAGGCTGTGTCACTCTCCTAGGATGGGATTTAAGGCCACTTATCCCTTTCTCTTGGAATATTACATTGATTTTTCTTGACTTTGTTTGTTTGGACAGTTGCCACTGTCTTACAGTTAGTTTCCATGTCATGGATGTGTACAGGACTGCAGGAATTTTTCTGTGATTCTTTTGAGGTTCTACTTAAGGTAGCTCTCAGTTAGGTTCATCAAGGTCATGATAAATCACCTGAAACTGAAAATCAAACTGATGGATTGAGTGGAAGTTAAGTGGTAGGACCAAAGTTTTGGTGTTGTGGATACTGGCTGGACAGACTCTCTCCCTCTCATGGGCAACCTTTGTACATGATCTTCACTTGGCGGCAATGGATGGGATTTATGAGGAAAAGCAATTGAATTACCTGAAATAGATTAACAATTGGCCTCACTGCCATATGATATAAGGGCTATTTTCATAATTGTTTAAGTAATAATGAAAATGTGCTAAAATATGTATTGGTACAGTACTGTATATATTTTCTTTTACTATCAGTATGCTTACATATTCAATGTTGGTTTTACCAGCATGAATCAGTACAAAGAATATACAGGTACAGTATTGTAAATTAATGTAAAATTGAAGTATAGTACAATCTTATGAAGAAGCACAACCACAGTATCATAGAAGTAAGAGTTGAGTTCCCCTGCTGTAAGTAACATTTTCTTTGAGTACCATTCTGAATCATATTCTCTGTGTTGTGCCTACAAAGTATTATATCTGCATTCTGTGTTTTGAATGCTGCTTGTATATTTCTAAGATATTGTGTAATTTTTAATTATTAACTAATAGTACACGTACATGTTACAGTGAACTCACATTTATACACATTTACTATTGAATCGAGGGTATGGTGGACAAGTGGATACAATAGTATTTACCTCTTGTTTTGGGGTAGCTTATTTGTATAAATTCACCAAGTTATAAATGGTTATCTAACTTTACAATTGGGGAATTGAAGGTGGTGGAGTGCAGTACCAGTCTCACTGTCTCTAATGGGCCATGAGATCAATGGAACTCATTTTCACTCTTTGGTATTTAATTTTTATTAATATTGGGAACCATATACTGTTCAGTACTATTATTCACCATGCACTGTACAGTATATTGTCTTCATAGTAAAATTTCAGAATAATGGATTGAGTTTTATGATGCCATTTCAGAGTTAGATTTGTGAAGTACATATATACTGTTCATGTGTATATTATATGTTTTTCTTGCAGTCCTGCTGTTGAATTTTGTGGATACACCATCCCTCATCCAATGGAACGCAAAATACACGTTCGAATACAAACAAATAAAACTCCAGCTGTACAAGTCCTACATGAAGCACTGAAAGTTCTCAAAGAGCAGAATGAAGTTGTTAAAAAAATGATTCAGGTATACTGTACTTAAACTACTTATGGGTAAACATGTACAGTCAAGAACAGAAGTCCTGTTGCCTCTTCTGCTGCTCCATGAACCCCGAGATTCAGACTCATGAACCCGAAGCAGTAGACACTGATGCTTTATTCTGTCCGTAAATTCTTTGTACCTATTCACAAGTCTGAATTTCGGGATTTGTTTGCGACTGTACATGCTGTGTGTATACATATACAACATGGTATATGTTTATATTTTATTTAGTGCATCAGAGCCTTGCCAACTAGTAACTTCAGTACCATAATTATATCTACCCTTTTCACCTTTAACACTTTCTTCCAGATTCATTGCCCTTCCGGTACATTTATATCTATTACTCTTGCCAGTGATCAGCCTTGCTTAACCACCTTTCCTCCTTATTTCTCGGACACAGGAAACATCGCGCTTTCTAGGGTTTAGTGTATCAAGTCAATTAATGGCTATTGCACGATCATTGAAATTAAACATTATAATATCTAACAATAGGATGCTGTACTTTACTTTGTATTAAATTACCGGTAAAATAATGAATCAAGCTAATATGACAATAAATGTTGCATCACAAACGATCCCATAACTTGGAGGATAAAGCAGCCTGGCATTCCAATTACTGTTCAAATACTGTACCATATCTTAAGAATGTGTTTTGGACCCAAAGATAAAATACATTTTATTTGTAATGTAAAAAAGAAGAAAATTTAGAGACAGAAGGACTATATTAATTGACAGAACTTTGTTCTGCTGGAGTTTTCAAAGTCAATGACAGACATTGCCAAAACATTAGAGTTTGGTAATGTTTGAAATGGAAGACAAACATGTGAATAAAAAATTTTCCATGTATATAAGTGTATAACAAAATATTATATTTTTGAAATCCTTTTACTTGTTTCTCAGGATGAAGTAAAACGGTACGAGGAGACTCATCTCCCACAAGAGTCAGAGGAGATGGTGTCCCAGTAATATCGGAGGATGTACTCGTGAGAATTTTTATATTGCCTTTGCATTTGCCTAATGATTTACACTTTTGAAAGATGAAATATACACAGGTATTCAATAAAATTGTGTTAGAAAAATGGTTTTCAATATGCATTCATGTAATTAATTTTTTAACAGCTTTTTATTTCATAGAACTGATTTTTTCTTAGTTGTTTTATACCTTCCTGTCATATATGGGTTGTATGGTATAAAAATATTTTTTTAGATAAAAAAGTTCCAGTGGAGCTTGATGAGCTTTACTGACACACCAGCATGTGCATACTGCCACTGTTGTATAACCTGGTTACTGGTCATTACTTCCTGGGTCAGACACCTGTTCACCACCTACCAGTTGATGTCTGGCCAGGATCTACCGTATTTACCAGTGTATAAGACGTTTTTTTTTTTTTTGTATCTCAAATTACCCTGCATCTAATGTGCCCGTACTGTATTACAGATGGGAGGCCGAGTGCTATAGGTGGAGATGCCTAGTAGCTAGGGAGTCTGGGACAAGCAGTAGTCCACTAACCACAAAAATTTTGTTACTTATAATATTACTACTAATAAAATACTGAATAATGAGCCAAATTATCACAATCTATTACAGAATCACAAACTTACGGCAAATTTCCGAAGACGTAAATAATGACTTACGTTGGCCTAACGGCAGAGGGAAGCTCACAACATCTCACTGTACCTCCTTCCCCAGCATATGTAACCCACACCAGATACAGGTCTTACATTATTTAAGGACTGTATTACCTTTAAGAAACATTTGTTTATTATCTAAATGAAAAATGTCCCAAGAAAGATTAAAGAAATGTTAACAGAAAGTTCAGCAGCCAGTCAGCCATTTGCAATGAGTCGATGACGCCAAAAAAAGAGCAAAGGTGCTACACACTGGTGGCAGATCGCGGCAACACAAAACATCACAGCCAAAAATACGAGTTTCACATCCTGTCGGTAATTCTCTTGACCAAAATATAAACAAGCCACACAGCTGCTCTGATCAGAGGTAGAGTTGGGTTAGTATAATGTTACTATATTTATGATTTCCTACTTGATTCCAGTATACTGTATATTGTATTTATTCACAAAATCATATGTTTTCCCTTACAAAACCACTTTAAAATCACTTTCAATAATTGTATGACAAAAAGTACTAAAAAAAATTTTCCCCAAATAACTTTGTAAAATAGGGGTGCATCTTTTATTTCGGAAAATACGGTAAGTGCAATCCCTTATCTTTTCCGTACTGTCTCCCCGTGATTAGATCATGTACAGTGTAATGGGTTTGTCATACCCATATTGTACTGTTTTTGTTCTGTGGCAAAATGGATTGATATAGAGGAAGAGATTATTTATACAACACTTAATCCTGTGGAAGACATATTTAATAAAAGAACTACAGCAAGTTATTACACAATTAATATCTTTACCAAACTTATATTCTACTGGACAAGGCAGTTGATACTAGTGTTATGAGGTCAAATTTTGCACTTGACTAGTTCCTAACAATTTTCATGTAATGTAGTATGGTTGTGAACACAGGTTCTGTACTGGTAGTGTATGTTTGAGTGAAGAATATGTTCAGTAGTACAGTGTATATATATATATATATATATATATATATATATATATATATATATATATATATATATATATATATATATATATATATATATATATATATATATATACCTATGGTATGTATATTTTACTCTTTTTTTTGTGAAATAACTTACAAACAGACAACCTAAACTAACCTAACTTTATGGTTAGGTTAAGTGAGAGGTTATGATGGCTCGTGTAGATTGATAGTGTGTTTTTTTTTTTAAACTTTGGTTAGCTTGTTTGTAAGTTATTTCACAAAAAAAAAATATACACAGGATTTTTTGGCCTGAATGGAGTTTTTCAGTTGGTGGTGATGTACTGTACGAAAGCCAACAATTGGCTTTTTGCAATCTGATTGATAGTTGTAAAACATGAACTAACTAACATAGTAAGAAATGACACAGGAGACATTACTGTACTTAAGAGTTTGAGCATTCACTCAGACATTCAACACAGTGAATGATCAAGCTCAAAGTATGTGTCTCCTCCGTCATTTGTTGTTATGTTAGTCAGTTCATGTTTTACAACTGTTAATTCAGATTGCAAAATGTCATTCATTGACCTTCATACGTCACCACCAACTGAAAATTGTCTATTCGGGCAAAAAAAATGCTGTATATATTAAGAGGATTAGAATGGTGTGTGCATGTGGATAATATATGGTGTATTTAACAGACTATGTGGAGAGGAAATTCCATTATATCTAAGTTATGTTAGATGTAAAACCTCCAGCTAACAAACTACTGTATGTAAAGATGAAAGGCCATTATATCGAGGGTCCGTTAGATGTGAAATCCCCCATCTCACGGATTATATGGAGAGATGAGTTGGTTATATGGAGGTTTTCACTGTATGAGGGGGAATATAAGGAGTGGCGTAATTGGTTGCTATGGCAGATTCGGTTCACGATATTTATCATGCTCTCAAAGATTCTTATTCTGTACACAAATACAGGACAGTTGTTTGCTTCTATTTTTGGATTCATAGTGGTTGCCAAGCTCCACTGTGCTGCGAATGGCGCCTTATCACACATGGAGATAATCATCATCTTCCCACAGGGTCTCATCCTCCACATGGTAAAGGTCCAGGGGCTCAGACTGAGATGAAACAAGTTGGTTATTAGCTGTGGTACTGTAAATGATATTCAGATTACAGGTATCATCCTCAGGTAGCTTCTAATCTAGTTATTAACATATTCTCTATAAAGTGGTCTCAAATGCTCAAAGATTTGACCATGTGTAAAATATCCTCTCTCATACATTCTTAGCTTTGTGGCTTCCCTTGGCTGTAGCATTATGATACAACATTTGGGTATACTGTACTGTAAAAGTAGTTTTAATTTTTATGCAATATGCTTGTTTGCTTGGAAGTCTTAATATGAATTTTATATAATTAACCCCTCTGTTTTATTGTTTTATGTAGAGTAGATCAAGTACATAAAACTTTGGTGATAATGATCAACATAGTGACACACCTAGCCAGGTTTGGGCACACAGCAGAAGGGAACTTGCATATTTTTAACTATGAGTGACTATTTTACAACCAGACCAAGTTAGTCTAAGGGACAAAAACCCAGATTAATAACCCCTTACAAAAGTGACTGAGGGTCATTCAAAAACTTTCTCATTAACTTCTTTTTTTAAAAACTAATTGGCATGGAATGTGATACAGTTCTTATCATTATAGTATTTGTAGATATATGAACCTATAATACTTAAGGAATTAACCCTTTGGGGGTATTGATGACAAATTGTAGTCATAATCACTGGCCAGACATACTGTATATTGCAAGCTAGAAAAAATAAAATAATTTGTAACTTATCAATTTACAGAAAATAAAATAACAAATCCAAGGAGAGAGAAAAAAAAGCTGTAACTCGTACAGTAAAATTCATTTATGTCGGATTTACCATTACAATAAGTCTGAATTAGTCTGAGTCGCTGGCGCATACAGTATGCCGAGTTGTAACCAGCTGCGAGGTGTACCGGTCAAAGCGCAGTGCCTCTCTCTACCAACCAAGGCTCCAGCAATCATATGGGAAAGGGTACGTGCCCTGGAGTGTTCAGTTATTATTATTTCATTTAATGTAGCATATAAATTTCATTTTTAAGGGTTTGGGGAAGTTTTTAGACAACATTTTTGACATTAAGGAGAACCAATTAAGGTTATTGCCCTTAAGTCAGAATTTTGGTTAAGAAGGACTGGCTTAATCCCTATATAGTTCAACTTAGGGAATTTTACACTTTTGGTTTAGAAGGACTGGCTTAATCCCAATAGTTCAACTTAGGGAAGTTTTACTGTACGTATAACACAAACTATTGCAATATAAGTCGTGGCACACTGGGTCCTCCATCACACAACTGTGTGTGGGATATGTCCTCAGCGTTAATTTTACCACACAAAATTATTCAAATTGCAGTACAACATCAGAGAATTAACTACTTGGTGTAAAGGACTCCTTATTATGAATGGGTTACGTTTGTGAAAAATCTTGACAGGTGAACATCTGAAGATGTGACGCAAGTTTTTCTAAAATGTAGCTACATAGGCTGTAGAGTTCACCCCCCCACCTCCCCTCCCCATAATTTCAGGGTTTTCATTTGTACAGCAAAGTACTGGATGGGAAAAATAAACTAAACATTTCTGAAGAGGCTAACTTAAATTGGGGTCAGCCTGCATACTGGTAATAAATATAGACATTATTGTGGCAATAACTCGAGAAGTGTATACACAAAATATCACTTTCTCTTTTGAAATGCCAGATCAAATTATGTACTGTATATGGACTTTGAAGAAAAAATTTTCTTGAAAAGATTTGAGCAAATCATTCCACCTTGTTCTGTCTTGCAAAGTGATCCCCCACACTTAAAATGATTTAGGAATTATGAGTATGTTATGCAAGTGAGTCTTGGTACTATGGTAATATTGTACCTGTAACAAGATGGTTGAGTGGCCATTGCCACCCATGCAATATTGGGAAACAATCTACACATGAATTATAGTACGAGTATATTCATTTACTGTCAACACACCTGAAGTGGATCCATATTTTTATTTAGCTCGAAGATCCTGGCAACTTGTTCAGGGACGGTGTTGTTGGAAGGTTGTGGCGGAGCATTTTGGTACACGTGAACATCCCACTCTGGGTCTGGATTTTCCATTGCCTTTGCTTCACGCTCACCCTGTTCAACATAGCAGAGTAAACAAAGGTTATGTATGTATCAATGTAGTTTAACCTTCAACTCTTATTTTAATAGTATATGTTGGCCGTAGGTTGAGTGTTATACTGTACTTTTTCTGAGAATGAGCTGATATTGTGTGTAAGTATCTCTGGAAACCAGTTAAGTACTGTATAATTATGCTCGTAGAACAATACTGTATGTGTGTTTACTTACCAAGGGAAGGCACTGGTGACGTTGACAGTAGAACTGTTTTCCAGCTTCTACATGGCAGGGAGTGCCATCAGGGAAGTAGGTATCAAAATGTGGCAAGTAGCTGAGATCAGTTCGAGGAGAATACCATGTTCCTGAAGCTCGCTGACAGAAGATGGCACATGCCTGCCACTGACGAGCTAAAAGGAAAGAATATGCAATGGAGCTACTTTTACAGCACAACATTTTCAGGCTTTTAATCAGAATAACATTCAATGATAAGAGAATTAATTTAGTTTGCATTTTTATTGCATACACCCAAAAAGACATAGTTTTCATAATAGTGCTTGTCTTGTTTGGCAGCAGGGCTCAATTGTGTAATCTACCGGGTATTTACACAACTCAATTTCCACACTCATTGTCTTCAGATGAAGGCAGTCATTATAAAGATTTCCCAAGAGGAAAGAAGCACTCTAAAGCAGAGTCTGTTCAACCAGCACTCATTAATACCTTGGCTACAATCCTCCACTCTATTTCCAGTCAACATGTCATTTTGCAATTTAATTCTTGCTGTCCATCGGTGAGAGTAGATACTCCAGACCAGCTTTGCCCCAGTCTGTCAAACCTCATGTGACACTTCGAAGTTAGATGGTTAGAAATTATGGATAGGTTGAGTCAGTTGGACTTAATCTCCTCTGTTAGGCAGTAATCTGGGGAACCCCTTCAATCTTAGTACTATCAGCATATAAAATGTGTGTCTTCAATTCTTTGCATACCCTGGGGGACATAGGTTTTGTTATTGCACACAAAAACTGCACTTATTGATTTAAATAAGCCAGTGACTTGGAAAATCTTGCCTATGCTTACTAATAAACCTTTTAAGCATTGTTTGGTGAATTTTTTGGGCCTCTGGGCCCTAACCCCTTATTTTACATTGGTTTACATTTGTTTTGTTTTTTTCTGTAAATGTTCTTGATTCCTATCACGGAATATATACAGCTCCTCCCCGACTTACGACGGGGTTAGGGACCCAAATGCGGGTCGTAAGTCGAAAATGCTTAAATAATACTTAGAAAATTCCCCATCCCCTGAAATTAACTTTTTTTATGAGTGGAACACAGGCATGCATACCTGTATTGACAAAAGGAGTGAAAATAAATAGTTTTAATGAAGATACAGTACCTGTTGGCAGGTGGACTTGTACAGTACAATGCAATGATACACATATTGAGTGAGACATACTTGGGTTGTGAGGAGCTTGGGCACCTCTGTGTTGAAGATCTGTCACCACTGTGGAGAACTCTTTACACTTGTTGTTTGCATACTCCTTCACGGATATCTTGTTACCATTACACACCTGAAAATACAGTAATACCTGTATCTCCGATAGTCGTAATCCCTCGGACCCAGAACTCTCCGATAACTGGAACTAAATTTTCCAAGGGGCACATTTTCTGCAAAATTCTGAGAAAATTTCTCCAATACCCAGAAAATTCCAGAAAATTATGGGGAGGGGGGGTTTGTTTTTTCTGGGTTTAAGAGATGAAACTCAGGTGTATTTTCCGGAAATTCTGCGAAAAATTTTCCGGCCGTAAAATTCTGGGGATGAGTGATATTTTTCCGGGTTTAAGAGATGATGTAATGAGCAATTTCTGGAACTTCTGAGGATATTTTTCCGTTACCTAGAAAATTCCGGGGATGAGGGATTTTTTCCGGCTTTGAGAGAGTCGCTTGTTACCCGGAAATCTCTTATTCCTGGAAGTGCTTAGCACCAATTGTTCCGGCTAACGGTGATACCACTTAATACTAATTGTAATTTCTTCAAAAAAGCTCTAGATTTATTCATAAACACTGCCACCTATGTTTATGTAGCACAGTACAGTGCAGTATTGTTTATAATTAATGGGAGTATGGTACCTTGTCGTCGTCGCAGGTTTTGAGTCTTGTGGAGATGCCGAGGCAAGGGTCAGCAGTGTTCATTGGCTTAGGGTCGGAACAATTGCGCTTTGAAACCTGTAACACATTAGATGACGCTAGTGGTCAGATGGTCAAAAGAGTGAAGCTTGCATTAAATAACATGTGCCCACTTTCTATGTCAAAACTTTAGAAATTACAAAAAATTAGTTGGAAATACCATTTTTGTTACCATACTTTGCATATCAAATCATAAACAATATTTCAAAAACACCGAAACAACTAACCTGGATGCCGAGAGCATCAATGAGGCAGCCAGAGGTACAGGGTGTGTGATGCCAGGGTCCCCAGCCTCCCTTTACCACCGGTGGAGCTTCTGCTAGCGACCATGGTGCACACTCCCCAGCAATACACCACTGTACACACAACACCTGTTACTGCTACACCTGTGATACACCACTGTACTCACATCACCTGTTACTGCTACACCTGTGATACACCACTGTACACACCTGTGTTACACCACTGTACACACCTGTGATACACCACTGTACTCACACCTGTGATACACCACTGTACACACACCTGTGATACACCACTGTACTCACACCTGTGATACACCACTGTACACACCTGTGATACACCACTGTACTCACAACACCTTACTGCTACACCTGTGATACACCACTGTACTCACAACACCACGTTCTACTACACCTGTGATACACCACTGTACATACACCTGATACACCACTGTACACACACACCACCTGTGATACACCACTGTACTCACACCTGTACACCTGTACACACACCTGTGATACACCACTGTACTCACACCTGTTACACCACTGTACACACCTGTGATACACCACTGTACTCACAACACCTGTTACACCACTGTACTACAACACCTGTGATACACCACTGTACTACACACCTATACACCACTGTACACACACCCACACTATGATATACTGTACACAACACCTATGATACACCACTGTACACACAACACCTGATACACACTACACACAACACCTATGGTACACTACTGTACACAGAACACTATGATACACTACTGTACACATAACACCATGATACACTACTGTACACACAACACCTATGATACACTATTGTACTGTACACTACACCTATGATACACCACTGTACACATAACACCTATGATACACTACTGTACACACAACACCTATGATACACTACTGTACACACAACACCTATGATACACTACTGTACACATAACACCTATGATACACTACTGTACACATAACACCTATGATACACCACTGTACACATAACACCTATGATACACTACTGTACACACAACACCTATGATACACCACTGTACACATAACACCTATGATACACCACTGTACACACAACACCTATGATACACTACTGTACACACAACACCTATGATACACTACTGTACACAACACCTATGATACACTACTTTACACACAACACCCTGATACACCCTGTACACCGAACACCTATGATACACTACTGTACACAACACCTATGATACACCACTTACTTACACACAACACCTATGATATGCCACTGCTATTTACACAGCCATGATACACTACTGTACACATAACACCATGATACACTACTGTACACACAACACCTATGATACACTATTGTACTGTACACTACACCTATGATACACCACTGTACACATAACACCTATGATACACTACTGTACACACAACACCTATGATACACTACTGTACACACAACACCTATGATACACTACTGTACACATAACACCTATGATACACTACTGTACACATAACACCTATGATACACCACTGTACACATAACACCTATGATGCACTACTGTACACACAACACCTATGATACACCACTGTACACATAACACCTATGATACACCACTGTACACACAACACCTATGATACACTACTGTACACACAACACCTATGATACACTACTGTACACACAACACCTATGATACACTACTGTACACACAACACCTATGATACACTACTGTACACATAACACCTATGATACACTACTGTACACACAACACAACATCTTTTCACTCAGTGTTACTCAGTTCTCTCGTAATTATTAGCTTCTGTGAACGCTTATCTTATGGTTGTGTGTATGTGGTGTGTACAGTATGTGCAGTGTGTGTGTGGCGTGTGCATGCATGTGTAGCGTTGCGTGTGTGTTTGTGAGAAAATGTGTAACATGTTCAAGACATACAGTGCCGCAGTGTTATTGACTCCGACCCTGAACGCAGTCCCTACCCACACCACCACCACCCGCCGCCCACACCACTTCTAACACCACCACCCGCCGCCCACACCACTTCTAACACCACCACCCGGCGCCCACACCACTTCTAACACCACCCCCATGCATATTCTTAACCCCCACAAACCCAGATGTAGACACGTATCCTCTCTTCTCCCGCACATACTTGTCGGTACGCACATACCAACCTTGCACATGTGTGGGAATGAGCATACCTACACATACACACCAAAGTGGCATGCCTGTACCCCCACACACCCAAGTAACAACACTAGCCCCGCCACCACCATTCCACCCACAGTTTGTTTTACTCCGCCGTCCACCAGCCGTTTGTTAACTCCCCAGACACAATATTGATATTAGGATATTATTTGCTAACTCAGTGGGAAACTATGATGCACGCACGCACACACACACACACACACACACCTCGGATTAACATAGAATTTCAGTTTTGACTTTGGCGGACAAAACTCTGGACTGGTAAATTTGTGCAGTAATTAGAGGCTACATCTGTCCTCAACGAAGAAGTCACATAGGGATTCTTCTTGTATACCTTTAAGAATGTACCAAAACTAACTATCTTTACCTCGTAAGAATACTCACACTGCTGTTGCCACAGAAGGTTCCATCCAGAGCTGGCCCAGCCTTGAAGTAGCCGATGCGATTTGGGCTGCGGCACATTACTGTCTTGCACACGTTCTGTAATAGCTACACGGGTCAGCCATCACCCACACCGAGGCGATCACTACTTCATTTTTCACCACGCTATGTTGTATATTCACCCTATCAGGCAGATATTTATTAATATTGTTTTTGTTTTATTGTCATGGAGGCAAAATAAAGAGTATATTTGTCTAGTATTACGGGAATATATCTAAAAGAAATGAGAAAACATACATTAAAGCAAATATAATTTCCCAGATCCTTCGTGTTAGCAGCACAGTTGAGCCTCGTCAATTATCACAGCACGAGATACCATATGGGCCAGTACTGTTTGTCACTGATGACCCAATTATATAATACCGAGGGAAAACGGTGCCAGTTGTCAGGCCAAACATTTCTCAGTAGATTGACAGAATGACAGTGACTCGCCATGTTAGAATATAAAAGAAACTTAAGTTGTTGTCAAGTATATTTAATCTTAAACAAGTAATGAAGACAAAGTTCCTCCATCTTAACTTCATCAGTTGTCCAAATATAAACTCATTTATTAATGTTAACAAATTGAAAAAATGAACAGTGCAGGTTTGATTCTGAAAATGTACATAAATATTTCGTACTGAGTTTTCCGCTAACGGTTAACAATTATCAAACGGCGTGATTCATTACTACAGCATGTGTGTTTTGAACAAGACCTGAATTGATCCTGTTCTAACTTGTACGCGTACAGATATAACCAATAACTTAATAATCACCTTAATAAGGAAGTAACGATACTGAACTATGTTTGGGACGATATATGACAGGAGTTGTATAATTACTAACCTTGTTACTCGCTTAAAGACCTTATTTGTTGAAGCCCAATAACAACATTGTAACGCTCAATAAAGTGAAAACTTATAACTTTTTGTAATTCACATGTGCACTTATGTTGAGAGTTGGGCCTTTAAGTGGTAGTAGATTAATTGAGGTCAAATTAAATGTAAGGATATATGAGTGATAGGGGTTGGGTGTAAACTGGACTGCCCGACATGGGCCAATGGGCCCGCTGCAGTTTCCTTCATTCTTATGTTCTTCAGTAGATTTTCAGATTGCATCTATGCACTTATTTGTACACATTGTCAATTCCGTACATTTGTATATGCTGGCTTTTTATGTCAGTGAATCCCGTGTCAAAGAGAAGTGTTAGTCGGCATCACATGTCGTATACGTGTCACATGGAAAAATGGTCTGGTAGTACGTGGCCCCTTGGTTCATGAGGATGATGATGGTGTGAGGTAGGAGTCTGACTCACCTGGTCGAGGGTCTGGTTGTAGAGTGTGGCCTCCTTGTCCCTGAGGAAGATGCGGCACTGGTCGTAAGCATCCCAGGTCTGGCCAGGCAGTTGCTTGTATTTGTGGTGGTCGTGTCGGGTGGGCTCCACCATGACCTCACTCAGGCATGGCGCTCTGAGAAAGAAGGGCGTAATAATGGATAATTAAGTATAGTGAAATTTGATAAGTAATGTACTATTTAAACCACCTGACATGAGGGAACAGAAGGGATTGGATAATCTTACTTGATGGTCTCCAGGATCTCACGGGAGCAGGAGGACCAGTTGGTTTCCCCGCTGGTAGACCTCGACGCTGACATGATGTAACCGTTCTTGGGGCACGAGTTACCGAAACCGTCGTGCAGCATCCCCACGCTGGAGGAGGAAGGGCGGCGGCGTCACTGGCGGCGGCGGGGGATTGAGGGAAGGGGTGCAAGAGGAATGACATTGATAGAACAGAAGGAAAGGGGATAATGGGACAGCAGGTTAGGTACGGGGGCTTCAGGCAGTGGGAGAAGGGGAACATGCGTGAAGGTAAAGGATCTTATTAAGAATTTATATTGTTCCATTTTGTCGACTTGTGTTGTCGTGTTTTTGTCATACTTTTTCGTTTGTTTATTTTAAGAGTTTTGTTTAAAAAAATTCTCACTCCGGAATGTTTATGCTTTTAATGTTACTGGGTGTTTATTTGATTATCAATTAATATTTGAACCATTTTAGCCGTGTTTAAAGTGAAAATACGCAGTTAAGTACAGTATATGGAGACTTTATAGACTGTACGTTTTACTCACTTGTGGCCGATCTCGTGGGCCATGACGTAGACTGAGGCGAAGCCGGCAGTGGTGTACGGCTTTCCCCAGGTATCCGTGACGCCCAACTCCACAATGACGGCGCTGTAGTCCGGATGACACACGCCCCGCACCGCCGCCAACCCTGCCACCACCACCATCATCATCATCATCATCATTAAACTCTCACCTCACACATACAACATATTCATCTTGCTCCCACAAGCATGGTGACTGGAGGCTGCCGTGTAAAATGAACACAGCAAGACTAATTACAAGTGTTCGATCAAGTGATTAACTGATATAAGACAATGTTGATCATAACATAGACCCGCCTGGTGAACTTATTACCCGAGATGTGAGACTATTACTCTCCATACTGTTGATAATAATAAAGGTGCCGGGAATCAGTTTGGTTGATGAGGAGAGGACATTATTCATCTCTGAAAATATGTCGAGAATTTTCCTTGTACACTTAGGAAAAGGAGCAAGAGTGTTTTATGATTACATCACCGACAGCCTGGTGATGCAAGGGCTAATTCAGGGAAGGAATGATGAAACCACCAACTGCAACCACAACCGCTCATTTTCTAGAAACAACTACTATATATACACATACAATACAAATTATAATGACTACAGGGAAAGATGATTACAATTGGCTAGCCGTCCACACCTCACTATCACCCTGCTCACGTCACAGAATAATGCCTACTGTTTATGTCTTATTCATCTTCACAAGGCATTTATACTTAATTTTATAAAACATATAAAGGAAAATTTACACGGTTGGTTAAGGGTCAATATGGCCTTGTAAAGAGTCAAGTAATACCCCACAAGCCAGCTGGATCTCGAGCGTGTGTGTGTTGATAAAGTTGGGAGAGGGGTTGGTTGATAGGGACTCACCCATAGAGGAGTATGATGGCTTCCCGTTCTTGCCCTTCGTACTATAGAAGTTGTGCCTGTGGAGGAGACGCGTGTCAACAGGGCCCCCAATACACACACACACCCATATACACCCTGTATATATATGTGGATTTCATACTGTATACATACGAAATAGATTGTTAAAAGACGCCGACAATTTTGTAGTGTAACATTGTCTTTCTTATTTTCTCCCTACATGACTTGTTGACGAACTCTTGACCTTAATAGAAAAGTAAAAATTAAAAACAAAAAAAACTAGATGCGTCTTTATCGTTGTTTGTGGGCAGTAACGAGACATCTTTGAACTAAAATGAAATGTTCAGAAATACATAAACCCCCCAACCTATTCACATAATTGTTGAAGGACTGTACTAAGGTATCTTTTTTTTTTACTAGGACCACTTACTACTAGGTGAATTACGATAAAATAATAGAGCAAATTGACTCCCGAAACGCCCCACTCCCCCCACATACAGGCTGTTTTTGTTTTTAGATAAGAATGCTAAACGGTTGAGATAAGAAATAAAGCGTGCAGAATGAAGTGTTCCAACTGGTGGTGTTCTGCAGTCGTGTGTTACCGATGCAAGATGTAAATAAATGATCGTTTATAATCCCGATCGTCCACTGATCCTTGTACATGTGACTTACCCGGAAATAAGAATACCTATATCCCAGGGCTGCACATCCACCATGTTTTCCGAGCTCTTGGTCTTCTCTGCGTTGTACAGCCTGAAGGAGTCGTACAGTTTTTCTCGGTCGCCCCCAAAGTGCACCAGGTTTGTCGGCTGCTTGGCCATCAGCTCGATGTAGTTGATTACCAGCTGGATCTTCTGACCCAGCGTCGGATGGTGAAACAGCGCCTGGATCTGCATATGCACAAACAGTTCTGGCTCACTGCTCCTCCCATAGCTTTACTACAATATCTCTCTGTATGGGTCCTCAGTTTTGGTCAAATTCCTAACTTAATTTACTGTACATTTACAGAAAGGCTCTACACTTGAGCCGCAATTACACTTAAAATTAGCGTCAACTTAAATAAAACAGATTTAATTCTATCCCGCGTTATAATAATTGTTATCAGTCAACGCCTTTAACTACCCTGGGTGAGGTTAGGCTATATAGCTTAGGTTACGCTAGGTTAGGTTAAGCTAGCGTTAGGGTGGTGGTTAAAGGGTTTGGAAACTGTTCTTACTCCGTTAATGTAGCCGAGGATGAACTCTGTAAGGGCCACGCTGGAGCCCAGGTAGGGAAAGAAGAGATCGTAGGCCGCCTGGTCGACGAACACCCCCAGCTCAATGGTCTTGCTTTGACTCCTCTTCTTCACCTGCGATACACACACACATTAAGTGACTCTACACCACCTCGCATATACCCCACACTCTTCAGTATTAACAGGACACTTATGTCTCAGAAGTATATATAAAAAGGATTCAACACTTTCATTCAGCTCAGGTCTGATGATATTATAGTATTAACACGGACAAAAACTCTGCTATATAGATTTCTCTGATAACATTCACAAATATTTGGATCATTACACCATGGTGAACCTTCCGCCACGGCCTCGCCCGCCACAACAAAGATCTTACTTACACTATTGTACAGTAGTTCATTACTCATAATCTCCCCGCCCCCAGCAGAGAAGAAATGTTTAAATCAATTATTCAGTGTGTGTGTGTGTGTGTGTGTTAGTGTAGTGTGTGCGTGAGTGACGAAAGACATCCGTGTCAAGTTTATTTGGATCCCGTCACATATAGGATGAAAAACAGTGGTTACTAAGCTAAGGTTTAGTGAATGTTTGCACTACAACCATGACGAGACCCATGACGTGAGTGGTGTATCGTCTCGTGTGCTATCTTTTTCCTCCGTCAGCAAGCCTGATCGAAAGAAATGTTCGCAGGCTTTTACATATATAATTAGTCAAAAGCCAAAGTAAATTTTAACCTTTAGTTTTGACCTTGACCTTTGTCATATATTTACTAAGCGTTACTGTCGTCTGTTCCAATGCAGGAAATACATCAACAAACGTGGAGTACATTTTGATGAAACTTGAAAATTGGACTCGATCTTGGCCGAGAGTGACGCCATTGAATTCTGGGGTGGATGTCGGTCAAAGGTTAAAATCACTGGCTAAAGGTCAGTGTGGAGTGACTGATTGGGGGATGTTTGTGTTCCTGTGAGCATATCTTAAGTTTACCACTAATTAGGTCTACTTAATGACAGTACTTTATGACGTTAGTATTATTAGTTCTGTTAGTAGAGATAATGTTTGATGGTCAGGGTTAATGTTGCCTTGAGCCGTACAGACGATGGTTGAACATGGAGTTTCTGTGTTAAGAATGTTTTGAAGCCGAGTTAAAGCTATTTATGGCCAACCATGTTGAGTATATACTGTACTTGTTCTGCTTGAAGTATTGCCGTAATATACTCGCTCAATATCCTACATTAACAACTATCATCGGGAATCACCCTACATGAAGCTGAATTTTGATTACGAATTAAAGCCTTTCTCTCAACCACTTCTTTATACATGACAAGGATTAAACTAAATAGTCCTTATAACAAGATTTACGTCAGAAACATTGCTATTTGTCAGGCGTTGTAACTTGTAAGGCAACACCTATAACAGCTACCTTCGTCTCTCACTCACTCACATCTTGTTGGCATTAACTCTTGCTACTGCCGCCTCAGTCACATGCTTGAAACTCGTATTTGTTGACTTTCCCGACATAAACCTTCGATAAAGAGTAGCTGGCATGATACTACAGGTTTGAAATACTGAAGATTACCTCATGTTGGTCGTGTTGTGAGGCATCTGAGTCCTGGGTTGCTGTCGTGGCTGTGGGAGGAGAAAGCGAACAGTGAGAGCCTGGCATCACACACCCCTCACTTACACTTTAAGTCATCATCTATACTTCCCATACACACCGTCACCTACATCACCAGGGGAGATACACACATGACAGACAGTGTGTACTAATGACTAGGGGAACTGGACTTACACTGGACAAAATATACACAAGAAAGACAAATGCGTATTATTCAACAGTGTAATGAGTGCGTATAGACGTGAATGAGCAGTAAGTTCCGTTAGAGAGATGCACGAGGGATAGATGAGGTGACTGATGGTCGAAGTTCGATAAAATGGAAATTGTGCGGAGTATAGGGATGAGTATATGATAAACAATGATGAATTCTATGACTGTGACTGAAAGGAGGAGGTGGTATAGGCTAGATTTATTTGACTGGGTAGAGAAGAGTGAGAAAATAAGATCATTAGACAAAGAAAAAAAATAAAAGTCGGTCGTTGACAAGGTAACTGACTTCACTTTGATTTCTGTCAGCGTAAGTATGAACAGGAGTACATACCACTGTAGACTTGAGAGCAGTGTTTTATGTGAGGACGAGCGTGGCTACAGGTTAAGTATGGATGACTCCCAAGAACTAGACCAGCTTGTTTGTAGGTGTTTGTAAGGCTTCAAAAAGAGACCTGAACAATACTACCAAGAACAATGAGGGATCCTACACAGGCCATTAATCACCTTCCCTCATCATGGCCACCTGTAGTTAGGGGTGGCCGTTAAGTAAATTAGGTAAATATTGTTTATTCTCTTTGTTTTTCCAGACCGAACACGGTAGTGGCGCCACTCAGGACGGCTGGGTGGCACTAGATGAGAGTTTGACGCCGTTATCTTGTTACTTATGCAAGATAATCAATGAACAACCCAGGTGGAGTTTAGTAGTTACTCCACCTATTACTTTCATTACGACTGATAATGTCACTCTTAGCTTACCCTGACTTGTTGGCCGAAATACCGGATTTGTTTTTTAAAATTTCATACAAGTAATGTCATGTAAACATTAATCAGTCAGGTAGTAGCAGCATACGCAAAAAATTCTGGGTTTCTCACACAGCGTGGGAGAGTAGCGACAGTGGCCCGTTTGAGAAATTTTGATGTAAGTTCGTCAGTCATGTGTCGCTGTTCTTAGCAGGCGGGTGTAACTACTACTGTTATAAAAAGGAAAAAAAACTGTTATGTGCCGTGCTTGGTGTGGTAACTGCTGAATCTGTGTATTACCGGTACGTTTATTACACACACACACACACACACACGCTATCGCCTCTCTGATACCCTTTACACCCTCCATCACCTTTCCATCCAATGCCTCGCTCAATCCTTCCATATCTTTTGTCTTCTCTTCCCTCTGTCACTCTCTCATCATTCATTTCTTCATTATACACCCCTTTGGCAACCTTCCATTTCCCATTATCTCAATATCTCAATCTATACGACCTCATGAAGTGTATACAACTGCTGTATACATAAGAGAATTATGGGTCGTGAAGAAAGAGTACAATGATGGTTTATGTACAGCAGGTCATGGCACACGCATATTGGAAATGACCAAATGTAGAGGATTATAGTGGTTTGTGTAGAAACGATGATGATGATGATGATATGATGATACATACCTGATGGAGGAATGGTGGTGGTGGTGGTGGCGAAGATCATGGGTTTAGGTTGACGGTCGACGCCCCGCATTGGCTTAGGTTCTCTGCTGCTTCCTTCACTTCTCCTCACCACGTCCCCAGCAGCGTCCATGGCCACATCATCTGCATCATCAATACCTAATTATTATTATTTAACGATCTAATACCATGTTTTTTTTATGACCTAAATATAACCAGTAAGTGACCTAAGAGCTACACACCGCTAACACCACCCCTGACTGAGCCTCCGTTTACCCAAAGGCCTGACGTGTTAGCGGCAAGATACACTATCCAGGCTCACAAGATCATGTAAGATTTATGCTTCGGTCATCACTTTCACACCAAGATGAACCAGGTTGAAGTTTAATTCCCATTTTATCCAGTGGTAGACTCCTGGTCCTGTTGAAGCCTCATAAGCCATAATAGGAATTTCATGGTAAATTGTCTCAGTTCCGACCAGAGACTGACATGATCACCACCAAGGTCTTTCTTCTCTCTCTACGGTGATTTGACTGCCAGCATCTTCAGTTGGGAACTCTCGGAGCATAAGTGTTAAGTTTATTCTTTGTTGTATTTTACTGCATGATTTATTTGTGTTTGGTGTTTGTTATTCATTAATTTATATCACAGTTACTGGATTGTGTAGCATAGGTTGTGTTCAGCTACACAGTTGTCTACGAATGTTTTGTCTTGCTCGTGGTGCAAATCTTAAATGTCGTGTAGTAATTATTGTGAATTCCTGATGCTGACTGAGGATCTTAGTGATTGTTGCTAGAATAGTTTAGTGTTTTAATGCAAGTTGGAATTAACATTATCCTTACACAACACCCGTGAAAACTGTCATCTTCAATATAGATTAGGACGGGATATCATAATGGTTAATATAGCACGATAGGACAAACACACCTAAAGGGCCATCATGGTTTATGTCATACACCTGAATGACCATAGTGGTTTATATAACTTACGTACGTGGAGGATCATAGTAGTTTATGTAGAATTGATGATGATACATACCTGATGGAGGACTGGTGGGGGTGGGGGTGGGGGCGATGATCATGGGTTTAGGTTGACGGTCGACGCCCCGCATTGGCTTGGGTTTTCTGCTGCTTCCTTCACTTCTCCTCACCACGTCCCCAGCAGCGTCCGCTATCTTATCTGCAATCATCATCATCATCATCATCATCTCATTATTACAGTGTTAAACTCCCCTCAAAATTTATATATTCATATTGCTTTTCATTTGTTGTTTATGACGATACTGTCGACTTTGTTGAAGATTATAGCTATATTTCGTACAGTGTGTGTAAATTATTTGTTCTTTAAAATTATGTTACAGCAACGAGAAAAAGGTTAACCCAGGTTATATAATAATTACCTAACAAGGTAATTCATATATACAGTAGTATTAGTAGTAATAGTAGTAGAATAGTTTGCAGAATTATCCACATGCAAGGCCGTTGTAAGTGTGGAAAGAATGCTGCTGACGCATACAGTATTACAGAGAGTGATGCCGATGCCGCCATGCAACGACCCCGAGCCCAGACCAGGTCATGTGCTTGAGTTTATTGTGACGTTCCAGTGTTTGTGTGAGTGACAATGACCTAGCAGATAAAAGTGGTGCAGCTGTGTCAATGAAATGGGCATAAACCTCCTGTATAGATGGAAGATATCATGCCAGAATAAGGCGAGGCATTCACACCTACTAAGAGTCGGAGGAAGGAAGTGCCAAAACATCCCCAGAGACACTACGGCTAAACTTGTTTATATATAAGTCGGAACAAAGTTGATAAACAAATTCTTTTATAGCAGTAAGAAGGGATGAAGACATACAGGTACTTAACGCAGGTACCATAGTTCATCCGTACAAATATGGACAAGTGAACTACTCGAACTATCAGGAAGTTGCCCCAACAAAGTACGTAAGTTTGTGAACAATCTAACGTTCTGGAGACGCTATCCTCAACAGTGAGAAAGGTAAGACTTAATTGTCCACATTGTAATGGTCAGTACAATGACTGGTCAATGTCATGTCTAAAGGTATCAAGTTGGCACCTTCAGTCAGCCTTGTGGCCCTCCAGTACATACTCATCACACTCCAGCACCAGCTTGTCCTGTACCTGCCACCGGAAACTCGTACACCAGCGCAGATAGCACTTTCAGTGACGGCGGTGGAGTGAAGTAATCACTCCCAGGTGCGACACCCATTCCCGGGACTCCCAGCCAGCTGGTATTGGGGAAAGTCCGCGACCACCGGCCCAACAGGGAGTTAATTCAGTTGCTTAAGCATCGTCAAGCTGTGGAAGACTACCCAGCTTACAAAGCCTTGACGCCACGAATTGAGGCGATAAGGAAGACAGACTGACTCGAATCAGTACATGTAGTAACTATGAGTGGAGACTGATCACAGACTGACCGGAAAATTAAAATTATCTCTACGCCCCCGGAGAGAGGGATGGTTACCGCTCAATTAGCAGAGTGTCTGGGATCTGCAAGATGCTGGTGCGGATAATTCTGATACGAATTAAAAAAAAAGAGATTTGAGAAGAGAGTGACCAGCAATAATAGGTAAAGACTGTTAGTGTTCCGCGATGTGTAAAGTGCGCTTGACTATGTCCAAGGAATAGTCATACTCAAGTTGGTGATACTGGGCGGAAAGGAAAAACTCCTCCGGTGGACACAGCCAACACCTGGCGGGAAGACAAGCCAAGGTAACCTTTCAGTGGAGCATTGAAGAATTGTCAACATGTACCTCGGCACACCACAGGATAGGGTGCTGAGCACAACACTTTTGAACATACCGGTAGTCATGAACACTTCTGCACAGCTCCCATACCCAAAGGGAGTTCAGCAAACATTTTTAAAACACTGCAGGCAGAATGGTTCTGCATATCCTCGACGGAGACAAAGGCTATGGACAGAAACTGAGTGATTGGTGATGGAAACTTCCGAAAAGATGAATAACGTGTTGAAAGCCACGGCCTGGGAGGAGACGAGTACATCATCAGAGTTGCTATGTAACATGAATGTAGCTGTCACAAATTACAAGGTCGTCGTAACTCAAACCGGAACTCGGCCATCTGGGGAAGACTCGGTGACAGAGACTTGATGTAATTCAAAACAATGCCTGCAGAATATACCAGAAATCATATATCAAGACAAGACATAAGCAAACTATAAGCCATCGCCTGGCAGGACGCCAACAGTCTTTGTATGTGGATCATCAGTGTTGGGGGAACAGTATGAAAGTTGGATTGCTTCTACGACATCCCAACACCCTTGAGGGGGAGACACCTTGATAAACCATACAAACCAAACAATATTGGTCACGGTGGTTTATGTAAGGTCACAACACATACATGAAGGATCATAATGACAATTTGTAACAAGTCATACAACAAACCTGAAGGATTGTAATTGTTTATGTATTACGTCATGATATACTTGCGGTGTCATAGTGCTTTATATAACACTTGATGACACACCTGAGGGACTGGTGGTGGTGGTGGCGAAGATGATGGGTTTAGGTTGACGGTCGACGCCCCGCATTGGCTTGGGTTCTCTGCTGCTTCCTTCACTTCTCCTCACCACGTCCCAGGCAGCAACACTACCTATACAATACGTGTTTACATCAGCTATATTTCTTATGAATATTTATGTGTTGTAATTAATTACCTCGGACGGTAAAGTGATTTTATACATTTGTAAATTATTCGTAACAAAGTTTTTCGTATGATATTCTTAGATAATGACTCAAATTTATGTTTATTCTCTCCATCTACAACACAAAAGAAATAATTACCGGATTTGTTTTTATCATTTAGAGCAAATACTGTATAAATGAAAACCTCTTCTTTAACGTTGTCTTCCCGATATATAATTAATAAACAGATCAATTCATCTTTTAAACGAATACGTGAGTAACGACAACAGGTAAGTGTGTGGTGGCTGTACCTGGGTGTGTGGGAGGGAACACAATAGGTCTGGCCTCCTGGTCCATCTCCCTCTTCTGCTGGAGTTCACGATCACCGTCGAGTGTCTGTGAGTTGACCTGTCCAAACATTTCCACCTCTGGGGAATATAAAGACAAAGTGCACTGGTCAGACCCTCGCCGTTATTACCTGCTGAGTGTGTCACCAATCGGAAATGTTTTATAAGAGCCACCACCAGGAAGCAAGAACACTAGTTGGAAGTGTATGAGAGGATTTCACCAAGTGGGTGAGACACACTAAGTTTCTGGTAATCAAAGAGGTTGTCCCCCCAATGGTCATTCGTATTATACTGTACAGCCACTGATCAGTACTAAACAAGCGGAAAGTTAAGTTCGCAGGAGAGAGAACGTGTCATAAAGCTATATTTTCTCAAGTCATCATAGATAGGCACAACGTGTAAATAGTTTTTCAAGTTACCAATACTTCTTTTCAGGACTTCATGTGGCGGGAGTAAGCGTCCTTCAGGGACTCCTTTTAAAGGCTGTTCCTCGAGGCCTCCTCCTAGGAGCTGCCCCCCAGGGCGGGGCGAGGGACGGGTAGTGGTAGTTGTCTCCGTGAGTGTGGTCTTGTGCCAGGCCTGAGGGGGAAGATTGTGTTAATGAGTTGTTAAATAGAATTTCGGAGCGAGTGTTACGTGAGGGAGCTGAGAATGTTTTTGTTTTCTTCTTTTTTAACAGCAAGATGAGTTACCCCGTCACTCATCAGTATTATATCGCAACGGTTCATTTGACAGCTGAATATTGATAAGGAACGCCTGTAAAAACAAATAGTTAGTCACATACAACACAGGATATCATTAGCTATAAATAGCAGAGTGGCGCTAATTGACGCATAAAGTATACACCTTACACCAATAAATTCTGCAGGCTTTTTTATGTATTCTGTGATTAACTGATAAAGATTTCCAAGAAGTTTCATTGATTTTTCATCCTAGTGGAGGGTATCAATGCCTCCCGAACACATAACTAATTTTAGTTTGCCAATGAAAAAAATTTTGGGGGCTCGACCTACCACCTTTACCCCACAGTGAGGAGAACATCTGCCAGCTTACTCTTACTACTTCCCTCCACAGCAAGATTTACGTCCTGAGAATGCCTATGTAAGCTTCAGCCCCCCTGCCCCCCCCCCCCCACCCCCTTGTACCTCCTGAAGAAGTCGAGAGATTAAAGTGAGGTGTAAATAATACCGGGGTTCTGCTGCGGCTGTTTACCATCTGATAATTACAGTCCGATGTAGACCCTATGTGTGTGTGTTTGTGTGTAGTATCTCTAATGGCATCAGAGTTTATTATAACGAAATTAAACTAAAAAAGAGACACTTAATAAAGAAATAAGTAAATATACAAAATAATGAAGGAAAAAATTATGTTAGTTTTAGTGGTCTGTATTATGAGAACCCCCAGGCCGTGAGGAACACAAACACAGGAGTGGTAAAATCGTCGCTACAAGATTATATTTTCTTCATGAATTATTAGGCGGTTTTGTGTTGTATATTGTTTGTCAAATCAGGTTATATTAAGATTCGTTCGAGATATATATGATAATGTTTAACACTACAGGTATTTTCAGAAACGGAGATCAATAGTTTCTATATTTTAAGAGAAAAAAAAAGACGAGCAGAAAAGCATGAAAGTGTAATGAGGTGGTGACAGTGAGGGAGGGGAGGCGTGGTCACTCACCTCGGGAGGCACGGTGAAGATCTCTCCTTGGTCGAACTCCATTTCGCTTGGGATGGCGTTCCCGATGGACTCTGTTGATATACACATACACATCGCTGAGTATACACACAAGAAACCCATCCGTCTACAAGGCTAGACTAGGGCAACCAAAGAGTACCTACGTGTCGACTTAAGTTAAATACAGATATTATAAGGCAGCTGTTTAGAGCTGTCTACACCCTAGAAGAATGTAACAACGGAATAAGAGACTAGACTGACCCTTACAGGCTGGAGGTGGAATCTCTAGTTCCATCATAGAGGGTTCAGGGCGGGACGGGGAGGACCTAGGGACGCGTCTCACTAGGTGCGGTACACTCTGGGACGTGTACTTGCTCCCACCACGCTTGCTGATGGCGTGGTGCAAGGCATCGGCTGCCGCGCCTTCCAACGGCCGCAACTCCAGTGTAGTATTGCGGCTTACCACGTACCCGGCCTGCGGCACATCATGCGAGTAGGCAATTTGAAGAAAAGAAGAACGAAGAAAAGGGGGGAAGGAAAAATGTGTGAAGTAAAGGAAGAACGGAGAAGCAAAGAAGCAGGAATACAGGAAGAGAATCCAAGCTGTAGAAGATAGCATGATTAATGAAGATAATGCACACAGCTACGCACACATTATTATTATTATTATTATTATATATATATATATATATATATATATATATATATATATATATATATATATATATATATATATATATATATATACTAGAATCTGCATGAGAACGTTAAAGTACAAATTTCAATTTTGATCCTGTTAGCCCCCCTTACCCTCCGGGCACATGCAATTTTTTGTCGGCCAACAGTTTATTTGCAGAAGTGAGAACCATTGAGCCAAATGGGAGCGCGCGCGCACATTCAATTCAATAGTTGGGCGACTGAAAAGTTTGGGATATGCTACAACTTGTGCGCCATGGAATAGTTGACCAACTCGCTTGTGCTTGCACGTTACAACGTTTGCGAGCGCACTAGCATCGAACTGTCGGCCGACTCTTAATTATTTTCTTTCCTTAAAGTGACAGATAGCCATTCCTCCGGGGGATGCTATTCCTCTATTTGGAATTTTGATGTTATTGAAGACCCAACAAGGAACAAGAGTTTGTCAAAAATGTTGACGCTCATTCTATAGTAATCAAAAAGTTTGTTTGGATGGGCCCGTAAATCTTCACACAATTTGTAAAATTGTCCTTTGATCAGTCGTTAGCTTGTAATTAGATGAACCTAGTACTGTTTTTTACGTTTATTTTTCCTTTGATGAATTACCAACGCCAAACATAGCTGTTTCGACAAAGTTCATAATGCAACTGAAATAAATTGACCAACTGTGAATTGAAAGTGCGCGGGAGGCCTTAGGTGAATCAGTCAATGTCTTCTCTGATATAACTAGTCCCATCTCCACATGGGAGGAACATTGTACTGTTGAAGAGTTGTTTTTATCGTAAATGTCGACTTAATGAGGTTCCGATGAGACTTACCAGTGTCCTGGGTTTACAAGCGCTGAGAGCGGCGGTGATATCGTCGTCGACGTGGGTGTAGTGGCAGAGCATGGGCGTGAAGGGTGTGGGTGGAATGAGCTGTGGCCCGCCCACCACCCTCAGGTGGGCACTGGGCGACACCAGGTGAGTCATCGGCCGTAGCCGCAGTCTGTACCGTCTGTAAACGTCCATCGTTATCACCCGCCCTCATCTTCCCCACATTATATAAATACATCAATACCATAACTTTTATGAGCAAAAAGACAAACCTCATATTCTTTACTTTGTTGTGATAACACCAATAGTGAGCACAAAATTTTGACTAAGGAATAATAGTGTGAGAAATTGCATGACTTCACCTGCGGAACGCTGTGAAGGAGTAGAACAGAGGGGGTGCTGGGGGTTGGCGCTTGGTGGGGATGTTGAAGAAGAGGGATGGTTGGGGCTTGGTGGGATGGGGCGGGGTACCCGGGTGGCGCCGTAGGTACACCAGCTCCAGGTCTGCCAGTTGACCGCTCACCCCCACTGACGACTGCAGCGACCCGTCATTGGCCAGCGCCTCGTGGAACAAGGCAGTCTGCCACACGGTAAATATTGTTACTCAAACGGGTCAAAATTTGTGTTGAACTGTACCAACTGGTTCTTATGGATTATGATGAAAAGGAGATTTAGGATTCCAGAGCTCTCATTCCCCTCTCCTCTCCATCATCACACACCTTGACCCCGAGATCATCGAAATTTTAAATGTTTAATTCAGTGAAAAAAGCTCCCGGAACATTTTTTCAGTGTACGAGTAAAGTATATATGGTGGTATGTCGTCTGAGGGGTAACTAGTGACCCTCATATACAAACTAGTTCTTACCTGGGTACACCGTGAATCAGAAAAGTGAAGATGTTTACTCTAGTTGTGTAATAACAGATCAGGATTCAGGAGTGGGCAAAGTGGGCAGCTGCCCAGGGGCCTCCACATGTGCGGTAGTAGCTATATCAAGGCTGGTCGACTTGAAACCACATGAATGACTCCAGTCATGTCTCACTTTTGTGTGTGTGTGTGTGTGTGTTGGGAATTTGTACGCTATCAATAAATATACAGTTAATTAAAAATTTCTCAATGTTCTAATTTCCTCAATATAACTGCATATGGCTTCAAAATTCTCCAAAGAAGTGTTCAAATTTCAAAAATTTCCCTTGGGGATTACAGCGCCCCCCGGAACTCCCAGATGTTTAGGCTCGCTTCACTCGCCACCCCACCCTCTTGGGTAGTTATAATGAGGGGGGCCTCCACAAAGAGGCTGCCCATGGGCCTCCACAGGTCTAAATCCGGCACTGAGCAGATGGGTGAATTAGATTTCATGGTAACACTGATCATAGAAACAGTGATAGAAAACAGAGAGTCTGGCCTGAAGGTGAGGTACGGAGGAAGTGAGGGACTTCTTTCGTGAGTAAAATGGCTTTGCTTAGAATTTTGTCTGGCAAATAATTATAGGAGTGAGGTGCATCACTTTAGAGCAGTGTTCTCTGTGGCGACGGACTTGACTGTTGTAAAGAATATAAGAAGCTGTGTGTAGGAACAACATGGGCGAGACCGAAAAAGGAAATACAATTTTATTTGATTATTCTCTATAGTGTTAGCAGTGTGGTGACTCCAAAACGGGTTATTATGTCGGGACTACCTTAGTAAACTCCTACGAAGGTCTTAACAAGTTAAATCCCTGCGGGATAATTATTATTAATAAGACTGGCCGCTAGGGAGGACTTGTGGTGGTTGTCACACATGCCAATTAATTATTTATATTAAAAGGTGCAAAAGTGTTAAACATATTCAGCGTAAACTTGTTTATTATTACTGTGTACAGAAAGGGAGCATAATATTTCTTATAAAATATACTTAATCATATCTAACCAAATAACAGATGACTCGATACTTGGGGTGGGTAATAAGTTATACGACATAATGGATAATAATAATATTTTACCAACTTGTATCCTCACCTTAGCCAGAGAACTGAATTCGTGTTGTAACATCAGGCACCTGCAGCAGGTAAAGCACAAGCAGGTCTACTTCTTGCAAGACACCTACTTCCCATGTCTCTACACTCATCTCAGAGGCTCTTTTATATACCTCGATGGTCTCCGGCTTTGTGCCCGCGCCTCATTGTCACACGATGCAGCCTTGATTAATTAACGCACGGGGCGCAGTTTCACATGGACTAAACATGTTTTGAGGAAGCCGCCAGGTGACCAGACCACCTGGTGCCTGCATGGACAGGCGCGATGTTTACTTTCATACCCGCCGCGTCAGAGCTGCGTCAGGTGTCTCTGCTTGCACAAGTTTATCACCGCCGACCCTCATTGCTGGAGGGAACTAATAAAAACAGTTCATGCCTCGTTCACCTAACACGAGGAGTTAGTAGCCATCACCGCTTGTGTTTTTCATAACACGAAAAAGAAAAGGAGAAAAATATTGAGGGTGGTGAACAGAGTTGTCTTTAGGACAGATGAACCATCACAAAACCTCAGTAATGTGTTTATTGTTGGTTGTTTTAAAATGGTACACTTTACTCTGTAACTCCGCCTTCCATTTCTTATTGGAAAAAATATATTTATCCGTGTGAGGTCCATGATCGCCTCTCCCCACTCTCAAACACTTAAGTTATTTTTAGCTTTTTTTTTTTTTTTGCTCCTTGTTACTTGTGTGGATCTTTTTTACAAATAGCTTAATTTCTGAATAGGCAAATAAAGGGTGTGTGTGTTACGCTTAGAAGGCAGTTAAGGGAAGAGTCAATAATTATGAGCACATACCCGGTACCATTATAATAATACCAGAAGGAAGATCGACACCACCAAGTTGAGGCGGCAGTGGCTTGCATGTTATAGACTACAGTTTACTGTAATTATGGGTTATAAACAGAAAGAATAACGTGTACAAAATGCCGTTATTGCGGTGAAAGAAAAGTGGAAAGGGAGGATATACGTGTGCGTGTGTATGTATTGCGCATCAATACTTTAATGATAAGAGGCGGTAACAGAACGCTAGTGGTTCTGTTCTATCACCGTTAACTGTTAGTGGCGGTAGAATGAGGGAAAGGAAGGCACTGGACGACGGGCATAGAGGGAAGAAAGCTGGAAGCGCGAGTTGTCTCACCAGGTTCTGTGTGTCCAGGGCGGCAGCGGCGGTCGCCAGCATCAGTATGGTGGTCAACATTGCGGCTGTTGTATTGAGGACTCTGGACTCACGCCTTCACTCCACCACCTCCAGCACCTGAAACAATACAAACCTTGTGTTAAATGAAGGAGACTTATAGTTCAGGAGAGAATAAATGGCGTTAAAGCCAAAATATATTTTTGTTAGTACATAGAATCTAATTTTTCGTATGTTAAAAGTATTACAGGTATTCGCAACTGGTGGTTGGCCATCTTTTTTTCTTTACCAATTGAAGTCTCCTAGTTCTACTGTTGACCGAGTGTTATAGTCGCGACTTAGGCTTACGTGCTGTCTCGTGAATTATTTGGCCCTGGCAATAATATCTGGGTCGTTATTTTAAGACCACACTCATTTGTTTCTTTTAAGTAGAGGGAAAATGTGTGGTAAATACTGAAAAAAAACACGAAACAAACTTTTGAAAACCTGAACAAACGTTTCATAACATTTAAAGATAATAAAACTATATTTTGTTTTACCTTATATATGTTTTCCGTGTTAAGTAGGCGATGTTGTTGTTTTCGGTTTTTAGTAGGTGTTGGTGTTGTTTTCGGTGCTCAGATGAGAGGGATCCATAAACTCAAAGTGATTCTTAACATTTTTCAAGTTAGGAAACATTAGGTAAGATTTTCAAAGGTTTGTTTGATGTTTTTTTTAAGTATTTCACCACCCCACATTTTCCCTCTACTTCAAAGCCCTGCCCACTTTGCACAACTAATACTGTGGGTAGTTTTATCGGTTAAATTACTCGAAAATACAAATTTCCGATGGAAACGTGATAGAATAAATTATTTTTTTGGTTTTTCTCTTTCTCCCTGTATAAGACTCAATTTATATGCAGGTGTTGGGAACTTCTAAATATTAACCAAAATGGAGATTTTTCCAAAGAAATTGAAGGTCAAATTTAAACAAAGCACACCAAAATACAACAGAAAAAAAATTTCTCTGTAAAACCAAAGGGACGTCAAAACGAATCTTTACCCACGGCACCACCTCCAAGTGCACGATTCATCGCTAATTAAAAAAAATGGCGATTTTTGTAATCCCCATTATTGGTAGCAACATACATGACTGTCACTGAACAAGGAAGGACACATTTAAATAATTTGGGGATTAATTAATAATAATGTCGCAGAAAATGATACGGCTGACATAAAAATCCGTCAAAATTTCACCGGCTGGGAGGCTGCACATATGAACTCTTCATTTTTAGTCCATCTCTTGTGGTATGGTCGGTAACGTTCCCTGGTCCCATGCATTAGGTCGAGGGTTCGAGTCCTGGCTGGTGAGGTCGTTGATTATATGAACTCTTGGAGACGGTCGTCATCCTCCACAGGCACAGATAACTTGCTATACCATAAAAAAAACCGGCATAGGATGCTATAACTATACATACTTGAATTCAAGATGCGAGGTTTCGTCTTTTTCTCCATTAAGAGTGTCCCTTGATGAAGAACAATAAGTATGAGAGCACACAGTTCACTTTAACACCAATTATATTCTAAAGAAATTGGATATGTATCCAAACCCATAATATAGGATGCGAGTCCAACTATATGATTCTCATCACTTATTCATACAATGGCCTTAAGAACCAATTGCGCCTCTCCCCTTCCCCAAAAAATAAAAACATTGCGCACCCGATCGACTCAAGGTTCTGAAAACTGAAGCCTATAACATGAAATAAAGACAATTAAGCCGATATATTATATGGTACTAAAACTCCCAATATGAGGCTCCGTCCGACTCCGTCGATTATTTACAATTTAAAGGGGACAGGATTCAGTATTTATTTTCACCGCATAGTAAAACCGCGGAACGGGATTTTTATCGCCGTAATATTTACGGTAAATAATTATTTTCTTCGCGTACAGTACTCGCCACGTGGAGACATGAAATTAGTGTCATATCAGTTTCCCTCATCTTTCTTGCCCTGCCCACTACAGGTGATTTACGATCGTAGACAGGAAAACGAAAAAATCTAAAAAATTAATTCTCGTTTTTATTTACAATCATCCAAGAAATATGGAAAATTGGACGAATTATATAAACGCGTTCGAAGTGCTAACCGTCTGTTCCATTCATAAACCAGAAACAAAGATTCATATTCACTACCTCTGTAACACTTCTGGGTAACTTGTGCTGTAATATCCCGGTTAATGGCAACAGTGTGTGTACTGTACAGTATTGTTACGACAACCAGAAGATGGCCAAGAGCTGTCATTGTATATAGGAAGTCTGTTCGCTACACCTGATGAAGCTTTTATTACAGGCGACACTAGTATAAGTATGTCCTATTACTATAATTATTACGAGAAGAAAATTTAGTTACCTGTGTGTCTCACTGTGAGTGTCTATGGTACAAATATGCTGTTAAATTAAATGAATTTTTTTGCAAGTAGTATTCAGCCATTCTGTGTCACGGCTTGTGGGATGGTGGTGTCCAATGTACAGTACAGCTACAGCATGTTGTGTTTATATAAATTTGAAAATGTGAGTCGAGGTTATTCAAGAGTCTAGGATTGAAAGATATGTCCTAAAAAGTAACCAAGCCACGTTATAGACATTTATATGTGTAAAAAAAAAACCACAAGTATATATACGATCTTAGTGTTTTGACTTGCCTGTAGATGCAGCCGACGCCCACTGTAACCCGCACCCACCAGCACCCTTCCATATATATATACGTCCCCCCCCCCTGCCCCCTAACTGCCTCCAGAACCCCCCAACCCGCACGTTTTACTGTATGTTGCAATAATTACTAATTATCATCCACAAACATCTTTTTTATTACCATCATCACCATCCTTCTCATTATCGTCAGTGTGTCATCCACATCATCATCATCATCATTACTCTCATTATTCTTTCTTCATTATAATTCCCTCAAAATGTTAACCGCTTTCCTTGCCAACATCACCATTTTTACCTATCAGTTGCTGAACACTGATCAGCTATAATCACACTGGGGTGGGGGGAGCAAATAGTGTTAAACTAACGCCAGGTTTATACCATGAAACACGACTGATTAACATAAGGTAGGATTTAAGATTTAAGCCGCTGCTCTAATACTCACGCAGTTCAGAATCATGACCAGTCATCAGCCAGGTTCCCAGGCCGAACTCCTAAGTATCATGCGGGAACAAAACACTAGACCTTAAACATACGGAAGTCTGTAATAAAAAGATACCAACAGTGATTTTACGAGAACCAAATTCGAACAGTTATACTAGGATATATTACATGGGTTATATGCAATAAATTAGTTTATTTTGTTATTGAGCCATATAAGTAAGGTGTACTGTAGTGTTCATAACCTATTAATGTGGTTTGTTTATAATTGTGTAGTAAGCGATAGTGTTCAGTGTGTTCCTAGTATGTGTGGTAGGTATGGACGACTTCCTGTTACCCCCCACGGTGATGTCTGCCTCGCGAGCATCAGCCTAGATTATAGTCCTTTTGTCATGTTATTTATTACTTTATTCTACTGGGTGTTTACAGGTTTCCTTAAAAAATACCAATCATTGTAAGGAAGAACATTTTTTAAGTGAAAGATAACTTGCAAACTTAACAACAGAAAAAAAAATAATGTCAGTGACGTAGCCGTGAGTAATCTGCCATTATCCACGTAAATTCTGGATTGACCTCCATCGAACTAACTAACTACCAGCACCTCATTCATCATTCTAACCCAATTAAACCCACCCATCACCTGAAAGTAAACGAGGCTATTAGTGGGAGAGACAGTGGGAGGAAGGAAGGGGTCGAGGGTAATATACAAATAAGTACACTTCCTTGCCGCATATTGTTTGACGTAGCAGTAGCAGAGTGGTGGGTGGTGTTGTGAGGAGCCGCCGCCTCCCTCACCCACTAGTCGATAACTGCTCTCACCACCTACTGCAGAGGTCCTTCTCACCCGCCCAGGTGTGGCTCTCTCTATAGGGTAGTCTTAGACTGAGGTGTGGCTCCGTGTGACTAGTGTGGCTTCGTATGACTGTGTCTGACTGGTGTAGCTCCGTGTGATTGACTGTGGTGTGGCTCCCTGTGACCAATAAAGTGCGTTCCACCCTATTTTCTACCTGTGGTTTAAGAACGTGTCTTCTGTCACCTGGTACAGAAGGTAATTATCCTTATGATTGTTTTTTCCTCCACTCATTCTCATCTCGGCCACACCAAGAACATACACACACACACTTCTCCCTTCCATCATCTATTCTCCACCAACTACTCAAGACTTTCTGGATAATTTTACGACATTTATGGTCCCAGTAAGAAGGATACAGCATTATCATATAACACACTCCTCTCCTGACCTCATTCATCCGTAAAGAAATGTTGGATCCGCCCTTCATATGAGCGTATGTGTGTGTATGTGTTCTACAGAGGGAGGATGCATTAGCAAGGTATGTCGTTGACCAGGGAACATATAACTACAGAGAGGTATAGAATAAATCAGGATGTATATACTGTACTATAAAAGTGTCGAGACCCGCATGACGGTGGGGGAGAGAGGAAGCTCACCCCAGATACTCAAAACACCTGTAATTATATACACTTGTAGTGAGCAGGTCATCCACCTGCCCGCACCTTGACGACTACTATTACTGACTGATGATACACATACAGTATGTGGTAGTAAATACACCCAGTTTATGACAGTACACCCACCTTATCTATGGTGCACACATCCATTTAAGCGTGGCAGTGCATCACTAATGCGGTAAAGGTCGTCTGGTGTGGAGACAGTTGATGCAAGTGGGTTTTTTTTTTTATAAAGATAGAAAAGTTTTATTGGAAGACTGCCAAGAAGTCAACCAATCGATTACCACAAGTCGCTGGAGTATTGTGGCAGATAGATTCAAGAGTCATTCAGTAAAATTCTCGTATTACGTGAAGATTAGGCATCCTAGCTTATTTCACCAGACGATTAAACACCTTAATACTACTAGCCTAGCCTATAATCTAACCAATTCTAACCTAATCCCTCCCGGTAACATTAGATTGTTTAATAATCAAGTGAAATAAGCTATGTTGCCTAATCATCATATGATATTAGTTGTCAATCAAGTTAATATTGGTTCAGCATACTTACAGTAGATATAGGCTGAGAATACCTGTATCACCAATACAGATAATGTTATATAGTGGACCGATTCAACCGAGAACACAAGCCGACAAAGGTTTAACTCCGTCCTCATGTTTGCGTAAAGTGACTACACAAATTACAAAAAAATCTAAAAATAAAGATAATGCATAATTAACAAAAAATCCTCTTACTTGGCAAGGATGTAAAGAGTGCAGTAAAGTAGTGTAATGGTTGAGGACTATCTGTGGTTATCTCACGAAGCCGTATATGTACAGTACACAACAAAGTAAAACCTATTAACATTATGTAACATTCTCAACATATCACTTTGTATTGGAGAAGTTATTGATTGCAAACTATAAATCAGTCAACTTAATTACCTTTCCCTTGCTGTTTCCATACTGCATAACGATACAGCGCTTAATTAAATTGCTTCCACTGTACCGACCAACTATTATCTACTATTTAACACACACCATCAACTCTTCACTTGGTCAAGCAAGAAAGATAATAGGTTGCTTCAATGAAGGTTTGTTCCTGTCTCCAACTACTACTGTTATGAAATTGTACCCCTGTTAGTCTCGACTTGACGATTTATATGTGTATGTTAATTTTTATATTACAACTCCATATTTGATGGAATAGATATTCATGTATTTATGATAGAAATTCTATAAATTCCTAAGAGTCCTCTCCTTTAGCAAGGGGTAGCATTTTTCTCCAAATATAATGTATAACAATAACCACCACTAGTGTCAGTTATAATCTAATAGAAACTAATGCCGATATTATAATATATTACTACGCTTAAACAACTAAGGCATATAAGTGCGTATACTCGAATAGTAATTTACTATACACTAATCATCACTGCTCGATCGTGTGGACGTGGCTTTACAGGCATACATGACTCGCAACATTTATTTTTTTTATTTTTTTTCCACCACTTAGCAGCTTACTAGCGGTTCGAGTAGTTGGTCTATCCTGTGTTAGTACAGGAAGAACACGGAGTCCGGGAACCTACTTTTGACGGCCCAATCCTTGAAATGCGAGTGAACAACAATCGCGGATACGGGCAGAAAAAAAGTGACCAAATGTGAATTATTGGTAAAATTCATAGTCTAACCTTTCGAATTGTTCAGCAAAATCATTCGGCGCAGTTTTACTACATTTTTCTAATGATTAAATGATGCCTAGAACGTAAAGGAAATCCGGCAGGAATCGCTGCAGAAGATAAGTTACACGCAACAGACACAAGGATCCAACATAAAGTGGTTTATAACTTACCAACCAAGACACTCAGTCACCAGCATCTGCTCAAAAACCCTTTGGGATAGTTTGTGTACAGTACTTGTAACAATTTAATGATTTGCATAATTTTCTCCTAAATGAGTATCCTTTCTTTCGATTATTTTTTACCCATTCCATACAAAAGAGTACATATACACTCATTAAAATCTTAGCTGTTTATCGGGTTATATAGTTTATTTTTATTCTGTAGTTTTACAGTGTCGCTCTATTATAACATTTTGCGTGAATTCAAATTTAAATAGTGGGTTTTTACAGGAGACCTTCCCCGATATTTTTCATTACAGTAATGACAATACACAGGTAAATTTTTCGAATCACTCCATTTGTACACCAACGGAATGACTAGTTTAAACCATTTTTTTTTCATACTCCACACGATCTTGTTTTCCACAAATCTGTATAAGATACAGGTATTAGGTTTGACACCTCTATCTGCAATTAAAAGAAAAACTGCACATAAACGGGGGCAAGTGAACATTAGTAACTTCCATCACCAAAAAAACAAATTTTTTATGTGAAATTTCAGCAAACTCTTATTCTTTTTTTTTCCTTAACTGTACAGGCATTAGGCCTACAAATCTTAAACCCGGGCACAGAATCAACCATAACCTAACTTTCCCATAAGCTAATCTAATCAAACACTTGAGAGCAATATAAAACTATGGGACCAGCGATTAGATTCACCTATATTATTTTTTGGAACAATGGCTTGAGCGAGAACTTGCATCTTTGTAATTAACTATTCGTACTGGGAATGGCTCTTCTTGGGCACCATATCATTTAAAAACTATCGGAAACACACCTTACGTATAGACCACACAGAGCACATAACGAGATACATTACTGAATAACCGTGATATATGAACAAATAGCGTAATTAGTGTAAACGATCTATCCATTGGAAAGTGTTATTACGCTCTAATTCTTTATATATATATATATATATATATATATATATATATATATATATATATATATATATATATATATATATATATATATTCAAGGAAAGTTTGGTCTCAAGAGTGTTGAAAGAATTAGAGCGTAATAGCACTTGGCAATGGATAGTGCGTTTACATTAATTACGCTATTTGTTCAGATATCTGTCTGGATATAATTTGAAAACAACCAAAGCAGATCAGTTGCTCATTAAATTTTGTGTTCTACATGTGAAAATTAAGAAATTATAATCGCTTTTGAAAAAAAAAGAATGTTAACATTAGGAACACAGAGGTACTGTAAAATGTCCTGTCATCCTCATATAAACCATCAGAATAAATATCATTTTCTCTTCACCAGTGAGGCGAAGATATTTCGAGTATAAACTTAAATTTAATAAAAAACTATCCATTTTTTCATTAATATTTACAAAGAGAAATACAGAGAGGACAAAAAATATTCGAAATTAGCGGGGTGCGCAGGGCGAGCGTCACTCCATTGATCACAGCGCCATCTGCAGCCCAGGTTTGAGTAGTCCCACTGTTGTTCCTGTCGTGATATTTCTGGACACTGAGATACAAGGTAATGTGAAGCAGTAACAACTCATAGATTACAAGGAAAAGCTACTTGAAGTACTTAAATGAAAATATAACAAGAGAGTAAGTTTAATATCTTGTAAGAAGCTTTAAATATAAAAAAAAATTAATTGTTTTGGGAGAGGGAGATTCTTGGTGACGACACTCAGACTTGTCAGCAACAAAAGAATGAAAAGCTATTTGGGGGTTTGTTTTGTTTTGATATAATTAAGGTCAAGGGATGTGTTATGAGTCCAGCATAAGGGTAGATTGTTATTAATCGGGTCGTTGGACTTTTTTTGGCGGGTTTTATGAGGTAACAAGTGGGTGCGGGAGGAAGGGCTGACGGGTAGTGGTGCAACTTGAAACTTGCTTGTCACTGCCATCACTTATAATACTACTCTAACTCTCCCTGGGTTATATACCTCTAATATCTAATAAGAGGAGAAAATGGAAAAAAATATGTTAGTTTAAGAATAGTGTGGTTTTTTCGTATTGTGGTTACAGAAGCAAAAGTAAGTATTAAGTGAATCAATAGTTTCCCCCAATAAGTTTTGTATTTTGTAAATTCCAATGTTATGTTTTGAGTCATCTTGTTAGTATTTGTTTAATTCCTCTCTCTAGGTTAAGCCATTTGACATGTTAATTACATATAGTTTGTATGATGAAATTAGATTAAAGTTTAGAATTATACTATTACAGATTACTGTACTTGTAATTTTTGTAATGAGGTAATTTTGCTGCTTTTTGTATTGACACATAAAAGGCAAATCCCTCCAAATATAATTCAAAATATCAAAGTGGATCCCTATTTCTGCAACAAACAAATCAAATGTAGGACTGTTTGGGGGAAACCACTGTATTGTCATTCTTGTTATTTGTTTGCATGGTTCAGATCAAGAGATAAGCACATAGGAGTCAATATTCCACTGTGAAGCATGTGAGTGTACAGTACTGACAACACATGTAGGTTGGTCTGTAGAAGAGAAGATATTTCCATCACCATGTATTAGGTTTGGATGTCATGTGCTTTATATGTCTTATAATTTGTACAGTTAAAGGCTAAACAAAGTAACACAGGAGCATTTGTTGTTTGGCAGTTAATTACAGGGTACAGGTACGGCAGCCATGTGTGAAACGTTGATGTCCATTGGTATAGCAGACTATTGCACTTGCATGGTGGGCAGACTATAGAATGATGGTTACCAAGATGGTCTTCCTTCTGACAAACATAACTTCCTAAACCTAACTATTCATAACAGTTTGTCAATATGGCTGCTGTACATATATCCAGCGTGTAATTTCACCTTTTCCAAACAGAAGAAAAATGTTGTTGTTGAAATTCTTACAAAAAATTTTGTTACACAATCAATAGGCAGATTTCATATCCTCTTTCATGCTGGTGTGTGATTGTCTCGGCCACAGTGCTTAGTAGTGCTATAATGCCATTTCCTGTATCCATTTGCTGAAATTCCTAATGGAAACTTATCACAATACGGCATCTGATTCTAGCAGGAAAACATCATTCTACAGTTGAAAGACATGTAATGGGCGACATAACTTAAGTGAGACAGACCTTGGATATGAGCATAAATTATTGAGAAAAAATTAGACGGAGGACTAATTGGGAGGGAAAAAATTAAATGTAGTCATTCTTGTTATTTACATAGTTCAGATCAAGAGATAAGCACATAGGAGTCAATGTTCCACTGTGAAGCATGTGGGTGTACAGTACTGACAACACATGTGGGCTGGGCTGTGGAAGGCAAGACATTCCTTCTTTGTATTCCAGACCTAGCTAACCTAACCTCTAATACCAATGCACTTCCATCCTAGGATAGTTATAATAGGATAGGTTTGTTTGTTTGTTTGATTAATCTTGTTTACGATAAATTCCTGGCAAACATTTGTGGTTATGATGAAATGCTATCCAGGACAAAGTCACCAAACTAATAATACAAAAATTACTGTAAAGCCATCTTATTTGTTTGGGTGGAACAGAAGCATTGCTGAAATGTCTATGAAATGTTTGTCTATGACTGCTCATGTGAACAGTTGATAATGGCAATGCATGTAGCTAGCATGTCAACATAGGTTCATGTTCAGGTCAATAAAACTGGGGTAAAAAATATCAGGAAAGTTGCAGTACAGTACAATACCTTGATTGTTGGGTATTCTAGGTGTAAGAAAACAATTTCTTATTTGTATTCTGAAATTTTATCCTAAAGTTGCTCCTTCTCACAAATTGGTGGTCAAGACTATTACCAACAATGGGTAAAGGTGTAGAAGAGGATGACCACCAGAAGGAATTGTCCAAATTGGTTGAAATTTTTTCTACACACTAGTACCATATTAAACACAAAAATGGAAAATACAATGCATAGAACCTGACCTAACATACTCAACCTATGGGTATGTTAGGTCAGGTTCTATGCATTATCGTGTTAATTTATGTGGTAAACAACTTGCCTTAATATTGAGGTTGATATAGTACATCAGCAATGGCGAGGAGGAATACGTGGAAGCGTTCACCATTATTTAGGAAACGACTCTTGAAAAGGGATTCAGCGAGGTAAACAACAAAAATGGTGCCGGGAGCAGATTTGTATTGTACTGTATTGTGGAACCATTGGACATACAGTAGGGCTTATAAATCTCCATAGAGCTTTGAATACAGTTGTTGTCTCTTTAAAATGTGGTTTCTTTGCTTGTCAATCACACCATCATTAACACACTGTACTTCATCCCCAAAATCCGACGTCAATAATCGTTGGTGCAAACATTCTCAAGAAATTAACTTTTAAATAAATTAACAATTGTCCTCTTATCCTGGCTGTGAAGAATTTTGTTCTTACAATACAGTATTTTAAAAATTTTGAATAACACCCAGTCCCATCATTTATCACAGTGAACTAGCATTATCAATCAAAACACCACCCAAATATTGCTGTCAGATGATACAGTACAACACAGGGCCATTTTCTATCATGTAAACAAGAGAATATTCCAGGACTCTCAGCCATAGCTTTTTTTCTGTACCATTTTACTTTCAAGGAGTAAAAACACTGCGTTTACAATCAGCTCGGCATTTGCAGCCCCAAAAGAGTCACAAGCATAGCAACTGTACTTATTACTGTGAGATTCTGTGATGTAACATACTATATTGTTCTCATCCACTGGGTTAGGGTCATCTCGTACCCAACTCACGAGATAAGTCGAACCCAAGATTACTTACATCCAATTCAAGAGATAATCCATACCTATTAGTATATATACCATGCATTTTAGCTTTATCTGTGAAAAAAAGAAAAGAGAATGTAAATCTTATAGGAAAGTAGTGAAATAGGGAAATGTAATGCAGGCTTTAAAATAGTTGCATCTCATTACATTTTATTCCATCACACAAACATTGCACTACAAGTACATATTTCACAATATGTGGTTTAGAATAACTTTATTGCAATTTACAGATTTCAGGCTAATAGATTTGGCAGTTTCAATTTATAAACTGGGCATTGTAAACATTTAAAATGGCCATAAGTCAACAAAATATAGACATGCATAAAAATGTTGATTTTCCAGCTTCAGCTTTTTGTAAACAAAGCAGTTAGTGTACAGTACAGTATATAATTCGGGGCTCTTCTCAGGTACTTCTTCCAGTATAACAGACTTGTTCTATGGAGTGGCTGACATTGTGACATCGTCAGGAATTTTTTCTTCTGACATATCAACGTCAAGAATGAAATACAGTACTGTAGTAATAAGGATATAAAAGAACGAAGAGTGAGAATATTGGCAAACACATATGCAATTAGTTATGTTATTGTATGTTAATGATACTCTGGATAGATTTGTTTAAAAAGTCATGACCACACGGAAACAAGGCCAGTAACCAGTAGAAGATAATTTTGTCAAGGGCTATTTTGAAGCCCAGTACTGTTTTTGATTCTACAGTTTGAGCTGGTAGATTATTCCAGAAGTCTACCACCCTCTCGGTAGTTATGTCCCCTTGTATTGGTGGTGCATGACTTCACCAAAAAATTGCTTGTCAAAATTAGATAAACCACAATAGAATTGTTTGATTGTAACTGAAATGTTCATCCTCCACCCCTTCCTTTCTTTTCTTTTTTGTCAGGTATTGTTTTATTTTTATTTTGCCAAAGGTCGACATGACATACTTTGGCAGGGTACTGCCTTGGACAAGTAACATATACAAGTTGTCCTAGGCAGGGGAATATGTTATATAAGTATAGATAGAAGAATTTATTGAAACTGAATTTGAAATTACTTACTCATAGGTTAAGTTCCACATGATTGGCAGTGTTTAGTCAACACATGGTGGCCATCAGTGTGAGATTATGGCATTAAGCCATTTTTGAAAGACATGGAACATCAAACTAGCTTAACAATCATAGTACTGTACTGGTACCTTTTTTTTTCCGTGCCTGGTTTGTATCATTAGTAAATTGTTTAAAGTTGTCAGAGGCTACAGTCAGTCTTGTGTTTGTTAAAACACTTTGCCATCTATACAAGGATGCTCCTTGGTGCCTGTGTCAGCATATTATCATCCATTGATATGGAAAAAAAAATCATTCATAACTGAGATTTTCGTTGGTACTGTATGACAAAATATAACATGGACTTATTTTCACATTTTTATACAAACACCCACACATACAACTGTATTGGATGAATCACTCCCAACTAATATGGTTACCTTGGCTATTTGGATACTGCACTTGTGTGGCGTTGTGTAACCTCGATCTCCTTCATACTCATGTTTGTCCAGTGAAGTTTCTGAATTGCCCTCATGGACGCTCACTTAAGTGTGCTTCTGTCGATACTTCACAGACAAAGGCTGACTGTCAGGAGCACTTGCTACATCTCATGTCTTTAGAGCATATCACCCGGCATGAGGACTTGTTTCTATCTTTACTGGTGGCTCCAAGATTGATGCCAGTTTTTCCAACCTTTTCCGGGAGCTGTGTCTAGCTTGCCACTGCTGGATTGTCAGCAATTCTCCCAGCCTTGAAGGTGATTTATTATATTTTGTGATGACTGCCTGGTCCCTATGACTATAAAACACGTGCTGGTCCAGTGTCTCAGTTTCAAGGGCCTTGGGAGGCTTTATAGAACTAACAAAAATGCTTCAAATTACATAAGTAGGATCAACATATTTTCTGGAGCCTCCCTCCCTCCTCCCAAGTGGGTAATGGGGGAGTCAGCTGGATGGACCTAAGCAGTTTTGTGGCCTGAAACCACTGTGGTTGAGCATTCATGGCTCATTGTTTGTTACTGTAAATGATGGAAGTGATTGTTCTGAAGACCCCCTTTTGAGAAGTGGGATTATAAGTACTACTGTAATTCATGAATAAGGTGCCAGTCTATTGATGTCTTGTGGCCAAACTTATTCATCTCTCCAAATCTTGTTGAGCTCCTCCTCCTTGAGTTACACAGACTTGTGGGGGGGGGTCCTCGCTCATGTCTTGGTTCTCCTTTCCTTAATGATGGGTTGGTAATAGGGCTTGGAGCTGCCATAGTTATAAGATGGGGATTGTGATTTACCTTGTTTAACCTCATTGCACAAAAGAAATGCAAGCCCCCCTGGGTTGACGTAAAAGTGTGAGAAATTAAAATGACAGGTTAATTGATCATTCAGCATAAAGATACCTGTACAGTCATTCAAAAAACTATCTTTATGGGAGGGGGGTTGATGAATTTCGGAATGAACACGGAGACTCCTGTTGTCTCGATAGTGTTGTCAAAATCCTTCGTCTGTTGTCGTATTGTCTAACAATTTTTGTAAAGTAATTTTTTTGAGCAATTGTACATCACCTTTTGGGTGTCTGTAGTTGTTACATCCTTACCTCAGGATTATGTTCCTTCTTACCATTAATCTCTCATAAGGTCAGTTATGTAAGATTGCTTCCTTTTGGTGTGTATATGAGCATAGGACTTAGAGTATACAGTATACCAATTCTCTGTGCTGGTTTTGTTATTTTAAGTTATAACATCTTGATCTTACTGATGCATGCTGGATCTGGGGAAATTTGACAGGATAAACCACTGTTGTATGTATACAGTATATTTGATGTTAACAAATGAATGGATAGCAGCATCTCATGTTTTTACTGGAGTAATATTGTTAAGCCTTTTTGCTTTTTTAGGGTACAGTGCTGTTTTACCAAATGGATACTTAGCTATCCTTTGGGACTGTGCATGAAGGATGGTCTGTTGAGTTGTTATATTCCAGTCTCAAATTGGGTTATGATCTCTGGATATGCTGACGGTTCTAGCTTGATCGGCTATCTCGATTATAAAAGGGTATTTCAGGATCAGTCTTCCATTTTCTGCATTAAAAAGTTCACACCTTCACTTGTATAGCTGCAGTATTTTGTTATTTAACAAATGTTTTTCAGGCTGAATGAGCAGTGGATAAGGAATGAATAAACCGGCACTTGTGCCAAGATGAAGATCGACAGAACTAAATTAAAGAAAAGCAGTTCAGAAGTTGTGAGTATCCAGTTTAGTTCTTGTCTTATACCTCATCACAGATTATAGTTTTAGATTTGTATGTGAAATTGGGAAATGTACAGCCAAAATTTATGACATGCTACCATCTTCTCTTTTCAGCCTGGGGATTGTGGTTGGTTAATAGAAAAATTACAAAACTGTAGCAATGCGGAACTTCTACCAGTTCTGCGAAGTGTGGAATCCTGGAGCTACGGGAAATGTGAATTGTATCACTGGATTGATGTGCTTGACAGGTAGGCTTTCCTTTTTTTCTTTTTTTTTTAACCGAACTGTTCATCAGACATTGTTAATTAGCTATGTAACAGATTTATGACCCTTGATCTTAGCCAGAGACAAAAGTGGAATTGTTTGATGATCTTTAATCTAGATAGTTATATGATTCAGTATCGTATATGATGAGTGAATGACTTAATTGTTGGGGAAGTACTGTATTCCCTGCTCAAGACATTTACCGTCTTAAAAACCTAGTGTCTATACCCTGGTTTGGGTCTTAGTGGTTCTTATGGAGGATGTGAAGGATGGTTTTGGAAGTTGAGAAGAAACAAGTTAATTTGAAGATGGAGGAGAGATCGGTCAATGTGGTAACAGCCTATGCACCACAGACCAAGGGACATACTATACCAGCGGGATAAAATGTGATATACAGTCGGTTCTGTAGTCTCGATGTTAGAACCAAAGTTGATCTCCTGACTTTTTTCCAGATTTGATACGATATTAGAGCAGGCAGCAGAGAAAGATGAAGACAAATGGGTGTTGCCCTGCGACCTACAGGAAAATGGCCATGTGAGTAGTTTTATGTGGTGTTGATATTGATGCTCGTTTCTTTGAATATTTTCTGACCTCCACATACTGTACTCCAGGAACACCCATAGCTCTCTTCTCCCCATTTTTTAATCTGCTTGTCCACAAAAAGAAAAATAAGTGCACACTGAACACAACATTTACTTGATGCCTTTATATAATATTTTTTTTTTTACAAATTTGTATAACCAGAGATTCCATGTAATCTCTAAAGTGTTCAGGGAGTCTATATAACTAGATATTTTCACCTAATATTTAATGTTTAGGTTGGGATAAGTTTGGAAGTATATTGTACTCTTAGATCAAGTTTTGATTATATTAAACATATTTGAATGTAAGTATTTATAGTATGACTAATCATTGATTGTATACTTTCAAATTAGGAATGAAACTTCAGCCTGATTTTTTTTTACGTTTGTTACAGGTTGAGGAGCTGGTGGAATGGGTGCTACACTTCACAACACTGCTGGTGGAGCATTCCTTCTCTCGGCATCTTTACTCCTCTGTGGAGCACCTCATTACCCTTTTGTCGTCCACCTCCATGACAATTGTCTTGGCTGTTCTCAACTTACTGTACATGTTCAGTAAAAGGTGAGAAGATATGGAGACCAATCATTGTCTGTTCACATTTGATCTTTTCTCTCCAAGCCATATTTCTTTTCTAACTGAAATAAGGTAGGACATTGAATAAGTGTGATTCAGCTTTCCTTGAATACAGTACAGTACTTCACATCTATGAGCTTTACTCGATAAGTTAATTTTTCATGTTGACTTTTATCTCCATTTAGTCTACACATCCCAATTCTCATGTCACTAATAGTGTGTGACATATTCTGATAATTCTGTTAGGATTGTTTCTTTGTCAGTAGCTAATGACCCTTCATTCAACAAGCTTTTATAATGACCTTGTTTTCCAGTTCTGTATTTTTCGTAAATTAGTTTATCTAATTTTGGCTGTAATTTCATAGTACAGTAGTATACAAATAATTTTTTTGCATTTTCTACAGGTCAAATTTTATTACACGGCTGGCAATAGCACCACGTCAAGCACTCTTATTGCGCCTCATAAACCTAGCAGAGCCGTGGGGTGGCAAGGACAATGGCTTTGGCCTTGCACAATGTTGCCAGAATCTTCCATTATCTGTAAGTTGACTAAATGATTCCATGTCTTTGAAGCAATTAGTTCCTGAGTTGAAATTTATATTGGTACAGTGTTGTTGGTCTTTTTTTAAACATTTTGATTTCTAAGCCTTATGTTACCATATACTGTACCAGTTTGCATGATTTTGTACAGGTACCTTGCCCCTAGGGAGAAGCTCGTTATCAGTTTTAGGGTCACTAGGTGAAAGGTCCCATATTGGTCCAAGATGGCTTGTGGAAGACTACCCATACTGTCCAGTGACTAGTAAGCTAGCCTTACAAGTGTGTGTGTGTCAAAGAGTCATCTTGGGTCTCCTTTGTGGTGCCACCATTGACTGCCACAACAAGAATACCCTTGCCTGCCGCGTTATTCATGTGGAACTAATCCTCATGTGCTTAGCAGCTTTCTGGGTGGTGCTTTCTTGCCTCTTAAGTTGGGAGGGCTTAGATCAGTTGGAGTGTACTACCCTGTCACTTATTTCTGGGTATTTTTGCATACAGTACTGTATTTCTTTGTTCTTTTGACCATTTTTTTTTTTTTTTTGCATGCTCTGATGAATGTCTCATTGTAGTAAACTATATCATTATATAGTGAAGCTAGGTTTCATTCTCTTGCAATTTCTAAGAATTTTGGCATCAGCTGTGGGGAGTTGGTGTTATACCATCACACAAATCAAGTTCTGGGCAACTTAGAAAAACTTAAAACTTGAAAAATAAATATTGGGGTGTGTAAACTTACCATTACAGCTTAAAAAATAAAGAGAGTAATCCAAAAGTATTGTAAGATGAGTCGGATAAGACTGCAGCATTAGGCAATGAAAACTTCCTGAAAATGGAGTTATGAAGCACTATTGCCTGTTACTGGTCCATGATTTTTTAAGTTCCTTGCGTGGCTCTGGTAGGTGTGCCTCATAATATCGTGAACCTTAAGTTTACACGGTTTTGCTTATACAGTACTGTACACTGTCAGGTAGTTGTGAATTTTGCAAGGTATAAATTCCCCTTCACACAGTACAGCTCCATTGCCAAATGGGCCTTAAATGTTTGATTCCTGCTTAATGTCCTTCCTGCCCCCTCCCAAGTACTTTCAGCATTAATGAGTACTGTGTGCATAGTGAAGAGTAATGAGGGGAAAATTAGAACATTTTGCAAAAACTCCAGTGAAATGCATAGTAGCTGCAAGTTTCCTTGACCTTTGATTGGTCAGCATGGCAGCTGATAAGAAAACTTTTTGTGGCTTGACTGCTACTACCTCCACACATAGTAATGTGCACCTCTGTAACTCAAAAACTTGTGTTTACACTAATCACTGGTAGGTTTTTAGCAGCAATTGTAAAGGATACCCAAGAAAATTAAGGTGTAATCCAAAAATGTTTTAAGGTATATAAACAACTAAATGTGGCAAGAAGCAGTGAAGTTGGCGTTTGTCTTTGCTGAAACTTACTCGGTGTTGTATCAACTGCACAGTACTGTATACAATGCTACAACAATAGATCAAACCAAACTGTAAGAGAGCTGAATTATGGAGGATTGACTTTTTCTTGCCACATGGAAATTCTTCATTTTCATGTGTATCCCGGTGGTATTGTTTGAAAGTTTTGCTTAGAAAAGCGAGATGTGCATTCTTTTTCTTATTTTTCAAACAAGTGTTTTCTTTAGTGTGACTCGGTGGGAGGTAAATTTCAGCAGTTGCCATTTATTGTATTGTTCACCACCTGCATGTTAGGTCTGCACACATTACTTTTATTTTTTATCCTTGTTTTTAAATTACCAAATTTGGTATACAGTAAATGGAAAGGTTTTTCTTGGAGAGTGCACTGAAAGCCTGAGGAAAATATCTTTAGAAGAGAATTAGATGAATGTTCATCCTTAGTGGGTTATGTTTTTACTGACCTGTTGATAAATACACTACCTTTCTTGTGGCTAGTCATGAGGAACTAATATAAATTGGAACCTAACCTCCTATTTCCCATAGGCCCAAAATATATCTTTTATGTGGATTCATTTTGCATGGTGTTATCTAGGAAGCCAGCCATGTAAATTGGGGGTTTATTGTGTACTGTACAGTCATCCCTAGCAAATGCTGATTTCCCAGGTGAATGATTTAATTTTCAACTCCAAATATTCTCAAATACATGTACTATGTGTTCCAGTATGCTTTTCACACCTTTTTGTTAGCTCTTTGGCACTCACTTGTGTTCCCTAGTGTGGATGCAGACCAGACCAGGGGCATCGGTATGAAGCATATATTGTTGAGCAATACTTTCTTTCTTTTTTTCAATTTATATAATTTGTTTTCTTCTCACTTCAGGCTTTTCCAGAAAATGCTACTACACTCCATTATGAGTTTTATGGTGAGCATCAGCAACAACAGCAGCCGCAGCCGCAGCCTGGAGAAGGAGCAAGTAGTAGTGGCAGCAGCAACACCAATAGAAGCAACAGCTCTATAATTACGATTCACATAGATAACATGCAGAATATCAACAAGTCGCCAGCACAGGTTATGGAGGAGCTTTTGCAGGTGTACAAAGTGCCTATTGAGAAACAGGTTAGTGAGAATCCCAAGTCTGGATACTTGTGTAGTTTTAAGTTAATCCCATGCTGTAAACCATATGACATATTTTTTTTTTTTTTTTTAAACTGACACCATTGACCTCCAGGATAAGCTGCCCTTGATTGTGGCTTTTATCAGTTATCGTATTTTGGATGGTAATAAAAAAGTGGGTGTAGCTGGGGGGAGTAGATTCTCATAGGGAGAAGGTTATGGTATGGTAGGCAAATTTATCTACTGTGGATGTAAAGATAGGACTGAGATATGACAGTTTTAGAAAATCAGCATTTGTTTTTGATTGAGCTATTTTAAGTTTGTATATTACTGTAGCAAATGGAGTTGAGATACTTGTTAGGGAAATTAATAGAAGATTTTTGGGACAGCAGTGAAGGTAGTAAGGATTTGAATGATGTGAAGTAGTAGGGGTTAGATCATGGCAAAGAAAGTTAGAAGTAGTACAGTGCAGCTAAGGGACAATGATCATGACCATTCTCTCTCATGGGAGCTTCCAGAGGGACCCAGGCTTGACTAATTTTAATTTTATTTCCTTGTAATCATATATTTTGGTCAAACTTGAAAATATCATGATCACTTTGAGGAGAGGGGGCGGGGGGGTAAATATAAGTACTGTACAGTACTGAAGTTGGCAAACAGCTTCCATTACTCCACCGCTTCCCTATGATATGGTAAATGTTATTATTTGATGAATTTATTTAGAAATTGACTATTTGTGATGAAACCAATAATTTTTATCTTTTATTTTTCAGATGGTTCTGTTTACTCATATCAGATTAGCCCATAGTTTTGGGTCATTTGAAACCCGACTGCAGTGTGTCCAAGCCAGACTACAGGCTCTGTCTGTACTAGTGTATTGCAATGCACTGCAGGTGTGTATTCATCTACAAAGAGCCACCTCAGGGGTTTTCTTATTTGTGTGTGGGAAACCTTTCGACAATGCTCCACATTATTATATGATGACTAACACTGCGCAAATTTGATAACCATGATTCTAAGTTCATGGTCTACCTGAAATAACCAGTATCTGAATATTGTTTTTATTTTGCCTTGACAAGTTTTATTCATTACACTTTTTAAATTTTTATTTTATTTTTTCAGGATAATGCCAATACAGTTCTGTATTCTGGGCTTCTTGATGAGTTTGTAGAGGTGCTGGAGTTGAATGACACTAAACTCACGGAGATCAAGGCTGCCACTCTTCGTACCCTCACATCGATAATACACCTGGACCGTATGCCCAGTTTCCCAAAGTGAGCACTCCTGTTCCTTTTTTTGTGTAGATTCCCATCATTTCCAAAATTAATAATCATTGTCTTTTATGTTAGACTGCCAGAATTCCTGGAAAACCTTCTCTCGATATAAGTGTCTAGCTTAGTATTGTTTACTGTAAGACAGCATGTTTCTTTATTACCATTTTCTAAAACAAAATGTAATTTAAAAGGAATAAGTTCAACAAACAAAATATTTCAAATTTACAATGTAGCAAGTGAAGGGATTGGTGTTATTTTGTGCAGTAATGAAGAAGGAGAATTAAAATATTTGCAGATTTTTTATGGGGAGTATGAACTTCCACAACTGTTGTTAAGTCATACAGATGTTAGACATGTGGCTGATTTTCTGCAAATTGGAAGGTGGGAAAAAGAAGTGTGTATTTTTATACATACTGTGTAAGACAATTTGGCTGATTGTTGAATGTTTTGTACAAGTGATATTACTCTTACCTTATGGTAAGATTGTTTGGTGTTCAAGTACACATCATACTTGCATGCTTTTGCTTTAAATGTTGTCATAGAGTTTTGAATGTGGTCCTTAAAGTAGGTACAGTATCACTATTATGGGTAATTATTGTTTGAAGCTTGTAAATTTTCTACAAGCAAGATAATCATGTCTTATGCTCCAACATGGGTTTATGAATTTGTTCTCTGTACCATTTTAACTTGTTTCTGTTTCAGGTTGAACACTATTATAGATGTAACTGGTGCCTCATCCTACCATGGGTTCCTGCCTGTACTGGTCAGATCATGTATTGCCAATTTGACAGCCACGTCCCCTCTGGTGCCTAATCCTTTCCCTGCACCGCTCGCCACTGCTCTCTTCTCGTTCCTGTACCACCTTGCCAGTTATGAAGCAGGAGGGGAGGCCCTTGTGTCGTGTGGCATGATGGAGTCCCTCATCTCTGTTGTCAACTGGAAGGGCACCGAACCAGATCACATCACGGTAATTTTCATCCATTTGTGTAATAACTTTTGAGGGTCACGATTAAAGTAAATGGAGTTGCTAGATTTCGTGTGTATATGTATAGAAGGCATCAAAAACAACAGAAAGAGTTGAGATAATATACTAAGACTGTCCCTGATAGTATCCCCTTGTAAAAATGTTGTGAAAGTCTTTGATGAAAAAGGGGAAAGTTATCCTGTTGGGAAAGATGAGGAATGAAAAAAAGTCATAGGCTAAAAAAAAAGGAAAAAAGATTGAAAGCTAGGAAGATGAGACAGGCTGGCTGTCAGCAGTTTTAAGAATAGTGTGTAACAGGCTGTGGTGGATGGGTTAAGTGGTCATATTAAGGATTCAAATGCAGCATACAGTAAAACCTCTATTTAATGAATTATTTGGAGGAGAAAGTCCGTTTTGTCAAGGGTCCGTTAGATGTGAAACCTCCATCTAACGGATTACTGTACAGTGGGGTATGCTATAACGAATCTAATTGGTTCTAGAACCTTGTTCGTTATAGGATTAATCCGTTCCAGGCCCCCAAATACAACCACTTAACACTGAAATATATAATATAAAATTGTAAAAATTGTAAAAAATGCATAAATATGCATCTAAACCCCTGAAATAAAGAATATCATTAATATTTGTAATAAAAAAACAATAAATTAGAAAAAAAATTTTAAATAATGTTCGTTGTAGGAGTTTCGTTCGTTATAGCATTCTCAAATTTATAGGTAAAACCGTTCGTTATAGGAATATTCGTAGTAGGATCCGTTCGTTATAGCATACCCCACTGTATATGGAGAGAAAAGTCAGTTATATGGGAATCTGTGAATGTATGTAGAGATGTTTATATTGTGTCTGAGCTTGGAAATCAAGTGTCAATCCAAATTTGTTCCAGATGACCTTTAAACATACCTGTATGTACAAAAATTGGTTCGTGTTAAGGAGACATATGCCAGTCATTGGATGAATTATGTACATTGTATAAATAATGGAAAACATAACCAGGTCTTTATAAACAATGTTCGTCTGGTCTAAAGTAGGGCATATTTTGGTATTTACTCAGCATGTTTTATTAGATGTCACTTTATTATTATTTTTCTTCTACAGCAGCAGTATCCATGAGTGTTTTTGTAAGAATTATTTTTTTTTTTTTACAGTTTGTGACCAGAGCAGTGAGAGTAATTGACCTTATAACAAATCTAGATATGCATGCCTTCCAAACACATGGAGGACTCACAGCCTTCATCAGGAGATTAGAGGTAAGGTTTTTTATTTTTTCAAATTTACCAGAAAATCATCTAATTCTTAACAAATATTTTGTTTTTTTAATGCTGATGCATTATGTGTTTGTTAATATTACCAGTTGGGTACACATGAATAAGACAGTGTGAGAGGAATGAAAGTTAAGAAGATATACAAAAACGTGAAACTTCAATAAAAGAATAAGTAAAATATCAGGCACTGAATGAAGGAAAACTAGGAATTTTCTGTACTTGAAGAATACCAGACATTGAAAATGTTTGTCACAAAAAATAATAAAACTGTGTTGAGTTATAATCTTACTGTTTGCTTTTCTTTCCTCAGGTTGAAGTAGATGAATGTCGGAGGGAGCAACCATTTGTAATATGTTTGCCAGCACCTTTAGCAGAGAGTGAAAGTGCCAGTGCTCCAGTTGAGGCAGACCAGGCAGCAGCTGTTGCTGTGGAAGAACCAGAAGGCACGACAGAATCTACAGAAGTGCCTGACACTGCTACACATTCACCCATGGACACAACTCCTGCTCCTGTTTCTGATACCTCTAATGAATTAGAAATTACCCTCAGTCAGTCGTCTTTCAACACTACTCGGCCCAGCACTTCGGCAGCAATGGAGGTTCCAAATTCTTCATCGCAGCCAGACTATAGTGAAGCAAAGACTGGTTTATCCTGCTTACCACAAAGAGCTGCTCTTGTGAAGTCAATGCTCAACTTTTTAAAGAAAGCTATCCAAGAGCCTGGTTTTAGTGAAAGCATGCGTCACTTAATGGAAGGATCCCTCCCTTCATCCCTTAAGCATATAATCAGTAATGCTGAATATTATGGCGCTTCACTATTTTTGCTAGCAACAGATGTAGTCACTGTGTATGTGTTTGGAGAGCCGTCCTTGTTGTCATCACTTCAAGATAATGGACTAACTGATGTTGTGCTCCATGCACTCTTGGTGAAAGATGTAAGTATTAATTTGTACAAATGCATTATATTGATATTAATGCATTTATATTATTGATGTCTAGGGCTTTTACTGGCCTTTTGTGAGACGTGTCTGACTTCCCTTGTGAATCTCAAGATTTTTTTGTGTTTATGGAATTCATGGAATTTTATGAATTGGGCAATGTGGTGTGTGAGAAGTGGTATATTGTTTGTATGTATGCCCCCAGGGAGTGAGAAAAGGGGAGAAGGAAAGAATGGTTGTGGGAAGACTTGAATAATTATTTGAAAGCTTCTGCTTTTTAAGAGTGAAAATGGCGAGGAGATTTAATTGTAACAGTGAATGAAATTTAGAAGAAAAATAGAGTTCTAGGAATGAATGTAGGTCATATACCCATCAAAAAAGTGAGTGTGAAACATGTCCAATTTTGTACACAGATTTAGTTTGTTAATCATGAAGAGACACGTCAGTTTCACTAACATGTATATACAAGTGCAGTGACACCTATATAACAGACTTCTCTCACCATTAGACGAGGGGGGATTCACGTCTAACAAACCCTCGGTATAATGGACTTTTTTCTCCACATACTGTAGTCCTTTAAATAGAGGATTCACTGTACAGGTATATTGTTGATAAGAAATGGAAGAAGAATATGTGAGCTTATTTTTGGTCTTTTTGGTAGAAGCACCATTTAGGAAATAGGTTTTTAAGAGATAATTATGTACAGTCGCTCAAAAAGAAAAATATCCTTACAAAGTTGTGTAGAAAAAAATTACATGACAACAGACGAAAGATTTTGACAACCCTACCAAGATAACAGGAGTTGCAGTGTTCATCCTGAAATCCCCCCCCCCCCAGTAAAGATTGGTTTTTTGTGAGTGACTGCCTTGGGATAATTACACAACTTCTTTCTTCTCATACAACCTGTGACTCATAATAAAGGTACGGTATAGAATGTAGTTTTTAATGCAAGATTTAATTCAATTTTTCTAGGTACCAGCCACCAGAGAAGTGTTAGGTTCTCTCCCAAATGTCTTCAGTGCACTGTGCCTCAACTCACGGGGTCTTGCTGCTTTTGTGGCTTGTAAGCCATTTGAGCGACTCTTCAAGGTGCTTCTCTCCCCCGACTATTTACCGGCAATGAGACGGCGTCGTTCCTCAGACCCCATGGGAGATACAGCATCCAACTTGGGCAATGCGATGGACGAATTAATGAGACACCAACCAAGTCTCAAGGCCCAGGCCATGAAGGCTATAGTCAAGGTAAGTAGCTAGAATTATGAATACAGTATGTATTAAGAAAAACATTATGCCTTCATTGGATGTGCGGGGGGAGAGGGGTGGGCAGATTGGGGTTTTCACCTATATACTGCCATACTTTTCTTAATCCTAAGATGTTAACAAGGTTGTGAAAAGCATTGAAATTGGAGCAGTGAGGTTTTATTGGGGTGTATGTGTATTGTCTGAAGAAATATTCAAGCTGTTTTATAGGTTTTCACTTGTGTAATGGGATTAAATGAATTGAACACTATATCGGGTACTATCATTAAGTTTGAAGTGATTTTCAGATATTTAAGATGAATTATATTGAAAATTAATAATCCTGTTGGCACATTATTTCATTTTCAGGAATTTGAGTAGTGAATCAGTGAGATGGACATTAAGAGATTGGAAACCTTCATAGTTAGAGGGTGGCTGAGCATTGACAGTATTGATGAAGCTTTGTGTAGAGGTAGGCTGAGGTAGCTTGGGCATGTGGAGAGACTACTGGAGATCAACTGGGCAAAGATGTGCATGAATTTACATGTAGAGGGGAGAGATAGTCCAAGAATGTCCGGGGAGAGGTTGTGAGAAATGATCCCAGAGATAAGAACAAGACAATAATGACTGCAGCTTAGATTGCTGCTAATGAATAATTTCCATTTGTTTACTATAGGTAGTCTACTTAATATCATTTATTTATTTTGATTATGAAGTTGATTTAATTAAAGAAACATTAGAAGCTTTCAATACATTCTTAGTGATGTGTGTTATCTTATGTACAGTTACTGGAAGAGGTCTGCCTTTTGGGTAGTGACACTCATTATATCTGCTGGAAGACACCACCCAAGCATGAAGCATCACCTGCTCCAGTATCTAGGTGAGTATGAGTTCTACTAGCAGAATAATTGACAAGACACAACTAAGTGATCGTATTTCTGAAATTTATAAGGCACGATACATGATAGTTTTGGAAGATCTTTAATTTAACTGATGATACTTCACTGTGGGTGCTCACATAACCAGGGTGTAGTGGTGTAGCATCCTGTGTAAGGTGTTGGGGGACCCCTTCTCCAATTCAGGTTTTCAAATTCTTCTCAAGTGTACTTCATTATACTAAGAGTAAAACACTTCAGCCCACATCATCTTAATTTTCACTTGTTTAATTTTTATAAGTAGCTTAACTTATGTGGTTAATCTTTATTGTGAATGGACAAAGCATGGCACATTGTACAGTATACATTTTTTCTTAAGTGAAATTACATCATCATTTATTCTCAGAACAAATGACAATTCAAGTGACGAGGAGGAAGAAGAGGAAGAAGAAAGAGATGCAGGTGTTACTGGACCGTCTGTTTCTGCAGGACAGCGAGAAGACGTTCCCCCTACAGACACTACACCAGGCGAAAAGCGGCCTGTACCGTTGGTTGACTATGTACTTAATGTCATGAAGTTTGTTGATGCCATCCTCAGCAACAACTCAACTGATGACCATTGCAAGGAATTTGTCTCCCAGAAAGGCCTCGTTCCTTTATTGGGCATTTTGGGATTGCCAAATCTTCCAATAGACTTCCCAGTTTCTCAGGCTTGCCAGTCAGTTGCATCTGTCTGCAAATCCATATTGGTAAGAAAACATTTTGGTTATTCTGTTTGTGTGTAGAAATTATATTGTGATAAGGCGGTATAAGATTCGATTTGAGGTATTAGTTATTGTTTCCTAAGGTACTGGCTTAAGATTCAATTTTATGAAAATTTTCTTGTACTGTATTATTTTATTTTTTCTTCATTTTCAGAATCTTGCCCATGAAAGTGGAGTTCTCCAGAGAGGACTTCAGTGCCTGAATGAGAAATTAGAAGCCCTGGCTCCATTACATCAACCTTTACCCTCCCCAGGAGGATCTGTTTTATTGCGTGAATTAGCTTCTGCGCCAACTCCTGGAGAGGCCACAGCATCTCCACAAGCCACACCTCTTTTACATACCTTGAGTGCTGTCCACGCATACATTATGATGCTAGTCCATGTATGCCGCACAGGACAAACAGAGATAAGGCAGGTGTCTATCAATCAGTGGGGAACAGACTTGGGATTGAGAGTGCTGGCAGGTCTCACACAGCTGTATACTTCCCTGGTGTGGGAGAGTACAGTCTTATTGGCACTGTGTTCAGATGATGCTCTACCTGCCGGTTGTCTCTTTGGCAAGGAAGATACTGACAAACTTCTTCCTACAGACCTGAAAGTAAGTTACTGTTATTGATATATATATATATATATATATATATATATATATATATATATATATATATATATATATATATATATATATATATATATATATATATATATATTATTTATTTATTTATTTATTTATTTATTTTTTCATCTCTCCACAGATCTGAAGTCATAGCTACAGAGTATGTTCCTATATATTTAATAATTTTCATGTACAGTATCTCAAAATACAAGTTTCATTAATTTCTAATTTCAGTGTGAGGATGGAAGCCGAAGTGAAGCCGTTGCAATGGAAGTGACAGAAACGGACGTTATGGCACCAGCAGGAGGCAGCACACCGACAGCTGATGACACTAGCACTGAAAGCCCGACACGACAACAGTCAGCAGCAACGCAACACCAGATGAAGCTCATTAAACCACTCTTGTCATCAGCTTCTAGATTAGGGAAGGCTTTAGCTGAACTCTTTGGCTTGTTGGTTAAGGTATGTGAATAAACTGAATGTATTTTCAAAAAGAAGATAAAATAAATCATCCCATGTAAAAGCGGAATACTGTATATTAATTATTTTGAGGTTTGTAATCCCGCCATGTTATCCCTGGATTAATGAGATTTCATAATCTTCCATATGTCATATTTTGACTTTTTTCTCAAGAAAAAGATTTAATATTTCACATCCACTATCTATTATATTAATGAAAATACTGTACATTTATCATATATATTTGTAATGCCTCTTTAGCTGTGTGTGGGGTCACCACTAAGACAGCGAAGAGGTCAACAAGTGGCAACTCCAATCACTCCACCATCTGCATCAGCAAGGGCAGTGGCATCTGCTTTGGCACAACTCCTTAATGCAGGACTCTCATGGACCCCTCCACCATCTTCTCCTGTACCCAAGTTTCGTCTTACTTTCCTAATCTGCTCTGTTAGGTTTACCAATCCCATGCTTTTTGATGATAAAAAGATGCCCTACCATCTGATGCTCCAGTACTTTGTGTCTTCCCAAGGTCTTGAAGGTATGCCTCCTCATATTGTTACCCTAGTTCATAGTTTTAGCCAGATCTGATTTATTACATTTGGTTAGGAGTGCAAGTTGTGTAAAAGTCCTCCTGATCATGCCATATTATTATTTCTTGAATAGACTGGCCAGTATTTAGGGCTTGCTTAAGCTCTGAACTGATGCTCCAAACTGGATGATTATCTCCATCGTGGCAAAGAGAAACTCCTTGTGTGAACCGTTACTGTACAGTACTTCTTAGCGGCTTAGCTTATCTAATTAATAATTTCGGCTGTCCAGCACTTTGCATAGTGTTTGAGAATCTCGCTGTCAAACAATTTAAGTAGCCCAGATTTTTATATTACCAAATTCACTCGTGATATTAGCTCTTATTTCAAATCTTTTACAGTAGCAGAAAGGTTGCATAATAGTTTATCTTACATTCAGGTATTGATAGTGAGGAGAACTACAACTTATAAAAAACCTTCTGTCTGTGGACTGAATGTGAGATTGTTAGTGCATTATGTCCCTGGAGCAGGCAATCACTTCACTCTTAACTTCATTATGGCCTCTCGTGCCTTCTAGTTGCCTTTTTTAATTTATTTTTTCCTTTCTTGTTAGTGACAATGATTAGAAGAAAAATTATCAGGAATACTCTCCTTCTTCAAAATTCTAAAACTCTCGGTCATTTCTTTGAGGGAAGGTGATTCATAAATGTGATAAACCAGCATGCTGCAAAACTTGATGGTTTAATATTCATTCTCTATATTTTCAGCTTTCTTTGACACATTCGAGTGGGCCATCACCGCAGGGGGTACTGTGCAAGGGCAAGATGGATTAGATTCTGGGGAATTACCAGAAGGTACTGGAGAATTCTTGGACACATGGCTATTCTTGTTGGAGCGATTAGTCAACCCTCGCACTATGTTGGACTCCCCCAACTCTCTTCCTGCCAAGTCCTCACAACCTGGGTACCAGCCATTCAGCCCCCTTAAATTTTTAATTCATATACAGAAGGTATGTCTAATAAATAATTATTTAATTGCAAGAGTGGAAATTTTAAGCATTGTCATGTACAGTATAGATCAGGGGTTCTTAAACCTGGGGTCCATGGATGGGCTTCAGGGGGTCCGTGAAGGTCAGATAAAAATTTAACATTTATCTTCAAGCCAAACAACAACAACAGAATTAAAGTTTTGTTTTGTTTAATTTGCACAAGATGATTGTATTTCATTTTTGTATGGAGTGGCCATTAATTTTTGCATAAAGTGTGAAACATAATTCTTTAAGATTTACTTTATTCATACTTTGTGTATGTCAGACACTGTATGAGGCAATGAATTTTCAATAAAATAAAATATATTCATTGCATGCAAAGTTGTGCTTATGTGCATTTTTCTAGGGAGGGGGTCCATAGCTTTCACCAGGTTCCCAAAGGGGTCCGTGACTGGAAAAAGGTTAAGAACCACTGGTATAGATAGGTAGTTGTACTGTATTTATTAATAAAAATTCTTGCCAGTTTATTAATATCTATTCATTTTCAGTACAATGTGCACATAACATGTTTTGGAATAGATTTAACTGCAACTGAGGTAATGGTTTTTATTAAAAATAAATCTTTCTTTTGTTCAGGTTGCATTTGATGCTGTCATGAAACTGTGGAACAAGAAGCCACTGAAGTCTTATGGCGTTCGCATATCTGAATCTGTTTTGGTCATCCTTTGCTCCATCGTCAAGGGTGAAGCAATCATACTTGAACGTTTAGCTAAGGAGAAAGAGAGCACATCTACTACTGCAGTTACAACAACCACCACCACCACCACCACCACTACTGCCAATACAAACACTAGCAGTACCACAACCACCACCACTACTACAACTACTGCTACCACTGCCACACCATCAGCTGTACCAGCTTCAACTCCAGCCCCTGCAGAGACCACCAGTCAACCCCCTTCAGCTGATGTGGAGGTGAACCAGCAGCACCTGCAGTCACTGATGGACATGGGTTTTGCAAGGGAACGTTGTATGGAAGCTATTACACAGACCCACACACTTCAACAGGCCACAGAGTTCTTACTAATGAACCCACTCATGGACCAAGTTGCTGGTGTAAGTATTAAAACTGCTCTTCTGCCGATTTACATTGGAAACTCTTTCTTACGATAATGCAGAAACATGCTGTACTCCCCCCTTCTTTAAATATCATTTGTCTTTTAATACCTCCACCTCCTTCACCCCCCCAACCCCCTTATTTTATCCTCACATCAGCTGCACTTTTTATGATAGCACTTTAAACTGCTTCCATCCATGTTCATATTCATGAGCCCATTATATGTTTCTTTAAATCTGTCGGCCACATTCTCTCTCCTGGTTTCATTGATTAATTTATTTTATTTTATTTTTATTCACCTGTCTAAATTATTTTTACCTTAAACCTCTCATGTGATATTGTTGTGACATCTTCCAAATATGTATAAAACTGTGGAGTCAAGGACAGTGAAATGTAATTGACACGGGTATTCTCAGCCACCTATATACATCCCTTGATGGTAAACTCCCCTGAATCAAAATTACAGGGTACAGTATGTCAGTTATCTTTTACATATGATGTTCTTAAAAACAAAGATGAGTATTTATAACTTGTTTTGTTTAAGGTAAAATAGATTATTTCTAGAATATTCATTTTAGATTTTTGAAGAAGTTCATTTACTGTACATAATGACACTACTTTATATATCTAAGGTCGGAGGAAGTGGAGACATGGAACTCACCGAGGAGGACCAGATGCTGCAGGCTATTGCCATGTCCCTGGGAGAGAACGTACAGGTGTCTGGCACCAGTAGTAGTGGACAGCAACTCAGTGTAGTCACCAAGCCCCCACCTGTACCTCAGAAAGAAATGGATGATGAGCCCCTCAGTAAGGAGACTCTCAGTAAGTACACAAGCACTTATGGTTACTGGTTTAAAAAAAGTGTTCAACAGTTTTACAGGTCAGAAAAATTTGTAAGTGCCAGTATGCAGACAGTGTTATTGTACCCGTTTTCTCTCACCTTATTATGTTTGTCCTCCAGAGTATTAGATTTTATATCTAGAAGTGTAAGTTATAAGAGTTTAGAGGTCATATTGCAACTATATCTTGCGCTAGTCAGGCTGCACCTCGATTATGCTGTTCAGTTCTGGTGCCCTTATAGAATGGATATCAATTCACTGGAGTCGGTGCACAGAAGAATGACGAAAATGATTCCGGGACTTGGAAACCTTCCATAACATGATAGGTTAAAGAAACTAAACTTGCATTCCCTAGAAAGACGAAGAGTGCGGGGAGATATGACAGAAATATTTAAGTGGGTGAAAGGATTCAATAAAGGAGATATAGATAAAGTTCTTATAATAGCCGAGCAGGAAAGGACTCGTAGCAATGGATTTAAGTTGGATAAGTTTAGGTTTAGGAGGGCGATAAGAAGGAACTGGTTCACAAATAGGGTGGTAGATGAGTGAAACAAGCTTAGCAACTTTGTAGTAAGTGCTGGAATGCTGGAAAGTTTTAAAAGGAGTCTAGATAGATTCATGGATGATAGAGTGGGGTAGTAACTCGACAGGAGCTGCCATGCACAGGCCAACCGGCCTATTGCAGACTCCTTATGCTCTTATGATGTTCTTACTGTTTTGTCCTCATCTAATTTTCCTGTTTTTCTTATTTTTCTTGCTCTTTAGTTTGTTGTCATTGTTCTTTTCCTATTTGCTCTTCTTGTTATTTTTACTTACCCTGTTTTCCACCTATTGTCGTCATTCTCAACTTTTTTGTCCTTGTTTTCCATCTTTGTTTTTTGTTCTCCACCTTATTGTCCTTGTCCTCCATTTTTATTGCTCATGTACTAAGATCTCAATATTCTTGTTCACCTTTGTGTTGATATAATTTCCTGTCATAATGTTTTTCTCTTCCATCTTATCTTTGTTGTATTTTGTCATTGTCGTCCATCTTGTGTATACAGTAATCCATACTTACTGTTAAATATTGCTCTTTAATAATAAAAGGGGGGGGGGTTAGTTATAGTTGTGCGGGTCATAGGTTAGGGTCCTGATTAATGTCTGTTCTGAATAAAAATAATACGGGTCTGTGTTATATAGTAAACTTAACTTTAATGATGATAATTGAGGATGGTGTTGGTGGTGATAAGAGGATGATGATGATCAAGGGAACTTTTTTTGTACCTGAACTGTGAGGGGCCCTGTTTTAATATTTTTAATGTCCAATTGTTTTAATCTGTAAAGCTATAATTTATTTTTTCCCCCAGATAAATTCACAGAACGTGTATTGGAGGGATGTTTAAGTCAGCTAGACGTTCAGCCACAGATGGTGTACAAGGTATGCGAACTACTCACTACATGTGCAACACGCAATGGTACTACATGGAGAGACAGCATGCTGACCACACTCATAAACCAGGTAATTAAATCTACTTACTGTACAATACAATAAAAATAGGCACACAACAGGCTGATGCATCCAGTCTGTCTGTAGATTGCTTTATGCCAAAGAAGTGTTCTTTGAATATATATTCTTGTAATTTCTTTGGTACTTATTTTCATCAGTTATGTAGCTGTTATCGGATATTTAATAAATATAGGAATCGTTGTTTTTGGGGATGGTGTCAGAATGAAGGCACATCTGTAGCTATTTGTATTAGTTTTAAATTTCTGAATGGCATGTTTTTTTCTTCCTTTTACAGATTAGTACTCAAGCTTCACAGTTACTTTTAACACGCACACTCTCGACACAGGAGACTGTAGAACTCTTGTGCTCATCCGTCCTGGCAGCGAAATTTGCAGTCAGATTACACCTTGTAACTCTGCTGTTTGAGGTGTGTGCACTGTACCCTGTGTTGTGTGTCGATATAACTTTCTTCTTCTTTTGATAAGATTCTCATCATACAGAACTAATGGAAAGAATATAATACTTATGAAATAATTTGAAGTGAATTGTGTATTTCTCTTTTCTTTTCCTTGTGCCGAGTACTTTCTATTCAGTTATCCCTCTGCTCCTGTTATCATTCTGGGGTTAGCTTCTCTTAATTTTAGTGTATGATGGTTTGTTTTCATGTGCAGAGACTCCTCTTTATCATTTAGAACTTCATATCCAGTGTTGTAACCGACTGGGAGAAGCTTTAGTGTGGAGTAGCACAAGACATCAAACTTGGACCAATTAGTATATTACTGTTTTGGTTGTGGTCAACAGGCTTTTGATACAGTTATCAGATTTGGAGAAAAAAATTATCTTGGAATTAAAATTTTTAATTGTTACAACTGCTGTTCCCAACATTAAACATAGATATTCAACAAGCCCATGTCAAGCATGTCTATTTCTCGTGTTATTTTATTCTCATTTGAATAAGATATTGTTGTAGGTCAGTTTGAGTCACTATGGAGATGTTTTGCACTATTGACAAAAGCTCTTTCTTTTTAGGTAAATTTACTTTATTTATATTTCAGGAAATGAAAAGTGGTTGTGCCAAAGCCATGGAGCAAGCTGGATTGGTGGACATCCTTACAGATTTATTTACCTTAACACATGCTGCTATGGCTTCCATCCCACCTGCCACCACCCCTACATCAGTATCTTCAGCACCAACACCTCCATCAGCTGGTGCATCTATACCCTCAACCTCTCAGACAAAAGAAAAGGACAAAGAATCGGGGGATAGCTCAGGAACACCCAAATGGATCTCCCCAGGCCTTCTGCTACTTGATCTCTATGAAAAGTTGGCTATTGCTACAAAGAGAAGAGCTGCTGTTAGCAAGGTCAGATGGCATTTCTTTATTTTATTATTATGTACTGGGTGATAGATATTTTTTTGTGGAAATTTTTTGTGGATGCTCACTATGTCAGTTTATTATTGTGGTAATGTTTTAACAGATATGTAACCACGTGTGGAAATGGTTTGACATGAGCACACTCAAATGGTGTGCTTACTCGGCCAGCAACAATAAGACCATCGATGATGCTTACTGGGCAGGCGAGGCCAGCATCAGGATCATTAATGGACGCCGGAAATACACCATCCAGTTCCATTCAATGGTTCAGGTAAGGTTTGGATAATGTAAGACATACATGATAGATTATTGCACAAAGTAGTCGTCCTCATCTCCACCACCATTTTATGGCCAGCTTAAATGCTTGTGTGGATATAGCTGTGACACATTGAGAACATGGTGTCCCGGTGAAGCTTCATTGAGTGATACTTGTGTGTAGCATGGAGAGCTGCCATCAGGTATTTGCAGGTAACCCACAGAAGCTTGGAAAATGGCTGTAAAATGATTTAAGGTGAGATTTGGAACTTAAAAGGCATATATGTAAAATGTATATACAGTATACTGGTTAAATCCACACCATGTGCCTAAAGATTTTCAGATCATATTTGAATGTTAACAGAGATAAACTAATGTTAATATGTTGATACATATATACTGAAAATATAAAATGTTTGAATTGAGGTGTAATAGTTTATATTAATTATCATTTATCAGGTTAATGAGGAATCCGGTAATCGTCGTCCTGTTATGATCACAGTCAAAGATAAAGCAATTGCTGAAGAGAAGAAAAAATTGCCCAGCATCATGCCTCAAGACGAGTCCACCCCAACCACAGAAGAGGAAGGTTCAACAGCCAGCAAACTGGTTGTTGCTTCTGAGGAGGAAAAAACTGAAATTAGTGGGGCTGAGGAAGAAGCAGGCGCTTTAGAGACTGCTCCGGCCTCAGGAACAGATGTGCTGGCTGATGCTGTGACTATTGCAACTGGTGGAGATGAAAAGATGGAATGTGAAGATGGTGAAGGTGAGGATACCACCACTGTGGCTCCTGATCTTAACACCACAGAAGTGATGTCAATTGAAGGACTCACAGAAACTCATCATGAAGCTATGATCAGGTAAACGTTTTTATATTTTAATTTCATTATATATTAGGCAGATTATCCTCTTGGTAAAAACACACTTAGTGTTGATGCTATAATCAGGTTCATTAAAACTTAGGGAATCATTGTTTCCAAACTGTGCATGACTGCTTATTAACCATGTCTGTGTCAGAACCTCCTGCTGTATCTCCTAACACTTGTTGCCTCCACCACCTCGTACTGTACCTCCTCCAGCTTTACTTCCTCCGCCACCTGATGTGCCTCCAAATCCTCTTGCAGTACCTCCAAGTTTAATGAAACCACGCATAGATACAGCAGTACAGTACAGTTTAATGTTTGCACTCGGGTAGCTGCTGCCGACCCACATTTACAGAATAAGGAAGTCTATTTTATTTTTTATTTATTTATTTTTTTATTTTGATTTATTTTATTTATTTTTTATTTTTATATTGTTATTAATATATTTTTTTAATATAAAAATTTTAGTTTTAATTTGTAAATTGTCTATTATTCCAGAGCTTGTGTGGGCTTCATGAAGTTGGGAGTAGAACCAGACACACTTCATGCTCTGATGCGTCTGTGCCTGAGAATTACTCGGGTGTGGGAACAAGCATGTCTTTTCGCCAGCCTGGGTGGAGTGCGGACCTTACTGTCCCTTACAGAGTCATCAGGATTCTGGGGTTACCAGAATCTAGCAGCATTGCTGATGAGACACGTACTGGAGGAACCCACAACTTTAAGATACACCATGGAGAAGGTCTTGGTTCTTATTTTGATTGATGGTTTAAGTTTTAGTAACATGTAGTTCTGGCTTAACGTTTTTCTCTAAATATGTATACTCGTATAATCTAAAGGGCATCTAATATAGTGTATAAACTATGCAAGTATGATATGTCTAGAGTCACTGTAGTTATTGGTATTCATCCCAATGTCTGTTGTTTACTGAGTGGCAATTTTATTTTTTTAATCCAACCATTGCTATATGATTTTTTTTATTAAGCTTTAGTTCAATTACTATTTCACACTTCAGTAACAATTACTATAGAAACTTAAGTAAATATTAATTTACTTTGCAAATTAAATGTGTACAGTATATATGCTGCTAATGTGTTGCTATAATTGTCTTGCAGGTGGTAAGATCATCAGCAAGCAACAACACTATGTCAGGGGCTAAGGAACTGCACTATCTGTTACGATTGCTGGCTCCTGCTGCTTGCAGGGATCCTCAGCTTTTCACAGAGATTACTCAACAATGCCTTAGAATAGACCTAAACATGACTCTTAAAAGAAATCTCATGTCAGCAAATAGTAAGTACAATATTCCACCTGTATTATATTGATTTATTACTTTAACTGAAGCTTAAAGAATTAATTACTATATTCTGATAGGTTATCTATGAAATAAATGGCAACTTGACTGCAGTCTCACTTTGCAATTACTCAATTACTGTATAGTACTGTATTCTTCCTCCTAAGTTTTGAATGTTCTACTCCTCTTGACCCAAGATATTTTTATTACCAAGGCACCTATCATGGAATTGACGTGCATCCCTTTAACTCACTCCTCATAAGTAAGGGGAACTAAAAATATTTAGTGTTAATTTGTACTTTAGTCTTCAGCACTTGTTGACAGTATTAATGTGTATCTCATTTCTTGCAGGTGAAGACAGTATTTTGATGAAAAGTGTTGGTATGAAGAGTGTCATAAGTAATGCTGGAGGCAGCACTAGTGGTGCCAGTACTACTGGGAGCTCTGCTGTTACCACCAGCATGACCCTTAGCTTGGAGCCTCAACAGTTGATTCATGATCTCCTTGAAGCCCTAACATCATTGAAAGAAGATTCCGACTTTGTTCTTGCATCTTCTCTCCTTCCAAACACCACTGTGGCTGGTAGTGTGGTGACCAACACCACCCCAATAGAAGAAAGAACTGCAGCCACCACTACCAGTGTCCGAAGACAACTGCACCTCTCTCGCTCCTCCTCAGCCAATGATATGGTTGTTCAGGAAGCCGATGAGCAAGTTAGTGGTTGTGCTTTTAATAGTTAGTTATACATAATCCTAAAAGAAAAGTAAAGAGAATGGTAAAAGTGATGAAAAGGATAATACAGTTCATGAAAGATGGGTCAAAATAGTCGCAAAGTTTTGAAGAGGACAAGTATTTGCTCTGGTATATAGTTCATAATTCTGAGGTGGATGGTAGGAGGAGATGAAAGGGAAGGAGAACTCCACAAGTAAGGGGGCATGAACATCTATTAAGGAGCGACATGTGTAGAGCTTGGTGGTGTGTGATCTTGATCCACTTCTTTAACTCCGATTCTTTTTTATCTTTTGTCACCTGACCCTGTTATTGTTACTTTTTATCAGATAATGTACAGTACTGTATATGTTTCATCACATTCTCATCATTGAGCAATTTTTATTCTTAACTCGTGTTGACAAAATTACTGTATATGAAAACTTACACTGCAGAGTCCAATGGAGAGTGATGCAAGTAAGTTGCCTGGCACCGATAGTAAAGCCATCTCCAGTGACAAGGCTGATGATGCTGCTAAAAAAAGGAAGCCTCTTTTATTCAAGTCACTTATATGCAAACTCTTAGCAGAATTTGTGCGGTCTTATGCTGGATGTGCTAAGCTAGTCACTGAACACCATTACTCAGCTGGGACCAATGAGAAGATCACTGAGGTATGTGTAAGACATTGAATAATTACGTGATTTGTTTCAGGTTTACAAATACTGTATACTGTTTTATGCATTTAATTTGGTAATATATCTTGATAAAATCACACAGGAAAAGGGAAACAACGGAGCACCTTGTTTTTTCCCTTTTCCCGTATGATTTTATCAAGATTTATCTTATCCATGTTTTCATTGTGGATCTACATGAAATTTGGTAATATATGTGTACAAACTTGATTTCCATAATTTTAATCATGAATTGGGAAATCTAAAATACGGCTTTATAGATGAATGGGATACAGTATGTTTTAAATAGGGAAGATATGTATTTAACAAGAGTATTTAATGATACTAAAAGGATATTACTGGATACTAAGATGTAACATTTGTGTCTAGGACTGCTCAGCTTTGGCCTACATGCTGGACCACCTTATTTGCAACAGCCCAGTATACGATAAGGATACCGCTGGCAATGTACGTGTGCTCATAGCTGCCCTCGCATCCTGCAACCATGCCCCAGAAGCTCAAACAATCCTAGTGGCAGAGGTGAGAGGAAACCCTTAAAAATTACCTGATTCACTTCTCCGTAATAAAAGTATTCTGATGGTTAACAATCTTCCAGGTTCTTTCTGTTTAATTAAGAACTATAATATTGATAATTACTGGAATGCAAAATAATAAAAACTGCAAATACTTCCAGGTTAAAGCAGCTCTGGGTCGTGCCACAGTATTACCAGAGAGCATGGAGAAACACGGACGGATCCAGGCGCTTGTGGGGCTGATAGGTACCATGATGGAAGCGTGTCCTGCACAGTTAAATCAGCCTCCTAATTTGTGTTTCAAGCAACAGCAACATGGGTAGGTTAGGTTAGGTTAGGCAGGCAACTTTTTATAATCCGTACAAAAAAAATGGCATGTCACGTCGTCATTTGTTGATCAGTAGGGCGTCCGAAAAATGTGTCTTGCAGCACAGATTATCATACTTGTTAAAAAAGGGAACAGAGAAGGTTAAAAGGTGTTTGTTTGGAGGAGGAGGAAGTTGAAGGAACAGTATGTAAATAAAATATACTATGATCCTGAGTTGGGAATAATGGAATTATGCCAACATTAGCATGTGGAGTAGTGTAGCGAGGTGGGCCACATTAAAGGGGTGGACTATTAAAGTGTAGGTGGATGTAGAACACAGCCAGACTTTCATGGTGGTGGTGGAATGATGAAGTGGACAGTGATAAAGGAGAAAGGGGAGATTTTATAAGGCTTGGAAGATGGTTGGTAATAAGGAAGAGCATCTGGAGACCAAATGCGGGGCAAGAAGAAAGGTTTGTTTGCGAGGCTAAGGAACATTAACAAGATGCATTTGTGGATAAACTGACTTGAGAGGATGCCAGGGGTGAGATAAACAAGGATGTAGTTAGTGAGCCATGTATGAGAATAGACTGTGCAGTACTCTATTATTATTATTATTGAATACACAAGGGCTAGTGTACAATGTGCTTACCCAGCCATCTTCTCCACAGTCAGGATTTAATGCCAAATTATTCGTGTGTGCATGTGCAATAATTAACCCCACGTAACCGTTTACTACAAGCTTCTGACCTTTTCAGGATGAACAACATGATACGTGTAATGGTACGCAAAGGCCTGGTGACAGACCTTGCACGTATTCCTCACAGCCTTGACCTCTCGTCTCCCAATATGGCTGTTACGATCAATGCTGCTCTCAAGGCTCTAGAACTCGTGGCTCGCCTGGTCAACTTGCCATCAATTGTACCAACATCATCATCCAAGAAAAAGAATACGCAGCATGATGACTCACAGCAACCAATAGGTAAGTGAACATTACTTTGCTGACAGTTATGATTACCATTGAGTAGTTACCTAAATTCTTTTTCAGTACATACAATAAATTATGGGAATTCTTCAAGTTCTAATAAAAACATTGTAGTTTTGTATTTTGTGTGCTAGTGAATCACACATACACACACAAAAAATAAAATAAATAAAATAATAATAATAATAATAAATAAATAAATAAAATAGTGCCCAAATTACCTATTATTAGTAGTAGTTGTTGTAGTGTTGGCAGATGTGAGAGAATATTATTTGTCAAAATATATGGTGCTGTTCAAAGCAGAAATGTTGAATATATTCTTCGGGCACAACTGGATTTGCAGTGATGGTTTCTATACATTTGACTGTTCGGTAGGTACAGCATGCCCTTCAAATTTGTGGATTTTTAATTGGCAGACCTAGATTATTTGCAGGTGACACCCTGGATGTACCCAAGAATGTCTAAAGGTAGTTTTAAAGTTGCTGGCATTTTCGTGGCTGGGACAGGGAGCCATTCGTTCTAGAGACAGTAATTTCCTTTACTTGTATTGTATATATGTGTGTGTGTGTGTGTGTAAACACACACACATATGCTGTACAATACAGGTAAAAAAAATAATTGTCCTAAGAGGAAACACACAGAGAATATACATTTCTTTATACACAAGTAAAAATGCAACTCATCCCCCCCCCCCCCGAGTCAGCAAATGTTATTTGCTGATTTGGTGATTCACGGCCATTTTGAGAACCTAACCCCCGTGAATTTGAAGGGCCTACTACATTATATATATTTATTCCTGTGCTACTGGTTCCCATTTGCAAATTTTTATATAATAAGAAATAAGGTTCAGCAGTTCATAATTCATAAATGGAACTTGTTTAACATGACTTAATTTTTTTTTTTTACTAACCCAATGGTCCTTTGCTTCACTCTTTGCTGTTGACCAGAACAAACCCTTTAGATGGTGATATTTTTTATACCTGAAATTCATTTTGTGTCGGATCAATGTATGCAGTTAAAAAACTACTGTTCACCTCTTCATTATTTTTTACAGGAACAGAGACGACAAACAGTGAAGCAACTCGAGCACAAGGTGATGATAACATTGAAGACACAGAGAATACTGAACATGACATATCTGGTGCTGGAGAGAGTCTGGAGCCAACTTCTGATGCACACCCCAATGACGTAAGTGGGAGATGTACCAAGACAAAGTCTCTTTTACTAAGATACCTAAACATTTATATAAAGTACTAGGTATAGCAAGGAAAAAACTGAACTTTTATTACACCCTAAATAAAAGGCGAAGAAAAGGACAATAATACAGGTAGTGGGTAGTAGGCAGCTATCAAACAGGGAGGTACTACTGCATGGGAAGATATTGGAATCATAATGTGTTGTCTAATGGTAGACCCTGCTGCCATATGGCATCACAAAATTGTGACCAAGTCCCAGGTTGCTGATCTGACTTTCTGCCCCATTTGCACACAATTGCAGGTCTCAATTGTTTCTCATACTTTGACAACACAACATATATAATGTATATCATTTCTCATTCTTGATATATTTATTTATTATTTTGGATTTATTTATGGTAATTATTATTTTTATTTTTATTAATTTTTATTATTATTATATTTTCGTCCCCCAGGCCCTGATGTGGGTCAGTGACCTGTGGGCTAATCCCTGTAAATAAAAGAAAAAAGGTTACGATATACTACTAAGAACAACAAACACCCCCCCCCCCCCTCCATAAGACTGCTGAAATTTAAAAGGATGAATAATGTGAAATAAATTTAAAATGTTTTACTGTCCATCTTTATTTAAGTGAAACGTGTTAGTGTGGCAGGTAGTGGGAAGGTGGTTAACAGTAGAAGTAGAATTAGTCCGTCATGGTTATCCCATAGCAGGAAAGGACTCACAATACTGGAAAAGAAATTTAATTTATTAACAAATGGCATGGCATGCTAAAAATTATGCAATTGCAATAACCTAATTTACATTATTTCTCAGGATGGCACTTTGGTTGAAGGTGATGAGGCTGGACTAGAAGAGATACTGGATCATCTTCTAGAAGATGGTGGCGGTGGGGGAGGTCGAGCACAGCCCCACCGTGACTCTGTCACAGCCACTGTCACATATGTCATTGACCGTGATGCTCCCATGGATACCGATGACACACTCCATGACTCCCGTATGGTGTCACACAGTGAGAGCCAGGTTAATATTCATAGCTTATTGTCCTCTTCCAAATCATGTGTAAGGGATTTCATAATAGTCTATTTGTAATGTTATGAGCTCACTGATTCCAAATTCACTTGTTTTTAATTTTAGAAAAGTTACAAATTCCCATTATTAAAGTTTGTCTCAAGTGAAACATTCATAACTTCTCACTTGGTAATTGTCTGTGTTCTACCTTGGAATATGAGGTAGGTGCAAGGATATGCAGCTGTAAGAGAAAGGTATACTGCATGCTTATACAGTAATCCCACTGATTTGGAATAACTTCTCAAAATATTCTTGTTCTGAAAAATTGCAATGTGACTGAAATTTGAAATTATTCCTTAATGTAATTCATAATAATATGCCATACTTAAAAATTATGAAAATTTCTTTGAATAAGTTATTATAATAATACTTTATATAATGTGTATTTGTTAGGTTCTTCTTATATTAATATAACATGAACTTGAACTTATGAGTACTGTTTTTTACCATAGTTCCTGGATGAAGGAGAAGATGGAGGAAATGAAGAACAGGAAGATTCGTCATCAGAATCATCTGAAGAAAGAGAAGAGGATGAGGCAGATGATGAAGATAATGATGAAGAAGTAGAAGAGGAGGAGGAGGAAGAAGAAGATGGGGGTGAGTGGAATATTGTACAGTACAGCATGTCCTTAAAATTCACAGACCTCAATTATTTGCGGATGACACCCTGGATGTACCCAAGAATGTCTAAGGGTAGTTTTAAAGTTGGTGCCATTTTCACGGCCGGGACAGGTAGACATTCGTTCTGGTGACAGTATTTTCTTTTACCTGCATTGTATGTTTGTGTAGACACACAAATGAATAAATAATAATGGGAAACTGCTCTCACAAATAATCAGAAACAAAACAACAAATGCTTTGTTTAGAACTTTAATAACAAAGCATGGAGTTGACTTGAGGGTAGAGCAGTAGACTCACATTTTTAATGCATTTTTGTTGTCTTGTTTCTGATTATTTGTCAGAGGATTTTCCCATTACAGTATTATTTGTGTGTATGTGTGTCTACACACACACACACACACACACTGTCACTATGTTGAAATGAACTGTAGTTTGAGCTTTTCCCCATCTAGTTATTATGTCTTATTTGTGTCACTTATGTTACTTGTATATTATTTGTAATTCGTAACCCATTCCCCAAATATGTAACTGTATATTTTCAGCCTTCTGGCTGCCAAGCTCTTTCAATAAACCGTTAATTATTATTATTATTATTATTATTATTACACACATACACACACACACACACACACACACACACATATATACAATACAGGTAAAAGAAATAATTGTCCTAAAGGCAAACACATAAAGGGAATATACATTTCTTTGTACACAAGTAAAAATTTGCACACACACACACACACACACACACAATCAGCAAATTTTATTAGCTGATTTGGCTGTTTGCGGCTATTTTGAGAACCTAACCCTTGCCAATTTTAAGGGCGTGCTGTATAGCATTTAGTATGGGACACTCATCAGATGTCTGGGTTAGAGTCTCGGCACCAACCAATGTTACAAAAAACTTCTAACTTTTTTTAACTGCTTTAAGTTGAGCTGCCTAACTCTGGGCTCCGCCAAAAATGGGATTCTCAACGTCCTACTTTTCTCTTGACAAGTGTTAATTTTTTGGATACTGTCTATGATTAAGCCTCAACATATGCTCCATAACACTTGATTTAAGGAAATGCTAATATGTGGTTCTGGGAACTGTTGTAAACTGAATTAATATTAAATTACAAATATTAAAATTTATAGAAGTACTGTAAGTTGATTTTATTTGTTAATTTGATGATCTTCTCTTTAAATGATGTTAAGTTTATAATAGTTTTTATTACAATATTGAATAAAATATCAGTGCCAAGTAAAAATATGAATGTAGAATAAAAAGAATCCTTAATTCAGCTGATGATGATGATGAAGATGAGGAGGAAGAGGAGGAAGGTTCTGTATTTGATGAGGGTTACGAAGACCTGGAGGAAGCCTTCATTCGCCTTCCAGGTGACCGCGACTCGGACGACATCCTTCTCCTGCCGTCGTACCAACAATACATAGACACCATAGATACCATCATTTTCGGAGACCGGGTAGATCGGGTCTCCCTCCATCATCACAGCAACTCCCACGAAGGTCCAACATTTTTGGCGTCGACACCTAATGCTAATCCAGGTAAGTTGAGGGAATTTGAATGTAGGAATGTTTCTTGGCTGAGGGAGGGCCAGGAAATTCACAATCCAAGAGGTTGCCATGCCAACAACGACAGGCATCAGATGCTTTACTATGAAGTATCCAGGTTATGTCTTCAGATTGTTAGGGTCAAATGAGGTCAGAATTAGAGGATAGAGTACTGTGGAAGTGTTTGTTTGTCCTCAATTTAGAAAGCTCCCTGTTTTAGTTTTATCATATGTATTGTGTGTGTGTGTTTTATGTTGTAGAAAATAATTTGTATATAAAACTTTTAATGTGTCAATATATAGCTATCATTTATTAATTGAAGTATATACAGTATTTCAACTTGCAATTTATATATTTGTTTCCAGGTGGGAGCAATGCCATCCCCACTCATCCATTATTCCAGAACCCTCGTGAGGTTCCTACTGCAGCCAGTGCTCGCCTCAACAGCAGGCCCAGTCGTCAACGCGGGGTGCTCAGGTACCATACTGTCACCCCACGCACCCACACCACCACCACCACCATACTCCAGAGGTGACCCGCACTCCCCATAACCACAGCTTTGCTCAGCTCCTTGTATTACACTTTGTAGTCCACCTCTATCATCCCCTTTCTCCTTTTTATCATTGCATCTCCCTGACTATCCCAGCCAACCAGAATCTACTTGATCACCATTTTTAAGTGTTCTGGCAGGTAACCTTTTCTTTCTTTCCTTCCTGCATAGCCACTAAAATTAATTTCTTTGCCACGAATTCTTCCTAAAACTGCCCTATTTATAATTTTATCACCACCTTTCATCTCGCCTCAAGTTACTGTTTCTTGCAAATTCCATTATGAACACCAAGACTAAAATCAGAATCTTAAGAGGTATGAAACATTTGAAGTTAGACTGGTGTGTGTATGTATATTTCAAACAAGATTCCAGTTAATTGCTTTTAGGTGTGAGGAAAAGGAAATCACAGGACCTTAATCCAAAGATAAGAAGGGGAAATACAGTATAGGAATAACTGCTGTTCATGAGGGACCACTGTTTATTGCATAAGGGGAAGGGGGTATTGCCTAATTACATCTGCTTATTTAATTATTTATCACCCAGCTGCATAAAATGTTGACAGTTTTGTAAACTGGATGTGCCATATTAGAAGAGTAATGAATGACCATAGACCATGCTGTTAGAGAAAAGGCCGTTATGTTCTCTGCGCCAATAAAGCAAGAATTTGTATTGAAGATGGCCACGGTATCCAAATGTCCATCCCTTGACTCTGGTGTTCGTAATTCTGGTTTAAGCTTAGTTCTATATTTTTTTGAGAATGTTTTAGATCTAATTACTTCTGATCAAATTTAACTGGGAATGGAAATGAAGGTTTTCCCCTTCACTTGACTCGCTTAAATGCCTCTTTCTCTCTCTGCCCTTCTGGCTGATTAAGGTCTCGTGTCCTGTTTCAAACTTTTACACCTCTAATAATCACAAAACTTTCCACTTCCTAATGAGTCACTTAGCTCATTCATTTCTCATAGAAAAAATAGTACTAACCTCCTTTTACAGTCAAAGTGCTTCATTCTTCACTAATGAAATAAACTTGTGAGTGCTTCTACAGGCAGTGATCCCTCCCTCCAAAACTGTCAGGGTACCTTCCCTCTGCTGCTACACTAAACACTCATCACCATATCATTCCAGTCTTATTCACTCATCTTCACCATCACCACTGGAGTAGTGCAACATGAGACTCGACCCTATGCGAGTCGATCAGTATCGGACCATTCATTTTACATACATCGAAGAATTTTTGTATTTTCTCTTTTCATTGTACTCCTAGTAGTAATTTGAGTCTCCAGTTGCCTCCTATAATCTCCAGTCATTATTATGAGCCTTTAGTCTATTAAATTTCCACATTGTTTCTTTGTTAAAGATTTATACAAGTTTAAAATTTGGCCTTAATCTAATAATCTGAACAAAAATTGGTTATTGGTTTTAATGACTTGAGATAAAGTAACTTTAGCATTTTTTTTTTTTAGAATTATTGAAGGTAGGTAGAGAACTTTTAGTAGTGTAAGAGTAAATCAAAGCTGGTGTGATAAGAATTGAAATCAAAATACTGTAGGTGGAACTTCATGTTGTATATATGTCACCTGAAATGAAAAGATAGAAGTAGAAATGTTTAATGAAAATCAAAGTAGATTTGAATACAACAACAATATTGAGGTTGGTAAGTTTTATCTCATGTTATCCTTAATGATAGCTTTGTAGACCTAAGTAATAAAATGTAAATGTATATTACAAATCCCTTTAGTCATTTAATTTACAGTAGTAAATGGTTTACACTTGTAGGTGATCAAGTAGAGCTTGTAAGTGTATTGCTTGGTGTTAATATGTGCAGTACACAATACAGTACAGGTACATGTATTGAAAATTGTTATCCAGTACATTGTGTGTCTGTCTGCGTATCTATAGGATAGGAACTTGCTGTTATTTTCCAGACAAGAATCTTACAAAACACATTACTGTACCAAATAGTGAAACATTATATACTGTATTTGTATGAACCTTCCAAAAATACAGTAAGTGAAGGAACAATAATAAATACATGAGAGATGGATAAGTTATATAGATGAATTGATATTGTCCAGACATCTCACATTATATGTATGGTGTCTACAGTTACTTGAGCCCCATCCTGCTGTATATATTGTACCTCAGGCATGGGCAACCCGTGGGCCGCCTGTGGCCCAGACCATGTTTTGCACGGCCCATGGAGTGATTGAGAAATTCTATTTAATGTGGCCCGTGGTTCAGGTAGTTGCAGCCAGTTTATGGTTAGTAAAGCAATATTTATTAAAAGAATAATCTTCACACAATTTGTTGCTGTTTCATCACTTAAGCGTAAGTAACTACGAAAATGTAACGGTAAAATATGTATATGCTATAGTCAACAATATAAACATTTAACTTGTGTAATTTTATGGGCCAAGTTTGGCGCCGTCTCTTTGATGGATTAGCTGCTATGTGGCAGTGGGTCACTTGAGAATTAACTAAGGTTGGGTAAGTCCAAGTGGGGCTACAGGTGGTTGTCACACAGGGTTAAACTACAGGGTAATTAAGTACTTCCAGAATAACACAAACTCAAAAATCTCACCTCGGAAATCCATAGTTGGCGAGTAATTGACATGTAATTAAATTCTTCCAAGCATCATTGCAACCACTAATTACCCTGCAATCGAATTGTGGACCATAGATTCAGAATCAGCTTGCTGAGGAGTAACTACTGTATGCTGAGATTTTCAACAAAATCTAATTTTTGGTTGAAACTGCCAAGATAGTAGTAATTTTTTTACCGAAATATACTTTTATCTCGAAATTGGAATTTTAGCAGTAACTAATTAAGTACTAACAGAACAACACAAAACACCAAAATCACTGTTCGGAAACCCATAGTTGGCGAGTAATTAGCATTGAAATATAATTAAATTCTTCCAGGCATCATTACGACCACTAATTACCCCGCAATCGAATCGCGGACCATAGATTCGGAATCAGCTTTCTCGGAGTACCTTTAGGTTTTCATTGTAGTTCTCCATATGCCAAGATTAACATTGACATTATTCTGGTGGGTGTCTCTCATAAGAAAATGCTGTAACTGTAGGAAAAATAAATGTATTCACAGATTGCTCCACTCATCTTCTGTTAAATGCCAAGAAACATTAACATAGTGTATTACTTAAAAAAATTATTATGATAGATTTGTTTCATAAATGGGGAAAAGACTGATTGTAAACTGAAAATATCGTAAGGTGGACGTGACGATAAACTGCTTCACTGTCCTTGTTAATACAATCTTAATATTACTTTTGGGTGAGGTAGAATGAAAAATTTTGGTGGCTAGGCCTGCAGGAAAATATCTTAATCATAATGCGGCCTGTGAATGAGGAAAGGTTGCCCATGCCTGCTGTTCTTGAACAACTTGTGCCATTTTTTTCTTTGTTGAGGCAGCACATAATGGTACAGTACTGTATTTTGTTTATATTGGTTCAAAATATTCCACATACTGTACTGTAATCAGATCTCTTCATAGCCTCTGCCTTAAATATTTTAAAAGTAAAGAATGGTCTGAAAGAGTTTTACAATACAGGGTATATTGTTTTTGCAGGTTTATCTTCTACAGCTCTTCGTTAAATTAGTTTTGAGATACTGTACTGTATGTGATTCCCATTTTCTACTGTAAAACTTTGGAAGTTATTTACCGTATCTGAAGTGACTTTTAAGTGAAATTGTAATTTATATTTACTTTTAATGGACATCATAATACATAGTTTATTTTGCACAGGCTTCTGGGACCCAGTCATCGTGATGTCCTCCAACTCACATCTAATATACGAGAAGCTTCCCAGGTATTGTTCACCAACCCTGATGTGCGCTTAATGCCTCCTGATCCAGATGAATTTATTGAAATGCAGGTGGGCATGGTTGATTTGTTCATGCATACTGAATGTCAGTGGTGGACAAGAAGGAAGAGTAAATGCTTCTATATTTTACTGGAGTAACTTTTCAGTAACTTGCATGTATACATGAAAGTGACTTTTTTCTTAATTTTTTTACTTAATTAATTATTATTTTTTTAATATATCTTTCTTGTTCATTTTAAATGAGGGTAATTTTACAATAACTTAACTTTTCTTCTCATGTGACAAGACTACTTTTATTGGTACTTTGTCCACCCCTGCTTAATATGTTTTATAATATTGTAATTTATGATATATATATATATATATCCAGTAAACTCTTAATAATCCAGATTTGTTGGGGAAGGATGGATGGACTGGAAAAATCAGATTTCCAAAAGCTCTGAGGAATGTTCCAGGATCACAAAAAACCATTCTCCATCCATTTAAGTACATTTACAGCCATTTTATAAACAGTGCAGCACCATCCATGTTAAAACAAAGATGAAAGGTAATAAAATACAAAAACAATAATAATTGTGTTGGGGGAGTGTAGGCTTACGTGAAGCAACAAGGAGAATCCAGATATGGGTTCGTATTGTGGAATGGGAGTACCATAGAGGAACACATCAGTTATTTCAGTAAGAATGAATTATTGACAATGAATGAAGGGAGAGTGCATATGCGTGGTTTTTGTACCCTTGTTTCTTCTCTTACATACAACAGGGACAAACTTGAAAAAAAAAATTGTACAAGAGTAGAATAAGACCTGTGGTGAGTGCAGGGAAAAATGCTGAGCCATTTCATGTACTTTGCAGGATCATGGAGGAACGGTGATGAACAATGGTGGGTCATCTGCTTCCCTCGCCAATGTTCCAAATGCTCTCTCTCGTTGGACTGAAGAAACACGGGTTCTTGAAGCAGACTCCATGCACGATGCCGTCACAGGTAATAGATTATTAATGAAATTTGAGGGCAATCACTTTTCACATATTTTAATTGGTTACTTCGTAGAAAATTGCAGCATCTCACCAGTAGTGATCATTAATAAAATTTACATATTGTATTGACAATTCCCACTTAAAATCCTTCATTAAGAGGTATATATATATATATATATATATATATCTGAATTATGAGTTGGGTAAACTTTGTCAACTGAGAAACGGTAAGCGGATATAAAGTCCAAGGAGTCTTGTCTCGTCCTGTTTAGTACATAACTACATGATAAGAAAACAATAATTCTTTACTGACCTCTCTCCTTATTCCTTTACTTACAGTGGTGAAGCCAGCACTAATGGCAGTTTTAGAGAAATACAGAGATGCTGAACAATCTGAACGAGACAAGAAAAAGAAAGAACAGGAAACTAACAAGGCACCACCTACCTCGGCAGAAAGTTCCCAAGGTCCTCTTCTGCTTCAAAGTTGAAGATATTTTGAATCTTTTGCTCTAAACACAGACAGTATTGAACATTATCTTCTCATTTATGTTGCCATTACACCTGTTAAGTGCTCTCATTTCTACTGTGCATTAATTAAATTTCCTTATTTAGATAAGTTTTTCTAATTGCTGTCTTTCATAAAAGCTAAGTTAAAACTTTCAAAATCAGGGGCTTCTTATAGAGGCATGCAGGTCATGACTTTCGTAGGAGTGAATGCTGATTTCTTTTTTGTTTATTTTTAGCTGATGCGAAGATGGAAGAATCTCCTGACAGCAACCAGACAACTGCTAGACAAGAAACACCAAACACTGAATCTGCTGGCCAAGATGCTGCAATAATGAGTACAGCATCTATTGCTGAATCCATTGTGGAATCTGTCTTGGCATCTTCCTCTAGACCTCAGTCAACCACAACACCCAGTTTTTCAGGCCTTCTAACCCTACTGTCTCCTGTGTCATCCAGTGCCCCCACACTAGCACTTCAAGAACCTCCAGTATCCTCCGTCCCAGCTATTGGTGGAGCCTTAGCAGGAGTACCCTCAGCTCCAACAACCCCTCAGACCACCTCTGTTAGCAGTTTACCTCCATTCCCCTCCCCCACAACTTCTACCCCAACTGCAACATCACTCTTAGCCCCAGTTAATACTTCTGCTATAGATACAAATGTGACGACCTCCACCCTCTCTGTCACAGATGCAGAAATGGTAGCAGCTTCTCCCTTGCCTACAGTCGGTTCCCATACTATATCAAGTGATGTTGTTGAAAGTTTGGTTACTCAAGAAGAAACTCCTATGTCTGTAAGTCCCCCAGAGTATCCCAGTCAATCACCAGAGTTGGTAGCATCATCTGGAGACAACCTTACAGCCCCACCATTACCAGGAATTCCTCCAAGAGAAGCGTGGGAGGATCCAAGCATGGCAATGCAACAGGATTCACAAGATCAATCGGGAGATCAACCAATGGCTGCTGCACTTCCAGTATTAGTTATGCCTTCAAATTTAAGGAGAGAGAGTCAAGACACAGCCCAGCAAGAGTAATTATTAATCTTTGTATAACCAAGTTCTTCATAATTTTTAGAATAAATTTGATGCTAGATATTGAAGTTAATTGTGATAAGCAAGATACTGTACTGTACACACACACGCACACACACACATTCACTCAAATTGAAATGATGATGTTTGCTCTGTATCATAGTGTGATGTATCCTTTACATATCAATTTTGTATTTATGGTTTTTGGTTTACTTTTACAGTTTGGGAACTAGACGAGAGAACAGTGAGGCTGGACCATCTAGTTCTTCTGGCACCCGACCTGATTATACAGCAATTCTTGGGGACATAGAGATACCTGAGGGTGTTGACCCCAGCTTCCTTGCGGCCTTACCAGAAGATATGAGACAAGAAGTAATAGTTGAACAGTTGAGGTAGGTGTCACAGCCATCATTTGGTTTGGATCAATCAAAGCAGATTATCTTTGTTTCCTATAAACTGAATATCATGCTACGTATTATTTTATTATTGGTGGGTCAATCATAATTTATTATGTGACTGGCAAAAGCAAAAGAATTCGTGGTGTGGGTGAGGGACTTGTGGTGGAAAGTGGATATGTTCATGCCACTGAAAGATAGGAAACACTGTTCATAGCTAAGAGAGGTGCTGGGTTTTGAAAATTGCTAAGTATGGGTAGAAGTAAGTTGAGATGGTTTGGGCATGTGGAAAAAATGGAGAAGACCAATTGGGGCAAGAGATGTACGAGTCTGAACGTGGAGGGCGAGTTAGATAGGACAAAATTGACATGGAAAAAGATTGTAAGAAATGCATTAAGAGGTAAGAACTTGACAGGAGACTGTGCAGCATGGTGAGCTGCCATCAGGTAACTGTGGCTATCCTATGCGAGTGTGGAAAGTGGTTGTAAAACATTGATGGTGGTGATTTATGACTACTAGTTGGTTTAACCTTTTATATGATTGTTTTCATTTAAAGTCTCTGTATAATTTCTCATGCCCGGTCTTAAGATTTGCTGACATACTGTATACTTCTTCATTTTACACCAAAGGTTTATTAATCAAAATGCAGTATCCTCACTGACCTTGATGGGCTGGCAGCCTAGGGACCATCTCTTACTTTGTCACCAATAACCTTATGATTAATTGTTAAGAATAAAAATAAAATAAAGGCAAAAATATTACTTTTATGCAGTTTTAAGTTTTCTAAAAAAAAATAGAGTATTAAGCTTAAATTTATTTCATTAGGCTGCAACGAGTAAGACAACGGGCAACAGAGAACACGAGAGAAAGCAATAGTGCCAGTGTAGGTGAAGTGAGCCCAGAGTTTCTTGCTGCGCTCCCACCAAATATCCAGGAAGAGGTTCTTACACAGCAGCGCCTTGAACAGCAACGACAGCAAGCAGCACGTGCCAACCCTGATGACCCCATGGACCCAGTTTCTTTTTTGCAGACACTTCCACCATCTTTGAGACAAACTGTAATTTGCCTTCCTCTTTCTGTCCCAAATTTATGTTATTTTGGGGGGGGGGTGATTTCATATCAATTTTCTAAGCTAAATTTCCTAACATAAAACAACTGGGATGGATAATATGAAAGAGAAAATTTGCCATGTCATGCTCGCCTCTTCACTCTTTGGGGTTACATTATCTCTTCTCTCTTCTCTAGATTTTGGCGGATTTGGAAGATTCACAGTTTGCAGCGCTACCCCCAGAACTAGCTCAAGAAGCTCAGACTCTTCGGCGACAGCGTGAGGAGCGCAGTAGACACGTACATGAACACATGTTCAATCGATCTGGCACATCCCTTTCATCTATTTTACGCAACACAGCACGAATTGGTTCTCGCCTCATGCACTCATCAAGCTGGTCTACCAGCTGGAATCTACGAACCTCATCTAGCAGCCAACAAGTAACAACGACGTAAGGACAATATTTGGTTTTGTTTGATAAAGGATGAAAATGTACTTGTGTTTAATATTGCAATGATCTAGGTTCATCAGTACTCAAACATATTCAATAAAGTATTTGAAGATTTGACTATCTGAGAGAATTCACCAATACATTTTACAAAAATTCGTGATATATAACTTTGGGAAAACCGGTGCATTTCATTTTATTTGAATCTGATTAAAAGCTGTATGCTAAACCATTGCTTATAATTGTTCTTATGCGTGGTCTGGCTTTACATACAATCATGCTCTGGGATTTTAGTGATGTCCAGGTTACATTGAATAAGAGTGAGAAGTAGGGGTATATAGAGGGGAGCAACAATAAATTGAGACAAGGGGAGAGAATGAGGAAGGGCTGTAAATGCAAACTAATACTCTATAAAAGAAGAAAAAAGTTTAAAGTGCCATTGTTATACTTTTGTTTTCATTGTATCCATTAACTGAACCCAGCTCCTTATCTCCGCACAGGAGCAGTAAGCCACGGGGCCGCCAACTATTGGATCATGAAGCCATGACCTGCCTTTTAGTTCTTCTTTTTGTGGATGAACCCAAGCTCAACACAGGTCGTCTACATCGTGTACTCCGTTACTTGTGTCACCATACACCTACGAGAGATTGGGTTATCAAGGTAAGGTGTCTTTTTCTATCAATGACGATCTTTCTTTCTTTGTTCTTTTTTTATATTGGGTGTAGGTAGGTAACTTAGTATGAAAGAACTGTTAGATTTTTTACAAGATATACTCAGGAAAGATTGGCAGGAGGTACAAACCAGTTTTAAATCATGGCATATTCCATCTCAGCCAGTTTTCTACTTAAGAATATTTGTTGTGACTTGCATTTTATAATATTAAATATAACCATTTTACTGTTTCAGGCACTTTTATCAATCTTAGAACGCTGTAGTGACCCGAATCAGCATGGTAGTACTCGTTTAGGAGGCGGTAGTAGTGAATTACCAGGCTTGACTCCAGTCACACCAGACCCAATGAGTAAAGGACTTGGTAAAAAAATGAATATTGGTGGTAGAGCAGAGTCAACACCTGTGGCATCAACTCCAGTTTGGCGTAGTGAATCTCGTTCCCCAGCCGCACCATCATGGCTCAGTATGAGTATGGATGCTGCTCTTGGGTGTCGAGCAAGTATCTTCCAGATCCAGCGAACACAACAAACTGGGAAGCGTACGTCAGCAGCAGCATTGACTACTGCTGTTAGTATTCACCCCCAAGCTGCTCCATTAGTTTGCAGGTTAGTGAAACATATTTTGTGTAGTACAGTACTTAAAGTTAAGTGACCATCGCCAACTCCTTTGTTGACAATGTTCACCATACTTAGAAACTCATCCTGCCCTTCAACAACCCAAACTCCTTAAAAGACATGGAAGGGGGGGGGGATTATGCCACAGCTGCTAATGATTGAGTGAGCCTCCGTTACACATCACAGGGTTGTTAGTAGGAACCTTCAAGAACTTCAGTACCCAGTTTAATATATTACAAAATCTACAGTATTTTCAGCCTCCCTCACCACACTGTAATTTGATCACAGCTTATATGACAACCTACATTGTTATGGCCTTGAAATTGTTTATTTACATACATACATTTCAACCTCATGATGTGGCCTTAATTTCCAAAGAAGGCTAATCAATCATTGACCTCTAACAGCCTAGCAATCCTTTCAATGCTTGACATTCTAAAATTTAAGCCTTATCAGTACTACTGTAGACTACACACAAGGCTGAACACTTGTACTCGAGCAAAATCAAAGAATTGGATAACATAATATTCAAATGAGTTTCTCATATACCTGTACAAAATAAACTCCACTCCTGGCTATCTGACGTAATTAATAATAGATAATAAACTGGGGAGAGCGAGATAGAATAGAGGAGACCTTATCAAAGACTCACCCACTTAACGGTTCACACACACCTCACTTAACAGTTTCATCCACCTTAGGCATTACCCTTTGCATAACCTAATTGGATGGACTGCTTAACTAACTCTACAGGTAAGCTCATACAATATTCTTCAGTTCCTCATTTTTCCTAATTCTTTTATTCCTTATTCAAATTATCAGTGTAGTAAATCGATGCTAAACTGGAAAGGAGTTTCCATAGTATATTGCTGACTTGCAGGATTTGTGGTCCATGTTTGTTTGGACTCAAGATGATGATGATGACCATTTAAAGTGTACATGTATTATTCACATTACAAGGATTTACTGTAGCTATTTACATTCATGTTCAACTTGATAATAAAATTATCATGCTTCCTTAGGCAGAGAAATTTTTTTCATCTTTCTGTACTGTATGTCATTATTCATGTTTGTGCTGTAAAAATATTAAAAAAAAAAATCTTTTCTTTTTGACAGACATGCTCTCGACACCTTGATCTCATTGGCCAAGAGTTTTCCGAGCCATTTCTTACCCCATCAAGGCAAAGAATCAGACGATAGTAAAAGTGAAGTGAAAAAATCAGGGAGTGGAACAACCACAGGTGCTATCAGCAAAAACTCTAAGGGATCATCATCAGGTCAGAGTAGTGAATCCACAGACTTTTGGGAGTTACTTGTGAAACTAGACTCAATTAGTGTGTCACGCAAGGGAAAGGGATTACCAAGAACACACTCCAGTGCAGGTGGAGGGAGTGAAGAAGAGCAACGTGTCACTAGTCTTGAAGTATCAGCACTGGGCCAACTCATACAACAGTTGGCTCATCCAGTTGTGCGCCGGTCTTCGCTTCTTACAGATCGACTCCTTCGACTTTTGGCCCTGATATCTCTGGGTCTGCCTGATACTGCTGACACGGCTACCACGCAGAATTCCAACACCTCACAGCACTCCGCTGAAAATTCTCAAACTCTAGAACATCTTCTTAAATTAGCAATTCAGGTATGTAGCATCATATGTTCTCCACTTAATTGGGCTTCTAAAGTATGAGAAAAATATTGTAGATGAGATTAACACTACATACTGTACTTTATTTTAAATTTAGTCACACTTAATATTTCATATTTACTTAAAACTTAGTGAGTTGTGATCCTTTTGCTTGTTGAATTTCTTATATTACTGTTTGTCCTCTGCTTCATCCTGAGGAGTTTGGCATGGGGTCCATGAATAAAGGGGAAGGTTAACATTTGGCTGCCTTTAAACGTGATAAAATTGCTGTTTTATATACTAAATAAACACCGCTGCACTTAAAAAAAAACGAGTTTGTTCAAATTCTGTACATAGATATACAGTAGGCCCTCCAAATTTGTGCGGGGGGTTACAGTTTCACTTGTGTACAGAAAAAATGAATATTCCGTTTGTGTTTGTCCATAGGACAATTATTTCTTTTACCTGTATTGTGTGTGTTTGTGTAGACACTCACAGAACACATACACACAAATAATTATGGGAAAGTCTTCTCACAAATATTCAGAAACGAATGTATATTAATAATGTTGAATCTACCCTCAAGTCCACTCTGTGCTTTGTACAATACAGGTAAAGGAAATTACTGTCTAGAACGAATGTCTTCCTGTCCCTGCCTCGAAAATGCCGGGAATTTTAAAACTACCCGCAGACATTCTTGGGTACATCCAGGGTGTCATCCGCGAATAATAAGAGGACCGCAAAATAAAAATACGCGAATTATCCGGGTATACTGTAATACACAAATCTCAGATTGGTTCAATATTCATTATTGTCCATGTTCTGAAATTCTATCATGTATAAATTTAGCATTTGAGTTCATTGTCTGCATTTCTGTTATTGTATTATCATATCAAATTAGATTTTTCCTTTGGGAAAAATGTAGAAGACTACATTAGTATTTCACTATGCCATTGGGCTTACATTGTGTTTTCTCGTGTGATGTTTTACAGTGTTCCTTAGATTGGAATATAATTACCAGAGAATGCTGATGTGCCCTTAAGACGTTCTGGATGTGCAGGTGTCCAGTACCTCATAAAATTATATGTAGTGAAGAATCCCCATTTTCAAACCCCACCCCTTTCCAACTTTAGCTCATTGCTTACATTTAATGATCATTAAATTTATATATATATATATATATTTTTTTTTTATCATTTCTGCCATTGTCAGGTGTTAACAAGCAAATCGTGCTCTGAAGAGGGTCTGGAAGATGCAACGGCCCTTCTGCTGCACCTCTCCCATGGGCCTCCTCCGGCCAGGGATCAGGTGTTAAGGCTTTTACTTCAGGGTGCAGCTACATTGGGCTCTACTGTTGCCACTCACATTGCAGCTCTCTTAAATGACCTTCAAGCATATAATGCCTCTCACCCACCTGTGTCCATTAGTGATGATGAACACCAACCTCACATGACAGAGAAGACCAAAAAGGGTTTATTACAGGATAGGTAATTATGAATTTGTTAATAAATTAAGTATAATTTTTTTTATTTTGATACTGTATATGATAATTTTCAGTATCTATCTCTGTCAATGAGTTCTCTTTACAACCATTTCTCTTAAACAGGTTCACCAATGAATGTGTCATCATAAGTGGAGCAACAAAAGTGAAGCCTCCTTGTGAACTCCAGTTAGCCTCCATGTCAGCACTTACCAGCAAAACATCCTCACAGGCATTCTTCCTTCGTACCCTCAAAGTCATCATACAGCTGAGAGATGCCATCAGATTGTCACGTACAAGAAAGAGTGGTATGTGAACCAGCTTCTTTATCATTATTATTTTTATTTATTTTTTTCATTGTCTCTCAGCTATTAGTTTTTTTAAATAAATAAAAAGTCTACTGGCTGTGGTGGAGCAGGTGCTCTAAAATTCCAAAATTTAATGAATGAGAAACTGGTAGCTTGGTTTAGTCCTTTATCTTTTGTAGAAATTTTCTTTACTGATCATTATCTGCATTACCTTTTCATTCTTTAAATAAACATTGTCGATACAATAGTTGTTTGGTTTAGTGATTAGCTCTTAATGCTTAGCCCAAACTCACCTTTAAGACTTCATGTGAGTCCTCTCACTTCCTTCTTTTGTGACAGGTACTCAGCCAAATAATACCAATACTGAAAGACAAACTGGTGACAATCAGCAAGAAAATACAGGCAACCAAGAGCAGCTAGGTACAGCAGATGGTCAGACACCTCCTGATGCTGATGCTGCTGCTACTCAGCAACAGAGTGACACCGGTGCTGACCAAGGACAACCTGAAACTGGCAGCAGCCAGGAGCCAGTCAGTCTAGAAGCCAACCAGGAAGAACAGGACAGTGGTCAGCAGCAAGTACAACAAGAACAGAGTGAGAGAGATTTTGTTCCGGTAGTATTAATAGATGTATCCAATCCTGAGGCAGATAATGCTGCTAATGCGTCTGTGCCTCGGCAAGAAATCACCCAACCCACTGCTGAGGCAATGGATGTTGACACTGAAATAATAGGTAAGACATTCATGGATAATTGAAAGATTTATGCAAATTTATTTCTCGGTAAGCATATAATTTATTATGAGAAGGAAAACTGATTTAAGCAGTTGTGAAAAAGTTGTATTTCAAAATGTTAAAGTAAAAGGGTATTATTTGGAAGAATTGGGGTGGGTGAAAGCTAATTTGATTTTATTCAAGGTACATTAAGTACATGCTACAGTGCAGTAGTTTATTATACTCATTTTTATTTTCACAGAAACCACTGAGTTGGGTAGTTTAAGTGCCCAGTTAAATCTAGATGAATTGTGGTCAACATTGTCACAGTGCCTGATAGAACTGGGTGAGACCCAGGACACCCATGCTGTACTGGTGTTACAACCAGCAGTAGAAGCCTTCTTCTTGGTCCATGCTTCAGCTGCTTCAGGAGACCGCAAAGAGCGTTCCACCACTCAAGCAGAGTCCCGTGAAGCCCAGTTAGCTCACTTGCATCATGAGATTGCACCTCTCTCTCCTCTTCCCTCAGTACCAATTGATGGTATGCTGGATTTTTTCCTCGACTACAAAATCACCATTTCTGCCATCCCTCCCAAACCTCTCATCCATTTAGTTCTGTATGAGTAAATGCTGTAGACTATCTACCTTTAACACAAATGTCCCTCCTGTTTGACTTAAAAGTATTTATTTTATTGCCATTTATGTATAAAATTTAATAGTTTCAGTTCTTTACATTTTTGTTATTCCAGGTGTGGAATGATCGTGTTACACGTAGACATACTCGCTCCTTTTCACGGAGTACATAATTATCAGAGATTCTACAGAAATGCTTCTCTCCTTTTCTTTTGTCATAATATACTTGGTCATAGAAATTTTATGTTCATAGTTGGAGCTAATGATGTTGTAAAGGGAGGAGATGGTGGTCTTGTGGTAATGTCTTAGTGGGTTCTGGGAACACAATGAATGGAATCACGTAGCAGCAATTTATGCATAATAAAATTAACGAGTAATATATTAGATAAATTGAGAAACAGAAGGTTATTTGGAAGTTGAGTGACAGGCATATTATGTAGTTTCTTGTATTATTATGTCCTTTCTAGGCATCAGTGCTGTTATTATTGGTCAAATGTTTATAGTTTCCAATTGTAATTTGGTATACTTCAACAGATGGAGAAGGGAATGTTACTCAGTCTGGTGCAAGGAAACGAGAAAATTCAGTCTCTCAAGTATCAGAATTCAGCCCTGGTGATACTGAGAAGTTCCTAAAGTTTGCAGGTGAGTTTTTGTAACCAAAATTAATGCAGTTTTTTTCAGTTTAATCATTAAAATAAATAAAAGGCTTTACCCCTGATTTCAGGGTGTCTGTCATGAATAAAATCGTCTGACGTTAGCCAAATACAGGATAAAGTATTAAAAGGGTTAAAGACTTAACACACTAGGTCATAAAATTAAAATAGTATACTTGTTTGTGTTCAGACTCAGTACAGTACTTCATTCATTTTAGTTTGGGAACAAGGTTTTGCAATTACGTCTACAGTATAGTCATTTTAGGCCATATAGGTTCCCGGGAGTTTTTAGTGCTTGCTACTATTAAGGTTGCTTTGTCGAAAGATTTTTTTTCCTCGCTTCACTCTGTAAATTCTTAATTTAAATCAGAAGTTCACAACGTTATTTAGATAGGATGCTTCTGTCTCTGGAAATAATGGAATTTTGGAGTCTTCTCATTGTTCCAAGTAAAAGGTGCTCTCTCCTTCCATAAATTCGGATATATTTATTGATTGTTTCTTCTCTGCCCACAGAGACACACCGCACAGTTCTGAATCAGATTTTGCGCCAGTCCACTGTTCACCTTGCAGATGGTCCATTCAGTGTTCTAGTTGATCACACACGTCTTCTAGACTTTGATATCAAGCGCAAGTACTTTAGAACTGAATTAGAACGTGCAGATGATGGTATGCGCCGGGAAGATTTAGCAGTACATGTCCGTAGGGAACATGTCTTTGAAGACTCGTTTAGAGAACTTCACAGGCGGTCCCCTGATGAGTGGAAGAATAGATTCTATATAGTATTTGAAGGTAAGTACTGTATAGGTTCAGTTGTAGTTTAACAGACTGTATAGTAAAAACCATTGACAGATGGGAATGTAGAGTTACAGTATATGATGTGACATACTGATACAATGGAGTTGTGATAATCTGCAAAATACAAATTCATCTTTCTTAAATTTATGGGTACCTCTTTTTAAATTTTGTGGTGAAATATTCATAATTCACAGCCGAGTACCAGCTGCTGCAGTATTTATTTACAAAGGAAACCTTAAAAGTTGTGGAAATATTATTTCAGTGCTCTAATTAAACTTATAGAAAAGAAAATATATAAATATCACTTCAGTAGTGTAATATGACTTAGAAATACAGAAAATATAATAAACAACTATAAAAAAAAATAAGTGAAAGTGAATTGTGTATGGAAGAAATGGTGGTGGACTGGAGAATGTTTTAAGGTATACATCTACCGTGTATACTGTATGGGTATTTTATTGCAGGTGAAGAAGGACAGGACGCTGGTGGTCTTCTTCGAGAGTGGTACATGATAATTTCTAGAGAGATATTTAATCCTATGTACGCACTGTTCTGTACTTCACCTGGCGACAGAGTGACCTACATGATCAATCCAGCATCTCATTGCAACTCCAACCATCTCTCTTACTTCAAGTTTGTTGGAAGAGTAATTGGTAAGCCCAGGGATATTGTGACAATATAAATAAGTGGATATGCAGTAAGAATTTTTTTTGGGGGTCTCTTCATACACTATTAATTGAGATTTTTTTTTTTTTTTTTTAACTTACTCAAAAGTTGGAATTAACTTGTTACCTATTGTATTCTTATGACATTGCTACATGAACTTGCTGGGAGAGTACAGTACACTACTCAGGTTTTATATGTTAATTTTGGTGTATCTGATATTGTATTAATCATTATCAATTAGAACCAAGTCAAGTATTTTCTGTTCTTCATAATGTTGAAAATGTCACCTCCTTTTCCAGACTATGAAAGCTTTGACTCACGTTATTCATATTAAGTTTTTAGTATGGTTAAAAATTTATTAATTCTGTTATAAAATTTGATATGGAACTTAATTACCCTATAATCTGGGGTGAAAAAAATAAATATTTTTATTGGTTCTACTGTTGCACAATCTGATGCACTGGGTAATTGAATTTTTGATCTGTGATAATTAAATTTAATCTTCAATAATGCTTTAAAACCTACTTGTTTGTTTGGTTACAGCTAAGGCAATATATGACAACAAGTTACTAGAGTGCTACTTCACCCGATCATTCTACAAGCACATTCTTGGCAAGATGGTCCGTGTGGTAGACATGGAAAGTGAGGATTACTCATTTTATCAGGGACTTATCTATCTACTGGAACATAACGTTGCTGACTTGGGATATGAGCTCACATTTAGCACAGAGGTGAGATATATATAAACCATAATTTTTGTGATATTGAATTGGAAGGTCAGGAAATTTCATTGTATAGGCTACAACCATAGTATGCTCTTGTCCAGGCTACCACTGTAATATTCTTGTTAACATCACAACAGTAAATATTCTTTTCTTCGGGCCTCAGCAGTAACCTAATATTTTCCTTTTCTGGTTTCAGTAGTGATATTTTTTTATTGAAGTTGATCATAATATTTCTTAAAATTGTCAAATATTTTATAGAAAATGTTAGATGTAATATTTATTTCTTTAGATTACAACATTATTATTCATATGCCCTGTTTATAACAAAAATATGTACCTGTCCTAGCAGTATAATAAAAATGTGCAATATCCAATCTGTGACAGTAATATTCAGCTGTTCAGGCTATTAAGAAAGATTAATATGCTCCCTCAAATCTAAATTCTGGAACTTATGTTATGAGAGCAAATTTATTCATGTATATTTATTTGTTTTAATTTTCTCTTATTCTAATGTGACAACACCACTTGATTAAAAATTCATCTTTCTCGAAACAGGTACAAGAATTCGGTGTAACAGAGGTAAGAGATCTCAAGCCAAATGGACGGAACATAGCTGTTACAGAGGAATCCAAAATGGAATACATTCGTCTTGTATGTCAGATGAAAATGACAGGAGCCATTAGACAACAGTGAGTATTGCCTTCATCAGCTTTTAACATTTTTAACTCACTAAAGGGATTGGAAGTAGAGAAGCAAGTGTGGTAAAGCTTGAGGACAATATATGAGGTTTTCTGCATATTGCTGATGAACCCGCCAGTTATTTTCAGGGGTATGGCAAGTTCATCATTTGTCTCCTAATCAGGGGCGTACCTAGTGGGTGGCAGAAGGGGCAGCCGCCCTGAGCGCCAAATTGCCTATGAATTTTTTTTAATATTTTTTTCAAAGGAAGATAAGACAAAAAGATTACTCTAGCAGAAAAGCCTGTACTACTGCTGCACTGGATAGGTTAATTCATACTCTCCAATTTATGAATACCGGGTATTAAATATTTATTATTAACACTTTTCAAGTGCAATTCAATATATGATCCAATGGAAATGTGAAAAAATGGTGAGTATTTCAGAGGAGTTTTCATTTCTTCATGGTTTTGCCCCTATCTCCATTACTACTGACAACCTGAAGAAGAGTGTATCTGACCTTGCTCTTGTATATCCAAGTGACTTTGTTGAAAATGAGGTAGCATCTTAAATTTAATCTTTAATGTTTCTGGCAAATGCACTGTTGGCAAATCTATCAGCTGCTACTCCACTTAATCTGTTGAATTTGATTAACACATTCTCTTGAAGATGTGTATCCCAATACTGATGTAGCTCTGAGGATATTCTTAACTCTTCCAGTTATGGTTGCTTCCTGTGAATGCAGTTTTAACAAGCTGAAACTAAGAATTACTTGCGTTCATCTATGGCCCAAGAACATTTATTGAACATAGCTATTGTATCAATTGAACAGAAGATAGCAAATTCTATGAATTTTGACAGTGCAACCAAGAAAGCAAGAAAAGTGATTCTGTAATAAACGATGTTCCAGAGTCATTCTTAATATGTATTCTTAATTTTCAGTGATTTTACTGTAGGTGCCTCATGTGCTGATGTAATTAACAGACCATTATACTTTAAATTTTTTAATTGCTGCAATTTTAGTTAGTTGATATTTATGAGCCTTGATATACTGTGCAATGTATTATGATAATTAATTTTGGATAGATAAATTTACTTTTTAGGATTAAGAGTAAAATCTGGTCAATCTGTCATCAGAATTGTCCAAGATTATTATTGATTCTGTTTACTTGGAGAGTAAAAGAATTTTATAATGAAAGGTTAAGCAATCCACTGGGTTATGGTATTTTCTGAACTGAATGTAGACTGTTTTTTGAGCAGCAAATTGATGATTACTTATAGATAATTATTCCAGTTATTGAAGTTAATTTGTTCAAGCCTTGATACATCCATAAAATTATACAGGTAGTCCTCGACTTACGACCACAGCAGTCGTATAAAATATTTTTCAAATTACGTATTTTCGAGTTCCAACATTAGTGATTGCGCTGTACTGACAAAATTTGTTTGTAATTCCCTTTAAAATGGCTGGCAAGCATAAAAGTGAGAGTTCTCATGGTGCTGAGAAGAATAAGAGACAACCAATTTAGATTTTCTGTATTATTTTCGCCTTTTCGACTTACGACCTGGTCGTCGGTCAGGATCCCCGTCGTAAGTCGAGGAGAGACTGTACATCATCATCAGTGTATTAGCAATCCCTTATTTACTCTTATGCTACATTATTTATATGAATTAAAATTTAGTTGATATAATTATTTGCAGTGGAAGTGGGGTTGTGGGGAGTGTAGGGTTGGTGGTGGTGAGCTGTAAAGGGAGGGGGGTCGCCAAATTCAGCCATTGCCCTGGGTGCCATCAAGGCTGGTTACGGCCCTGCTCATAATGCCTGAGGACACATACCAAGCTCATATTGTGTGAAAGCAGCCTTAAGTAACTCTGTCAGTGGATATCTGAAGTGAATATAAAATTTTCTGGCATGAATATGAATTTGTTACTGATATACCACATTTTAACAGGTTGAATGCCTTCCTGGAGGGTTTCTATGACATCATTCCAAAGCGCCTCATATCCATTTTTAATGAACAAGAATTGGAGCTGTTAATATCGGGTCTCCCCACAATTGACATAGATGACCTTCGAACTAATACGGAATACCACAAGTATCAACCCAACTCCTTGCAGGTAAGAGACAATTAATGATTATCTTAATTACATATTGGAGAATTAGTTCCAATAAAGGAATTGCAGAAGTTGGTGCATGACTTTTACAGGATGTGTGATAGAAGGAAAACACTAAAAAGCATAAGGTAAAGGTTTTAGAGGTGGGGGGGGGGTAAAAAAGGCTGGTAGTTAAAATATAAAATTGTATGTGAAGGATGGCACACTGGAGATTATAGACCTCCCAGGTATTTGGATGTGCAACTATGAATGGTTCAATTCTTGGGGAGAGAATAGTGCAGAGGAGGATGGTGATTTGTTAGGTGGGAAGTATCTTCAGGGAAAGGAGTATACGCTTGGAGATAAAGAAGGAATTCAGAGTTAGTTTCAGGCTTGTTTTTGTAACTTGTGGCAGTTAGGGTTATTTTAGTTTAGAAATGGTTAAAATGAGGCTCGCCGAGATGGAATGGACATGTGAGAAGGATGCAGTAGAAGGGGTTAATAAAGCGAGTATGTGGTGACAATATAGCAGGATAATTAGGTAGAGGGAGATTGACTTCATTGTGGAATAATACTTTAGAGAGAGAAAGGGGGAATGGAGAAAGAAGACAATGGTAGGTCATGAGACAACCTGGAGGCTTGTATGTCATAGCCATCCTTTAGCAGCTTGGAAGAGTGAGGCATCATGGATTAGATAAGGTGTATGAAGATTAAAATTGATTGGCACTTGTATAATCAATGGTCACTTGCATAGTCATTTATGATGCTGCATTTTCTTATTTACCTGAAAATGATATTAAACATTTGGGAAAAAAAATTGCCTTGCTTGCTACATGTGTGTGTCTGGGTAGTATAAATGCTGCTCTATTGTTACATAGGGGTTTATAATTGGCACAAGCAAGTACATAAGATATAAAGAAGGTGCATTGAGATAGCATATGGAGACACCCCATTTGTGAAGACAATTTGCAATTGAAAATTTGTAGATGTGAAGGAAAATTATATTATGCAGAAAATCAGAATGAAAAGTTCCTAACTAAGTGTTTGATAGTTTATAATGTACCTAATAGAGGAGTGTAATTTGACTTGATTAAACTGATTTTTTTAATTGTAAATACTTGGTAAGAAAATATTCTTGCCATACTATATTCATCATATCCGATAGATTCAGTGGTTCTGGCGTGCCTTGAGGTCATTTGATCAAGCAGAGCGTGCCAAGTTCCTACAGTTTGTGACTGGCACAAGTAAAGTTCCACTACAAGGATTTGTGGCATTGGAAGGCATGAATGGTACACAAAAGTTCCAGATTCATCGTGATGACAGATCTACTGATAGATTACCTTCAGCTCACACCTGGTAAGTGCTTAATCTAATAATATTTGCTATCAGTAGCATTTTATTAGCTCACTATTCATTATCTTTGCACAGCCATTTTCAACACTTGCTTTGACTGGCCATGATTACTTAAGGGTAACTCTCCATGGTGCACATTTTTTCTCAGCCTCGCGAGATTCTTGTTTCTGAGATCATTACTCGCAACCTCTCCCCTTTCTTTCTACATGCCCAAACCACCTCAGCCTACCTATATGCATAATACCTTCAATACTCTCAATCCCCTGCCACCACCTAAGCACAGAACATGGTTTCCTATTCTCAACATTTACTAATCCATCTCAGCTCACTCAAATCTACAAAATATGTCATCATCTTGAACAGCCCTGATTCACTGCCATACAACACTTTTTTTTACACTGGCTATGTGCAACTTTCCTTTCAAGTCAAAAGAAAGGTTCTCTTGCTGTCAGTATAGGCAACAGCTCCATAAACTTCTTCCAGCTACCTCTGATTCTTGTAACTGAACTAGCTTTTGCACCACTTCCAGTACTTACCACTTCAACCAGGTAGTAGAACTCATTGACTCAGTCCAGGGTTATATATCTCCCTGTTCTATATGCTGGTTCCATATTCTCATTTACATATAATTGTGTAGGTTTTTCAATCTTGATCTGTATGTAAATATTTATAATCTTTCGGTTGTATTTACAGTTGTATTCTTATAAGTTTCTATACTTGACATAAAATACAGGTATCCCCTGATTTATGATATCCCGCTTTAACGATGGTGGTGAATTAAGACTTACGTTCACCTCCCCATTTATGATGTAAACAAACCTGCATTTAACGATATTCATCATCCTGCTAACTTGGAATATGGATCACATCATTGACTTAATTGTCAGATGAGGCGTCATCTACCCAAACACCGCCTCATGGCCATCTGATGAACCACATTCCTGGCAATATTTTTTCTTGGTTACGTGTGTGTAAGAACTTTAGCTTCGAATAATAAAGCTGTCGAAAGAACCTTGCACAGCTGCTTTCTTTTCTCATTATACATCTTTATGTAGAGGTCATTTGCATTTATTTAAATTTTAAGGCTTTGTTTTGTTAATGGATCCACTTAAAAAAATATGTTCATTGTTTGCTCCATATAATATCCACAGACCTCTCACCTTTTTCATATCGGTTTAACACATCTAGTTTCTCTGCTAAGCTTAGACACTTTCTATTAGCTTTTGAAACAACACTACCATCACTTGCTCTCTTGCTCATGTTGAATAGGGATGCAAAAATGATGTAAGAAACCTGAGAAAGTTTTTCTCCAGTTCCTGTACCAGATGTGTGAAAACAAAAGGCCCGCCAAGCTCAGAGTGTTGTTTTCTACTTATTAGCAATGCAGCTTCTTTGCGCAAGGTGCTCTTATTTTATTTTTATTATATTTTGGTCGTTAATACGAATGAAATAAGAATGTAAACTGAATTGGGTCCTAAATTATCTAGGGTTTCAAATACGAATGAAATAAGAATGTAAACTGAATCGGGTCCTAAATTATCTAGGGTTTCAAATGCGAATGAAATAAGGATGTAAACTGAATTGGGTCCTAAATTATCTAGGGTTTCAAATACGAATGAAATAAGGATGTAAACTGAATCAGGTCCTAAATTATCTAGGGTTTCAAATACGAATGAAATAAGGATGTAAACTGAATCGGGTTCTAAATTATCTAGGGTTTCAAATACGAATGAAATAAGGATGTAAACTGAATCGGGTCCTAAATTATCTAGGGTTTCAAATACGAAAAGTTGTAGGACAAATCGTTATCTGAGGCTTTACTGTATATATATATCATGAACTTTCGGTAAATGCTTTTATTGACTGGTATAATTTTATTTTTATTTTTTCATAAAAGAATCGAGTACCCATCATTATTATCATGTTTTGGTGATCGAAGTGAGCAATGTAACTTCGAAAATGTCTGGGAAAGCCAAGGTGCCCAGGAAAACCATGAGTCTGGAGGTGAAAGTTGACATTTTGAAGCGACAAGAGGCGCTCCAGAGGCTGTGTGGAAGTCAGTGACGTCTCTACTCTGCCTTAAGGAGTCCCCTTAGCCTTGGAGAGGACATGTGATGATGCCCAGACTTATATATTATGATGCAGTGAGGGTTGTTTTTTTTAGGGCTAGTAATGTAAGAATTTTTTCCGGTAATACATGTGGGTGTCTGACTGACAAGGAACCTATCCCATTGAACCCTATAATACTCCCGATCTTACGATATTTTGATAAACAAAATATGATGGTTTCAAAAGATAAAGGGTAGCACTGGGGGAGGTTATGAATGTACAGTATAGTATAGATATATTTTCAGTACATCTTGTGTTTTTTACTCACAAAATGGTAATTTATTTATTTATTTTTAATGAATGCCAGGATGTCTTTAATATTCAATCTTTAATGTCTTGGTGTACAATTTTTACTATCTTTTTCTACAGTTTCAACCAGCTGGACCTACCTGTCTACGAAACCTACGATAAGCTACGCCACTATTTACTGAAGGCCATTCATGAATGTTCTGAGGGTTTTGGCTTTGCATAGAAAATTTTCACCATGTCCCACAACCCCAGCCAGTGATTTTTAGTGAAATAAAAAGAAAAAAAAAGAAAAAAAAGATTGCTACAGCATCTGCACAGTGGGAGCTCTGGTTCATATTTACAAGTGTAGTCTTAAAAAAAATTAAATAAAAATAGCAACAGGCACAAGTACAACAGTGATTAATCTTACCGATGTAAGGGCATGTTCATCATAAGACAGTGTAATACCTTCACTTATGCTTCAGTGATTGTGGTTGGAGTGTAGCACGAGTTTGCAAGAGGAATAATTATTACATGATCATATCCCCAACCAGGAGGAAGTTCCCAGTGTTTATACATTGCTCCCAAAACAATATTGGTTGGAGCTTTATATGATCTTTGTTATTAAATAATACCAAGCTACAGTGCTTGATATGTTTATAGCTTAGCATAGTGTATATTATATTGAAATATACATACTATAGTTGAAAATTTTTCTTAACTTTTAATTTTGTATTTTGTCTCCTTTGAATGGATATTTCAGCATATAGTGTGTGCACAGATATTAATGAGAGAGATATTTTGAGCAGCTTTGGATATTTTATAAGCAAACATTGAACCTTCCAGCAATTCCTGAAAATGTGATAGATATTACAGAATTTCTTTGCCCAATTTATGATGCACCCTTACTTACCTTTCCTCTTTTAGTAATGTGATCCCACTAACCTTCCTTATCCCACACTTTCAATAAGTCATTGGTTCCTTAGCCAAAAATGGGAAAATACATGAAACTCAAATTTTTAGCCAGTTGCCAACCCATGCCTAGCTTGCCATCTATTACTGCTGATGTTTTGATTTCTTGTATTTCTCCCCATAGTCCATCTTCAGGCTACAGTGAACACTGGAAAAATAAGGCCCACATTATTTTAATTTTGAAAGAAGCCCTAAAGAAAACAGTTATTAGGGACCTAATGAAATGGATGTCTCAGAAGTGTGAACAAAAGAAAACTGAATTAATTTGTTTCAAGATTAAATGGTGGTGATCCTTTTCTAAACATTTTGTTCCAAATCACTGGTGTGTGACCTCATTAAAGACATATATAAATATATATAAATATATATATATATACCTTCCACTAGTATTATCACTGTGCTGTATATTCTGGCCTCACTACTGCTGTACATATAATTAAAAAATACACTGGTATATCTAATGTGATAAATTTACATTAAGGGCTGTCTAATATTGCTACAAAGTGTTGACCATTATTGTAGAGATCATAGTTGGACAAGTGAAGAACTTCTGAAGGTGTTGGCAGGTTTCCATGAAACTTGGAATGGGCTTCTGAAATTTTATCTTCAATTAGTTTCATAGTGAAAGCTTCACTTTTATTTTAAACTTTTTATTTTTGGCAGCCACACAATACAAGCATGTTTATTGCTATTGAGATCATAAAACCTGGCAGCCAGCTATTGTCAAACTCTGTATTGCAAAGGAAATTAATATTTATAGTACGTATACATTGTGAGTGAAGTAACACGGTGGATGTTGTATTGTGTGAAGGTCGAGTGTTGGCATTTTCTGGTGTTAGTGAAGTGTTTTTGGCCAGGGCTCGAAAGAAAGGCATGTAAAGTATGTTATATTAAATGTTTACAAATAGCTAGTAATCCTTCTATCTGCTAGGTATTTTTTCAATTGTGAAATATCATTTATAACTTTTTTCTGTTATGATGGGTTAATATTTTTTTTATTTCAAACATGTGTAGTCACTGAGTTATGAGTTTGTTACTTTGTCACAGTTTGCCCAAATGTTACATAGTGTATTTTATCACATATGCAACAACCGTTCTTCTACTTTACCATGTTGGCATTAAAATACACAGTATTACTTAGCTTACTCATTTATCCCACACAGATTACTGCTTCTTGTTTCTGTACTGTGAAATGAGAAGTATACTTGTACTAAAAATGTTAAGATTTATTGTACTTATGAGATTTATATTAACCAAGAGATATACTGTACACAGGAATCCAAATTACAAATGCTTTGCTTGAGATCATTTCCATCTCTTCTTAATTTCCAAAACATGTTATGAAAATACTTGAACCGTGGTAAATAAACTTTATTCAAGGATTTTTTTTTCTGTATTGTATCTGAACATAGCAAACCCAAAATTATACCAATAAGGAGATATATATATATATACACACAGCGAGACCCCGACTTACGACCGCCGCAGTTGTGACCATTTTTTTTTTTTTTCAAATGACACGCATTTTCTATACCGAAACGTTTCCAGTTAATGTAGTCTCTACGTATAATTATAAAATTATGGGGGCCCCATGTGCATTCAGCTGACTACATTAAAGGTAAGTGCTCAGTCACACTGTATCCATTCCTCATTATTTATTACTTTTACTGTACTGTATTTCATTCTTCTTTAGGGTGTTGCATATCTCCAGTCTGTCCGTCTATATGCATTAGTCGAATGGTATAACCATAGTTTCGTGAGTGTTGTCTAGGTGATTTTCAAAATTAAAACTGCTCATAATGCACTCGTGTAGAGGTAACTTGCATAATTATATATAAGTTGCATGTAAGAACACGAGTCATAACCAAAATTCATAGGAGGAATCATGTTATATTTTCTAATAATAAATTATATGCTCTTTCCATGAGCACAGCAAAAACAAGAAAATCAACACGATGAATTCACGCGCCAGATAGGTGCTTATTACCTTACGAAGAGATTTCTATCTGCTTTCAATATCACTTCTTTTCCCTGCACTTAAACTTGTTTTCTTTTTGAAGTCAGAAAATGTCTTCAGGTTTAGCTTTTTCATTCTGCTGTTTAAGTCCTGTTGTTCAGTTCTGTCCTCAAGCCTTTTCTCTGAACTCTTGATAGGCATTTTCACCTATTTCTCTGGCATGCATATCATATACAGCAGGGGTGTCAAAGTCATGGCCCACGGGCCAATTGTGGCCCTTGTGATGGTCAGGTGTGGCCCGCGGGATGGTAAAATTTATCCCGTGAAATTATGAAAAAATAGTTGTTTATTTAGTAAAATGAATTTGACATACTTAAGATCAGACAAACCCAAATGAGGTATTCCTGGTAAGCCAGGTAAGGCAATGTGTGAAGCTGTAAACTTCAATCCTGCGAATATGTGATATAGCACTTGTATTGGCCATGAAGAGGGTACCGGTAACTAAAATAAGAATTGGCCCTCGAAAGGTTTTGAGTTTGACACCACTGATATACAGGGTACCACATCTTTAGGAGCAGCAATACCAGTAGATAAACTGATGAGATGTCACCTGGCCTAATGGATTTATCCAGTTATTTCCCAGCATGTCAACTACTGCATCAACATCAGCTTTGTCTTTGGCAATTCTAGGATGTGTGAGATCAGCATGATCACAGTCGGAAGATGTGAGGCCTATCATGTCACGGAGATTCCCTAGGAACTTTGTTATGTATTCTGCTGTTAGGTAGTATTTTTGTACAGCTGCTGGCTACAGACTGAACCCCTTTGTCCCACCAGCTGTTTATTTACAGTTTCTTCAAGAGTCTGATCCACTGGTATTCCCCCAAAAGGATTGTCAGAAGAGCTCATTTGTACAGAAAAAAAACCCCACCTCCTTGAAGGTATTCATGGACATTGGGTTGTTCATTTGACAGGCTTTTTGTGTTGTTGTAATAAACAGGCAGATATCTTTAATAGTTGACACGGTTATAAGCAAAGCACCATGGTATTAGGTTCTGAAGGGCAGCCAAATGAAGTGCCCAGTTACGTTCTCTTGATGCTTTTGTTAGTTGAAGCAGTACCTCAAGTCAATGTATGACATCCAGAAAGTAGATAGATCTCCATGGTCAAAGTGTAGTATGTTTAGGTATTCATCAAAGAGATCTGCTAGCTTGAAGTAATTTGGCAGGGCCAAAGTATCTGTGAACATGTCATGGCAGTTCACCTGCCACTTCGATGGTGTACCTTTCTCGAGGATGATTGCTTTCAACCCATGGAAGAAATCCTTTCCATACTAACTATAAACGCCTTGGGACTAAGGATGTTCAAGTGACGGGCAAGTCAAAGGGAATGATTGAAACCCGCCTGCCATTCGAAACCTAATACCATGGTGCTTTGCTTATAACCGTGTCAACTATTAAAGATACCTCCCAAAAAGTCGATAAACTACTTCCACGAAAAGTCAAAAGTCTACTTTCCCAAATAGTAGATAATCTACTTTTCAGGAAAGTAGATAACCAACTTTCCCAGTAAGCAGATATTTCCCATTTTCTATGATACAAATTTCCCGTTTTCTATGATAATCAACTTTGGAAATTATGTTAATACCTCCCAAAAAGTCGATAATCTACTCACACGAAAAGTTGAAAATCTACTTTCCCAAATAGTAGATAATCTACTTTTCAGGAAAGTAGATAACCAACTTTCCCAGAAAGCAGATATTTCCCATTTTCTATGATACAAATTTCCCGTTTTCTATGATAATCTACTTTGGAAATTATGTTAATACCTCCCAAAAAGTCGATAATCTACTCACACGAAAAGTTGAAAATCTACTTTCCCAAATAGTAGATAATCTACTTTTCAGGAAAGTAGATAACCAACTTTCCCAGAAAGTAGATATTTCCCATTTTCTATGATACAAATTTCCCGTTTTTTATAATAAGTAGATAACCAACTTTACCAGAAAGTAGAAATATTTCAAATTTTCTGTGATACAAATTTCCCGTTTTTTATGATAATCTACTTTGGAAATTATGTTAATACCTCCCAAAAATTCGATAATCTACTCACACGAAAAGTTGAAAATCTACTTTCCCAAATAGTAGATAATCTACTTTTCAGGAAAGTAGATAACCAACTTTCTAGATATTTCCCATCTACAAGAGTTGATAAACTCTCTACTTTCCCAAATAGTAGATAATCTACTTTTCAGGAAAGTAGATAACCAACTTTCCCAGAAAGTAGATATTTCCCATTTTCTATGATACAAATTTCCCGTTTTCTATGATAATCTACTTTGGAAATTATGTTAATACCTCCCAAAAAGTCGATAATCTACTCACACGAAAAGTTGAAAATCTACTTTCCCAAATAGTAGATAATCTACTTTTCAGGAAAGTAGATAACCAACTTTCCCAGAAAGTAGATATTTCCCATTTTCTATGATACAAATTTCCCGTTTTTTATAATAGATAACCAACTTTCCCAGAAAGTAGAAATATTTCAAATTTTCTGTGATACAAATTTCCCGTTTTTTATGATAATCTACTTTGGAAATTATGTTAATACCTCCCAAAAATTCGATAATCTACTCACACGAAAAGTTGAAAATCTACTTTCCCAAATAGTAGATAATCTACTTTTCAGGAAAGTAGATAACCAACTTTCCCGGAAAGTAGATATTTCCCATTTTCTATGATACAAATTTCCCGTTTTTTATGATAAGTAGATAACCAACTTTCCCAGAAAGTAGAAATATTTCAAATTTTCTGTGATACAAATTTCCCGTTTTTTATGATAATCTACTTTGGAAATTATATTAATACCTCCCAAAAAGTCGATAATCTACTCACACAAAAAGTTGAAAATCTACTTTCCCAAATAGTAGATAATCTACTTTTCAGGAAAGTAGATAACCAACTTTCCCAGAAAGTAGATATTTCCCATTTTCTATGATACAAATTTCCCGTTTTTTATAATAAGTAGATAACAACTTTCCCAGAAAGTAGAAATATTTCAAATTTTCTGTGATACAAATTTCCCGTTTTTTATGATAATCTACTTTGGAAATTATGTTAATACCTCCCAAAAATTCGATAATCTACTCACACGAAAAGTTGAAAATCTACTTTCCCAAATAGTAGATAATCTACTTTTCAGGAAAGTAGATAACCAACTTTCCCAGAAAGTAGATATTTCCCATTTTCTATGATACAAATTTCCCGTTTTCTATGATAAGTAGAGAACCAACTTTCCCAGAAAGTAGATATTTCCCACTTTCTGATACAAATTTCCCGTTTTTTATGATAAGTAGATAACCAACTTTCCCAGAAAGTAGAAATATTTCAAATTTTCTGTGATACAAATTTCCCGTTTTTTATGATAATCTACTTTGGAAATTATATTAATACCTCCCAAAAAGTCGATAATCTACTCACACAAAAAGTTGAAAATCTACTTTTCAGGAAAGTAGATAACCTACTTTCCCAGAAAGTAGATATTTCCCATTTTCCATGATACAAATTTCCCGTTTTCTATGATAAGTAGATAAGCAACTTTCCCAGAAAGTAGAAATTTTTTCACATTTTCTGTGATACAAATTAACCGTTTTTATGATAATCTACTTTGGTAAACATATTAGTACCTCCCAAAAAGTTGATAATCTACTTCCACGAGGGAGGGAGGGGTGGTATGTGGAGGGAGGGAGAGGTGGTATGTGCAGGGAGGGAGGGAGGGAGGGGGGGGGTGGTATGTGCAGGGAGGGAGACGTGGTATGTAATGTGCTGTACAGCCCTGTAAATGTATTCAATGCATATCATATCATTATGTCTAAATTAAATGTAAGTGTATATTTTCAACCACCGGCTGCAACTCTATTAATAAACCATTTATTATTATTCAATATTTATTGATGTGATCAACACCTGCAGAGAACAAGGCGTTCATTAGTATCACATGGTGATCTGATACATAATTAGTTAGTCTCACACAGTTTGTCTTAATTACAGTATACAGTAATTGATAGTTAGTCTCACACAGTTTGTCTTAATTACAGTATACAGTAATTGATAGTTAGTCTCACACATTTTGTCTTAATTACAGTATACAGTATTTGATACAGTTAGACTCACACAGTTTGTCTTAATTATACAGTAATTGATACAAAGTTCATAACTCTATTAATCTTAGCTTTGCTTCATTCTGCATTGTCTTATTACTCCAAGTTAGGCAGAAACGAGTAAACGTAATTAGTCAACAATATTTCAGTACCGAGGGGTATGTCTTCACTTATGCTGTACTTAGAAGTGCGGGTCAATGCAGATCAGTATGGTGTTCCAAGAGACAACAGTACTATGTAAATTGTCTCAGCACAAATTCTTGGACAGGATTGTGTGGTGTTTATCAGTGCGAGCAGAAGGCTGCTCCTTACAGCATCACTCGAGGGCTGGTCCTCACAGCATCACTCGAGTGAGCGATCTCCTGGAGTCCAGGCGGCCACGCCACCCTTTTAAACCATTCATTTAGCAGAATCAGGACCTCTGCTCCGTAAACAACGCCCCCCGATCTTTGTTTGGGTAGAGCAGTAAACGCCAGCACTCACACACCAATACTCACTCGCCAGTACTGACGCCAGCGATGATAACACTCCCGGGGTCCCCCCCGCCGCATCTGGCGAGGTCACAGGTCGCGTGGGGGGGGGGAATATCACTCGAGAGGGCAATCTGTGTCATGAGAGCCACGTCACCCTTTAGACCTTACAGTCAGGAGAATCAAGAACTCTTCATCTGTGAACATCCCCCCCTCCCCCAGCCGCCACATCTCACGAGGCAACAGGCCGCGTGGGGAGGCGCTGAGAGATCCAAAGTTTGTTCGGGGAAGGCAGCAATCGTCAACAACTGACACCAGCATTTATAAGCCAACGGTAATAACACTAACTTTAAAATTGCTTCATAAACGAGCTTATGTAACCTCATGCCTCTGTAATACATCCAACCATCAAGCACAGCATTTACAGATCCTTCTGGAATTATTGAAGTCTCAATGCTTAAGTTCCTGGAATCTCTTGCCAATTATAGCCAGAACATTGCAAGTAGTATGGAAAGCACCCATCCGAAGGACAATACTTCCATACTTATCCAAGTTCTTCACTTAATTTCTGCTGCTTTCGCATTGATAGCCTGGTCAAATACGCACACTATCCCATCAAGAGCAGCTGCTCTTTTATTTGTAGGGATTGCCGCAGCACTTCATTGATTGTCGACACATTTGTTGCTGGTGTATTTATTCACGGCAAATATCCTAGGGAATTCTCAGAGATCTGATTGATGCTGTGGACTCTTATGTTAAATTTTGTTTACCCAGCAATATTGTATTGCTACTTTCATTGTCATGTAATCAACACAGCAACCATAACATGTCCTTTTTCTATGCTTCCTCGACACAGCAACCATAGCATGTCCCTTTTCCATGCTTCCTTTCGAAAAGCAACATAATCTACTTCTTGAATTTTCTTTGGTCTCCTTGCAGGGCCAACTTTCTCACCAGCATTGTAAACAGGAATATGCCAATCCTCATCTTGATCAATGCTTCTCTGCACAAATCTGTTGATTTGTGCACTAGGTACTACTTGCTGTGGTCCCTGTACTTGTGGCTGAACTATGATTCCGTTCACTGTGTGTGAGGTTCCACTTCCAGAAAGTCTCTCTTCAAGTCTGTCAATATTGTCAAAAGCCAGAGTTGTGCTCATGGGCGTCCGCAGGGAGGGGCAAGGGGGGGCATTTGCCCCCCCCCCCCCTGGAAAATAAAAAATTTGAAAAAATTACATGGAAAATACAAAATGAATAAAATAACATAAACATTTCTCAACAGTTCATTCAGTTAGAGCAGGTTACTACTCTTGGAACAGGAATTGGAGCAGTCGGGGATCTCTTCCGAAATTGTCAATGATGTCTTCACGCTTCACACGTCGAATTCAGGATAACATTGCTCCCCCCTGCATTTTTTTCTGCGGAACGACATTCTTAAGCAGTGAGATACCAGTCTCACTTATCCTCACATTTAAATCTTCCATCATTATCATTGTCACTCAGATAAAGATTGCAATTCTGTTATTCATATCTCACATCCTCTCTTTTTCTTACTAATTGGGGTATATGCTTAGTAACTAACCCATATCCCATACAAAATTATACTGGATAATTAACCTATAAAAGCCTATTTTACACCTACAGTACTGTACATCCATTTTATGAATTTGTTAAATATTAATATTTTAAAATTGGACTATTTTGCATACAGTACATTGCTAATTTTTAAAATACTTCCTGAGGAATTCTTCGCATTCTTTGAGTGCTGCTACTAAATCAGTGAAACCAACAAGGGAACAAGCTTCAGTCAGTGGTGCCCAACGAAATTCCACATGCTCATCAGAAATCTTCACTGCAGAGGAGGGATCTTTCAGTTCTGCTGGCCAGTACACAACCTCTTTTTGCTTATTTTTCACAGTATACTGAAAGTAAAAATGGGTCTTCTGACAAGATGCAAGTCATACTTGGAATCTGAAAAAATAAAGATATGAATCCAGAAATCTCATTCCAGACTGGATCTGTGGGTGACTTGTGTTTAGCCACACATTCAACCTTTAGTGACAACCCATTTATTACAGAAATAATACAGCTCCATCCATGGTAACAAGAGCCCTAAATATTCCAAAAAGGAAATGTTGTTGGTAAACACAAATGGACAATGAGCTATGGTCAGTTAAACACATTAATTTCCAAATATGATAAAAAGGGATTTATCAGCCCTAAAGATTACCAAGTCACCTGTAATCTTGAAAACATTGACTTTATTTAAAATCTCAAAATAGATACTGTACTGTATGCATTGAAAAATTGTCATTCAAATCTTCCAAGCTCAGGAGTACCTACAATATACTGAGATTTTCAACAAAATAGAGATCAAGATTTGGGCTGAAACAGTAATCCTAATGGCTTAAGAATATTTGGACCGAAACATAATTTTCTCTCGGAATTGGAACTAAAGGGTTTTGACTAATTACAGGGGGTCCCTGGGTTACATACCTGAGGACATTTGTAAGTTGGAACACATGCTATATGCATACCGTACTTGCAAAACAATGTTTAAAATCCCACTATACCATAGCCTAAGTCCTTATATACATCTAAAATCACTTAATTTAAGACAAAAAAGAATTATAATGACAAAATACAGTAAATGAAAGATAAAATAAATCAAGTAAATAAAATACAGTAAGCCCTCGATAACTCGGAGTTTCATATAACTTGGCATGGATATGGTCTCGGAATGTATCAGTATAACTCGGGGAAATGCAGATATATATAAAATTACCTGGGAAAATCTCGGCATATCTGGCCACCTGTATCAGCTACCATGCCTCTGTGTCACCTACCATCCTCTGTGTCACCTACTATGATGCTTCATTCTTTGCCTATATTGTTGGTAAGTGTTACTTTTTTTACGTTCAATAATTACATTTACACATATATGGGTCGATAATTTTTATTGTTGTACTTTTGTAGGAGGGGGAGATGCCTCGATAAGTCAGAATTTGGGATAACTCGGCAAGGCCAGAGCCCCATATGTGCCGAGTTATCGAGGGTTTCCTGTATTCTGCAAATTTCAAGTTTAACCCCGTTCGTATCGGTGAGCGTTCATAAGTCAGGGACCTCCAGTATGCACTTCCAGAATGGAAAAAATAAATAAATAAATCGGAAACCCACAGTTGGCGGGTACAATAATTAGCATTGAGAAAAATGGCATTAAAATCTTCCAAGTGTCATTATGACCACCAATTACCCAGCAATTTAATTATTCCAAGGGTTATTAATGAACACTAATTATGTCTATTTTCTGGAAAAGGAAAGTAATGCATTTAAATGGTATATAAAAGTGATATAAAACTTATGGGCATACCATAATGGACATTTTAAATACTGAATTCTAAATATATTTAATTATTTCATGGATCATTAAATAACACTATTACTTGAATTTTAAACTTGAATTCAGATCCTTAACCAGAAAGTAAAGGAGTAACTCTGTATGAAATCTGAACAAAATCTATGTTTTGACCTCCAGTTTGACAAACACCAAACTGACAGGCATAGCATAATTAACATTCTCAATATTTTAAATAGTTTTAATTATTCCAATGGACATTAATTGCTAAAAATATTGAACACATTAATGAAAGTAATCCTATTGCTTGATATTCATTTTTTACACACAGTACAGTACAGTACCTTCAAGACCTTTTGGTAGGAGTCTATCACAGTATAACCATTGGAACATAATCCAGCCTCTTCTTCAGTTTCTCTGATGGCAGCTTCCTTGTCTGTTTCTCCAGGATCAACATGACCTGTGAGTTATAAAGAAAAACATTGTATGGTCACATAGGAACTTATAAACAACGGTGTGTTCCCCCCAATTAAATATCTGGGTGTGCCAAAAATAGCTACTGTACATCTCTAAAACAAGAACTAATGGAGAACAGCAAAGCTCGAGTCTCAAAGAAAATTCTAAAATAGACTCAACCTGCTGCTGTGAGTGTACAGTACAGTACAGCAATTTGTAATAGGAAGGTACAGTACTGTATCTCTACTGTAACCCTCTGTGCATTTCATATTGGATAGTTTTAATAAAAGTAACTTTAAACATTCTTTGACACCTTTAAAATTCATTATTTATTTAAAGTTTAAATGAAAACTATATAAAACTTGTGTTTGTGAATAACATGGCTGCAAAATATAAGGGAAGGGGCAAAACTCTTGATATGAACACCTGAAGTCTTTAAGAGTATCTATTAGTCACCTGTGGTCCTTATAAGCACTGGTATTACTGTGAGCACATGTGATTCACTCTCGAGTTTATACAGTTTATAATCTGCCAACTCAGGCAATTTGTAAAATGCCTGGGGAAATGTTCCATTGCACAAAATACAACATGTATACTGTACAGTATTGAGATTAGGTTACATTATACTGTATTATTCAGCTAATATACAGTACATGTAATGTCAAAATTTAATATAATTTTACACTCAAGCTAAACTGACCAAACCTAACATATCTGAACATAATAATGAGTTACTTTAATATTTATCCTGGAAAAAGTGGTATGACATTTAAATATCACATCAAATCACATTCCTGTAATATTTCCTGATACAAATGATATTCACACATCTTACAAATTTCCTGATTTGACAGATTGTCTGTAAAACAAACACACACAAACACAATCTTAAAATAAATGTAAACAACATTACAGTATTGAAATGAAGACAAATGACAAGATGTCATAGTAATTCTAAGAACAGGAAGACTAGAATACTTTGAAGAGTTTAAATACTTAGACATATGATTCACACAAGATAATAGACACACATATGCAATGCAGGAGATTAAAGGTAGGTCATGCAGCAATGAATAAACTAGCAAATATACGTAGAGACAGAATCATATCCTGTAGTCTTACCAACTGCTGTGTATAAGGCAGAGAGAAATGGGTATTAACAGAGAAAGAGAAAAAAAAGACTACAGTATGTACTTGCTTTCAAAATGTACTGTTTGAGATGAATCTGTAATATAAGATGATATCACAGACTGACAAATGAAGACATTAGAAATACGGCAGACATGCACTTCTCCATAGTTGACAGAATGAATGACAAGCAAAAAAAGATGGTTTGACCATTTTGAATGGATGGAGAGCAAACTGATAAGACTATTTTATGCAAAAACACATGGGAGATGACCAAGAAGACACCCCAGAACTACATGGCTAAGAATGGTGGCATGAGAGAGAAGAGAGTTGAGCTGGCAAGAGAGTGTGGACCTGGCCAGAGCGGAGTGAGTGGAAAAATTATTGAAGCATCAGACAAGACCCAACCTGCATCCCCCTAGATATGATATAAGTCAAGTACAACATGGAAGTCAAAGTACAGAATAAAACTTACTACAATAATACAGTAATATTGTAATTAATAAAGGTCATGGATTAAAGTTCTGTATTCAATAAAGCAGTGTGAAGCATAATGAAAATTATGAAAAAAATTAATGTTCTTAACTGGGGTGATATGCAGCATGGGACACAACACATTACACCACATACTAACCTTTGGGTGGTGTCCAATGGCCTTCTTTTTTTGATGCTTTTAGTAAAAGATATTCTAAATCTGTTGACACCCGACGGAAGATGATAAGTCCTGCAGCTCGTATTTCTATAGCTGCACTCATATTTGCTTGTATACAGTACTGTACTGATGATCTATGGGTAAAAAAAAATTAGATGAAGGTTAGTCTATGTATGGTTATAAAACTGTCTGCCCAAGACAAATGTTTGACCCTGACAAACATCACAGGGTTTCTCCGGGTAATCCAGTATCCTCCTGATACTAACACTGGACAATCAATTTCAGATAAATAAACCATAGGAGGCAAGTAGAGTAAATAGCGTTATAAAAGTAATTAAAAATTTTGAGATGTCATTTGGACAAGTAATATACTGTACAGATAACAGGGGCAGATCCAGGAATATCGACCCTGAAAATACTTTCTTACCATATTTTCACCCAGATAGATTTTCTCTCAGTAATTACGTACATCCAGAAGAACATAAAAACACCAACCATTCACTTTGGACACCAATAGTTGACAAGTACAGCAATTAGCAGAGAAAAATGTCATTAAAATGTTCCAAGTGTCATTAATGACCACTAATTACTCCACAATCGAACTGTTGAGCACAGATTCGGAATCAGCATGCTCAGGAGTACTGAACAGAGATTGCATACTATATAAAAATGCCTGAGTACAATACAGGTAGTACTGCATTAAAGAAATTGCAGTGGAATTTTCTGATGAAAAGGGGAGTATGTTCTGGAGTACATATACATGTACAGGGTATTGAGATTTTGAACAAAATCGGTGAGCTGCCTTCCTCTGTGTTTCCACACTCTTACAATGTCACACTTCAAAATGCTAGTTTTACGGCATCTTTGTGGTGTACAGGTAGATTAATATAGTCATTTTCTATTCTATTTTTAATTTCTTTTCACTCTTATATTTTTCGCCCCCAGGCCCCATTGTGGGTTAATGACCTGTGCCAGGGAGGGCTATTCCCCATAAAAAAATACATATATAATGTGCACTTACAGGGGTTCATCAGGTTTTGTGCAGTGTGGCAGCCCTGTGTTAGTTTACATTCAACAGAAGGAAACTCGCAATTATAAACATACTACGGAATCTAAGGAAAACAATATTAAAACCATGGAATATTTATATGACGAGCCCCTGTAAATGCACTAGTGAAGGGCAAATGTGTTTAAAAAGTGTTTATTTAAAAGTTTAAGTTAGCCTAGCCTAACCTAACCTTAAACTAACCTTAACCTAACATAACTAAACACCTGCCATGGGCAAACTTATTGTTACTGAGATTGGGGGAAACGATTGTGAAGTCCTCCATATTAGCCCCATAAAGTTCACTGGAAGGTGTTCAGTTGCTATCACTCACTGGGAAGCATGCAAACAGTTTAACCCCTCGTGTATGGGCTTCCCTCTAACCTGAATAAAATCGTCTGATATTAGCCAAATAAATAATAAAAGTGGCGTCTCCTTAGTGAAAGCGTTGACAATAAACAGAGGAAAAAAATGGAAAAGTTGCAATTCCTTTAACCATTTTTGGGATACCTGTAATTGAGGTTTGTTTGTTTTTTTCAAAAGATGACCCTTCTGAGTGGGCCCTGTCATACTCATATATAACCTAATTTATTTTCCGCATATTTTTTAAGTTTATGGTTAACCTCCAATACTGCAATACCAAGCACAATAGTGTTTCACCATCCACACCCCGGTCCGACTAATTACCCAAATGTAGCCGCAATGAAGTCAAATAATGGTCGGACCCTCCACACCCTGATGTAAAAGAAATATCTAGTCAAAGTAGAGCAGAAAATTACACCTCTATTTGATGGTTTGGTGTCAAGGGAATTAAGCAGCTTTATGGATTGATAACAGTATTGTCCTCAAATCTCAAACACTTTGTATGACATGAAATGAAAATAAATTTATAACACTTATATGTATATAGTACAGTAATTACTCTACCACTGCTTCTGTACATCTAAACACACTAATGTCTAGATCCGTCAACACGTTTCAACCCAAATTGAGAAAAAAAAGACTGACTTACCTTAGACCTTAATCTTCCAACCTCACAAGTTACCGGGAGTAAAACGGGTGTGTCACTGTCAGCTCAAACGGGTGTGTCACTGTCAGCTCAAACATCATCACACCCGCTCGGCCGACAGGATTTCCGACTCTTGTTTACCGAACACGCTGATTGGTTCAACTGCTCGCGTTGTGATTGGTTGCGAGAACATGACGTAATATTTCTATTATATAATGTGTGGTGAGGGGTAACGAAGATCCCAGATACTGTAATTATATTAGAGTAGTCCACATACTCAGTGAATTCCATTGTTCCTGTCATTAGTTTTATATATTTCTGAATAATAAACACTGCATTATACACCATTCAGTGTTATATGAGGTCACATTAGATTTGTATTTTATCAATTGTAATTTGTATTACTTTTCGTTAATACTAAATACTAAAATAACCAAAACATTTCAACAATTTTATTTTGACAATACCTAAAAAAATACAAATATTTTAACATTTAGAAGCATAACTAAGCACAAGAAATATATACATGACCTTATTTTACTCATTGCAACATGGCTGGAGTTGTGTGACTCAGCAGAATATGGTTCTGCTAAAATATCGCTAGTAAAAATTTTTTCTGTCTATTCTATATGGTATTTTAGCCATGAAAAAGCATATTTCCTAAAATCGGTAATTTACTGAGAGTCGGAGCAGTGACGTCACGGCTCTGTACTCGCCCCTGAAGATGTGAATTACAAGAATGCGCTTGGGAACTTCGTGTTTTCTTCTTTCCTTGTGGTTATCAGTGTGTGTGTATATATATATATATATATATATATATATATATATATATATATATATATATATATATATATATATATATATATATATATATATATATATATATGTTCATGTATTGAGGAATGTAATGTTGGAGAGAAAGATTATGTTGCAGTGAGTATTGTAAATGTCACACGTGGACAATTTTATTTTAACAGCAAGAGAACAAAGCATGTGTATGCCATAAAACATGAGGAGTATGTTGTGACCATGTTGTATGAAAGGAGGGGAGTTGATCAAGAGACTGGAATGAGCCAATCAGAGGGTAAACAGAAGCCAAGCTCAAGGGATATGAAGAAAGAAAGACATAAAACATCAGACTAACAGTGGAGGACACAGAGGATACAGATTCAAGAAGCTACAATCCTAAAAGATTATGAGCAAGGATATACTAAAGGACAAACATTGTGCATATTAATTTTATTGAATCAAGAATTAATTTATGATCAATAATATCAGGTTCCTGTTGATCCAGATCTTTTCACAGTAAAATAAATTGTGCTCTTTGTCAAAAGTAGGGAAACCATTACCAATTCAAATCTCATAAGGTATTAAAATAAGGTATATTCAATATACTGTATACTGTATTTGTGCGATTAAATATATCCAAGGAGCAAATGGTTAAAAATACAAAGGATTTGAAGCCAAGAACTTTTCCAAAAAAGTAAATTACATCATAAAATCTTTAAATATAACATTCACAGCTTTATGTAGAAAAATATAATTCTAATGAGACTAATGTACAGAAGGTATACAAGATATACTTTAAAAAAAATTAATGAGGCATACCCAATACACCTAAGTTTCCTCCTTTTTTGAGAGCTTTACCTCCTGTGGTGTTTACTTCCATCGCTGTAAATTGCTACCATTCAAACAACCGATTCAGAAATGAGAATTTTCATTCCTTACTGTTCGATGAGGATTTAACTTAGTATATGTAACAATACAATAATAAGATCACTTTTCAATGTAATATAAAACTTAATACAGAATCAACTGAACTTCATTTAGAGAAATCGAAGTAGACTGTCAATGCCATTTTTTTCTTTAGTGGAAAGAAAGATTTTTCTTACTTGTTTATAACATTAATTCCAACATACATAGCAAAGTTGTCTACATAGAGATCACTCCCTGAACACTTCGTTATTAATTCACCAAATTTGTGACAGCTTATGAAATTATGGTAAACATTCTACAGTACTGTATATGAAAACACTAATACTGAAATTTTTAACAAAATTCTACAAAATTATAATTCAAATTACTTCACTGATTAGCCATAGTGATTAGCGATATCCCCATTAGCCAAAACAATTGGTGCAAAGATCTTCCAGGAGCTGGGGATAGTTTCCAAGAGAATAACCCATGCATTTTGCAAGGAAAGACACTCACATCCCTGGAGTGTTTCCAGGCGTTGGGGAAAATTTTCTGAGAGACAAACTAAGCAGAAGTGCTGGGTAAAGTTTCCAAAGTCTAAACTATCCATCTTGCACATACAAACACTCTTCCATTACATATAGGCCGCAGTCACGAGTGAAAATATTTACAGCTAGCGAAAGTATATAATCAGTTCTAATCGTGTCAAGAGATATGAATTTACTTTTTACTTTATCCTCTTTGCCACCGATTGGCTCGGTAGCCACTTGAGCGGTTGGTTACTTCTCTGTTATGCACTACAGGTATAAGCAAGTACTGGGCATGCACTGGCTCCTGAATATATCTGAACCTGCTCCAGTGATGGTCAAGTCAGGTCTTGAAACAGCTTACACTCGGTGCTGTCACAACTCTCTCTGGAAGGTTGTTCCACGAGTTCACAATTCTCACTCTGAAAAATAATGTCCTCAATGTTTTCTGGACTTGTGTCCTCTTCAACCTAGAGCTGTGGGGTGGGCTTCCGCCAACTCCAGGTATGGACACTTGAGTGAGCAGTGCCCGTTGAGATGTTTATACACCTCAATTAGGTCACCCCTTGCCCATCTGTAGTACAAGCTAGGCAGTTACGGGTGTTTTAATCTCTCTGGATAACCGAGGTGCCAAAGTGCAGGCACCAATCTAGTGGCCCTCCTTTGGATATTTTCAATCAACAGACAGTCCCTAGCATATCTCGGGGACCAGATGGGGCAACAGTATTCCAGATGGGAAAGTACCTCGTTCTTGAAGATTGTTACACACCTAGCACGTGGGGACGCGTCAGAGCATGATGTAACCTCTTGGAAAATCTGTTCCCAGGTCAAGAGCAGGGAAGCTTAGAGATTTTCTCAAAAAATGTGCCTGATTTTAATACTAGGAAACTCATTCCAATGCCCGGCAGGGAGAGCTTTCCCAGATTTTTTAATTTCGGTCAGGGATTCCGGCTAACAGGGAGATTACTGTATTTTATTTCGGTATAGATGCTTTTAATTTTTTTCTCAACACACAGAAGTACAAGTAAAATAAATGTTTGATTAGTTTTGATGCAAGACTTACTCATTTCAGGCACCAAAAACACACACAATCCAAGTAACTATCAAGTGATGGTATTCTGTACCAGCACAATACTGTACACCCTAATTTTACTGCCCACTAAAATTAAAACAATTGTGGAATGATGAACAACTTTCAAAACCCCCATCCATGTAATACAGTTGAAAACCCTTCCATGTCAAAAGAAACAAACTCAGCACATTTTTTCCTTTTCCCTTTTAACCTCTACATGAGAGCAATGTTTAAACTATGCAACAATATAAAAACTAATTTTTCATTAGCATCACCTTTATCCTTCAATGGTACTTTGTTTTTATAACAAAGCATCGATTATTCCAGAACACAGCTTTGACAACTATACCTATATTATAGAATGTAGAAAATGCAAAAATATTAGCGATGAAATATAATATTAAAATACATCATAGTGCTGCTGACAAATACAAAAATTTTAATGTCTAAGCAACTACAGGTATACAGAGGCAAGAAAGTTTTGTAAACAGTAGAAATATTAAGGGCACTAAAAGTAAATAAACTTTAAATTAAATTTTAATAAAATTATGAAAATATACCATTAAAAAATTTCATAAATTTAAATTTTAACAAAAACATGAAAATATACCATATACTATATAAAATTTCATAAGTCATCATGAATAGCTGTGTCCTGGGCGAATCCCTATATAAGCAAGTGGAGATAATCGGCAACAAATGCATACAAAATTTTGTTCAAGTTCTCAATGGTGGGATAGTGAAGAGACCTTTCATTATCTGAAAGGTTGTGCCAGACTGTGGGGAATGGTGTTGGAATCAGATGCAGAACTGGAACACCTGAAATTATTACACATTAAATTTTATTGTAATGAACACTAATAATAATTACCGGTAGACTATTATCTGACCAATCATCTTTTTAGTCACACTGCTTAATTTCTCCAATAACCGTTACAATTTCTTCACTCATATTCAAACTTCAAATTTAATATTAAATTTTAAATCCTGATTCAATTTAAGTTATTTAAGAAAAAGATTCACCAAGCTACTTTAAAATAATCTGAATGAAATTTCTATGAAGTCTATCCTGATAAGAATCGGAGTACAGCAAGTCCTCGTTTAACATTTCCCCAATAACGTTGTTTCGTCATAACATCGCTACTCTTTAGATACCCATGATTCGGACAACGCCCCGCCGATTCGGTATAATGTTGTCATGGACTACTTTGTACAGCGCATCACCATCTCTCACCCAGTCAAAGCGGGAGGAGCAGCCACCCTCCGGGTCTTAGTGACACGCCACCCTCCTCTCCACTACCCACCACACACTCACTCCACCTCCGCCCATCAGCGAGTACACTACAAAATGATTTAGTTTATTTATCTTTTTGGATGTATAATATATACTATTTTCTTTAAAAATTCCATTGAATTGATGTATATGTAATGTATTTTATGGGGCAAAGGGCGGCTGGGAAACGTAAGTCCCGTATTTTATCTATTTCTTATGGGGAAAATTTATTACTTTAACGTTATTTCCGTTAACATCACGGTTTTCAGGAACGGAACCACGACGTTAAGCAAGGACTTACTGTAATATAAATACATATAAACCAAAATGTAAAACTTTACTTAAAATCACAACCACAAAACATAATACAACTAGAAGAGACAATTGAAGATGGAAAATAAATTTTACCATCCTGGCTGATCTGAAGTGAATTGTTTTGGTGTCAACGTGACCACAATATCAGAAAAGTTATGGTCACTCATGAGAGGTCATAAAAAAAAACCCAGATTACAGTACACCATTGCAATTCCATCTGAAGCCCTGGCCAAAATTTCTACCAAGCCTCATCTTATTCGAAATTAAAGCAAGGGACCTATCACCCTTAAAAGGTTTGTGTCTACAGAAACAAACAGGTAGATCCATAAACATGGAGATAACCGAAATATTTTCACCAGCTCATTTCAGCAAATGCAAAAGATTCTCTACATCTACAAACCCGAATGTGTGACAAATGAATTAATGCGGTAAAGTAAAGTACAGTACACTGTATCTGCCAACCAAAAACCTCATGGCCCAGGGATGGTTAAATATTCTACAAGGTTCATATTGTACAGTAATTTAACGAACACCTGTCCGAGGAAAGCATGGAATACATCATACCATTAACATCATTTTGATTACTGTATAGTACTACTGTATCTACAAATACCTAAATGCAGTACTACAGTACAGTATTTCATAATTCTACAACACTTGCAATGTTATTAAGTCTACAAAAACAGCTTTCCATGTGTCACCATTTTCCTAAAATTACCATACAAATCATTCCTTAAACTCATTTTGGAACAAGTAGCCTCACCATTGACACCAACAAGCAATACAATCTTTCCCTGCATGGATACCATTCAAAGCCACTTCTTTATTTAACATTTTAATTTGAATTACAGTATCCTGGCTATTTTGACCCATCCTTACAGTGTACCCATTAATTCAAATTAGATTTTACTGTACTTTATCTTTCTTGCCTTCTTATTTTGAAATTGTTTTAAAAAACAAATATCATTCTTGCAGAGATAAGAATTAAATTATTAAAGGTAAACAGGTTTCAACCCAACTTACCTCTACGAAGAAATGGAATGTGATCATCTTCAATACTGTAAGTGTGAGCGGTGTGTTTTCGGAAAATGAACTGTCTCCGGTGAAGTAATTGTAGATCATTCATTCGGCGTTCAAATGAAATCAAACGAGCATACCAGCGGTCAGTGTTTTTGAAGTAGCTAGAAAACTGAACATCTTTTGTACCCAAGAGATCCAATAAAACAAACAAGTCCTGGAAAAATAATAAAAAAAAAGTCAATATTGTGTCTGTGCAAAAAAGTTTATTAAATAATTCAAATATAAAATTACCTAATATACACCACCAGTGTAACTGTTAGTTGCATTTGTCTGAGGTTAACAGCATTACGAGTATGAATAAAATACAGTAATACTGTACAGTATACAAAAGCTGTTACTTGACCCAATGGATGTGCATACTAATATACAGTGTAGCAGTCTGTCCAAAAATTTCTAGCTTCAATATTTTCGTTCTAATAATCTAGACATCTTGCCATTTATGTGCACACGGTAAAAAATGTATCTATCCACAGTGTGAAACAAATGACATCGAAGACGAAGGATTCTGACAACCCTACCATGACAACACGAGTAATGTTAGTCACCTCAAAATTCATTGCACCGCACCCACCTGCCAAGATGGGTATTCTCATCGTTACCCATTTCGTGAGAATCTAATAGTTAAAATACACAGTACCCAAAATCAAACATGTATGCTTAGTGTAACATATTTTTCATGCATATACTGTAGTTTTAATTCCTTTACAAATTTTATAGTAACATTTTTAATTGTATACCATTATTGAGAGAAGATAAAACTAAAATGTAAGCTCTTTTTGCACTGTATTGTGTGAGAATTCAAAATTAAATACTTACCAGAGGGATTTATCTCTAATGTACCAGTAACTGGGGTTTCAAAAGTATATGTACTACTAAAATAAGAAAAATAAACTTGTCACGATATATATAAACAAAATATTTAGTTTACTTTCCCATGTAAAATTCACTCATTTGGTTTTGTTTTATTCTTAGTTTTAATTGCATTAGCTAGTTTTTTCAGAGGGTAAATGCTCCTGTTTTTGTTGCTTGAAGTCCTCTCTGCTCTTCCTCGATTTTTGAGCCTCCCTCATACTGTTTTCTTTGATTTTAACAGTTTCTTTAACAAAATGTTCTTATTTTCTTCCTGCTGCAACCTCTTCTGCTGTAGCATGCTTCTATACCTACTGGAGAATTTTGTTCCTACACATCAAAGAGGACACACACACACACACACATGCCCAACAGCCTTGAGCTCTTGGGGGACACACACATAGCCTACAGCCCTGACCTCCTGGGGGACACCCCCCCCCCTACAGCCCTGACCTCGGGGGGATGGTGTCTGGACACACACACACACATGCCCTGACATCCTGGGGGACACCACACATGCCCTACAGACTACAGCCCTGACCTCCTTGGAGACACCACACATGACCTACAGACTATAGCCCTGAACTCCTAGGGGACACAAACATCCCCTGACCTCTTGGGGGACACAAACATGACCTCTTGGGGGACACACATCCCTAGAACCCTGACACAATGTCCTCCTGGAGGACACACACATGCCCTACAGCCCTGCCCTGCCCTACTCGGGGACACACACACATGCTCTACAGCCCTGACCTCCTGGGGGACACAAACATGCCCTACAGTCCTGACCTCCTGGGGGAGACACACATATGCCCTACAGCCCTGACCTCCTGGGGTTACACACACACAGCCTACAGCCCTGACCTCCTTGGGGACACAAACATGCCCTACCAAGTTGCCTAAACAACTATGAAAAATTGCATGGGTTATAGAATAAATTATCAGAAATTGTAAAATTATTATAGAAACTTAATATTGAAAAAATGCCTAGCCCCTCCCCTGCCGGGTGATTCAAGTGGATAGGGTGGAGGGGCATATTATAATGCTTCTAATAGTGGAGTTGTATGATGTCATTGATCTTTGGTCAATGAAATAGTCAAGAAATGAAGAATGAAATGCAAAACAAGTAATACTCAGCCAATGAGAAATAGAGTACATGATGTAATGCATGAACATGTCGAGTGCGGCTACTATACTCCGTATACTGGCTGAACGTCCTCGCACGGCAGACCCATCGACGCTAGAGGGTCAATTATTATTATTTATGGCCAAATATTTCTCTTGTAATGGTCATTATCCCCCCCCCCCCACACACACTTTCTCAACGGATCTACGAGATTCACGTGGGTCGCCTAAATGATGGGGAGGGAAAAAAATAAATAGATCACATCCCTGATACATCTCCCTCTGATGTATTACTCAAGTATTTTCTGGATACTTTCACTAATACGGTTGGTTAATTGTAACCATCTTTTTAAGCATGGTATAAAATCACTCGTGTTTCAGCAGTGGCCAAATGAGCCTAGGATGTTTGATTCCTGCCCAATGTCCCTACATATCCTACACTTTGGGCATTAATGAGCCTACTGAGCAAACTAAGATTACCTCTGCATGGGTTAATAAAATACTGTACCTAACAAACAGTTTATTAAAAATACAGCATGCAAAAGCCAAGAGTACTGTACTGTACAACAAAGTGAAATGGGAGGGGTCACTAAACACAAGCTTTCAGTGCAAATTCAGTACAAAAAGGAAAAATACTAGTTATCTGTACTGTACATCATTGACTGTCTTTGTAGCAGTCTGTTATGTAAAACTGTACAAGTTTAATGGGATTGTGGTGTCAAACAGCAATTTAAGAAAGATGAACATGTGATAGTGTGGATGGTGTAGCAGCTTTGTCCCAAATTGACAAAGTCATTATGATGATCACAGAAAAGGGCTACTGTAGAGTACCCTTGATTAGTGACATAAGGAGGGAGAGAAAAATCTGGCAAGTCTTTCTCAGCTTCCACAAGTCTTATGTAAAAGCCAAGGACTAAGACTGCACAGAGGAAGAAGTTGCTAAATTAAAGAGCTATACAGTACAGTACGTGAAAGTACAATAGAAATTAGCAATACGTACTATTCTATGAAGTTCATTGGTGTTATCGATGTTAACATCTGGGTATGGCCTGTTTTTCATCTTGGCAGCTAAATCACGAGCACCATACAGAGAGTCCTTTTCAGACCATTCACGGAATGCTTCTTCACCATCGAGGAATAAGAACTGCAAGGTCAGATCTGATCTCTGAAAATAAACATTTCCATAAAAAACAGTTACCACTTAATAATAGCATATCATGGACAGCAATCGTACTGTATTTGAAGTTTATGAATTCGATTTCAATTACCAAAGATACATCACAAATATTTATAATACAGAGACAAAGTCTCATCACTCTTCTATGCTCATGCACCATTCCTCTTGGTCTAATACAAGACCAGCTGCTTAAAATAAAATTAAACTATGTACTGGTAAATTGTCAACATACCATTCATTTTGTCCATTTAAAATAAAGAACATATGTTAATTCTTAATACTGTATGTTAGATTTCCCACAAATGATGAACACAGTACAGTACTCACAACTGTTGGAACAAAGATTAACTTGTATTTACTGCCACTTGCAGTACAACACTTGATTTTCCCATAACTTCGCAATGGCTGCCTTGGTAGTGAAGTTGTGTCTGATACAGTAAGAGAAGATCTCTGTACGTTTCGTCTTACTTGAGTCTTGTTAACATTGTCTCTATGAACTCTGTGCAGTCCCAAAAAGAAGTTATTATGCCTCTTTTTTGACCTTGATTTGCCTTTAAACTTCTTCAAAAGTTTCTTCAGCTCTTTCTTGGTACAGCCACGTTTTCCTTTTCTTGACTGCACTTTTGGCCTTTTCTTTTTGTGTATCTCCTTGGTCTTTTTCTTCAAACACTACAAACAAGAGTGATGAAGTCTTAAGAATCCTCTCATGTTTGCCTAATGTCATTACTGTACAGTACCTATGAATGAATATTGTTCTTTATCTAGTTCAGAAATGTTTGGTTTATTCTCCTCAACTTAATACCTTCAAACCAGAAAGCTTTATTTGGTGTAATATTCATGGTATGAAAAAGTCTAGCAATATTTCTTTCAGGTAATATTCTTTCTAATCACTGATGAATCACTTCTTCTAGTTACAGTACATTAAAAACTGTACAGTTCTTTATTCCCATCAAGAAAATTATTTTCCTCAGAAATATATAATTTTAAAGTTTTACCAGGCAGACATTTATTACTCTCTATGCTAATCTACAGTACTAAAGTACCTTAAAAGACTTAATTTTTTTCTTATACTGTATTGCTTTAGCTGCCAGAACATTAATGTTTTCATTTAGATTTTTTTTCAGTAAAGATATAAAATAATGAGTAATATAGAACTCGCAGGCAGACTTTTTATTACATGTATGATGTTCTGAAACTTTTATTCAAAATGTCTGATATTACATACAGTACTTTGGAAATCGTTGATAAGTACAGTACAAGTACTGTATAACTATCCAATAATGCCAAGTACAGCATTTTAAAGATACAGTACCTATCTAACATCACTTTGTTGGCAATTAATTCATCTCTTGTAGTAATATGGTGATAAATAATGTACAGTATAGTACAATCCCCATAATTCCTAACACCCTAATTCGAAATTGCTCATAATTTGTAATGTTTTGCCATTATGAAATACATGTTACAAACTCCAGAATATTAGGTAAAATTTCAAAGTACGAGACATATTTAGGAATACTGTATGTGGGATGCATATGTCACCATGGTATGTGACTGCCTTCCTCTGTGTAAACAAGTACTGTATACAGTATGCTTGTCGGTCAGTTCATGTCAGTCAGTCGTGGTGTGCAAGTCTATAATCTACTGCGAAAGCTTTTTCCCACTTGTTTTTCCATCACTGCCCAGTGTTTGAGCCATTATGTCTGATAACCCTAAATCTGGTACTGTACAGTACTTAGAAAAGTTTAAATTTTGATTGGGGCAGAAAACGGAAAAGTACCGCTGTTTTGTTCATTTCCCTTGGGAGGTGTCATAATATTCGTAAGCTCTTTCAAGATCAGACTTTAACAACACTGGCGCAAGTTCAGATACATTTAGGAGCCAGTGCATGTTCAGTACTTACCAACAGTGCGAAACAGAGATATGACCAACCGCCCTAGTGGCTAATGAGCCAACCATTGGCGATGAGTATAAAAAAGAAGTAAGGGGTATTATTTCGAATTATGGGGGTTTAACTATAAATAATTGTATTATTCTACCAGACAAAATACTTGGAAATTACCTTCCTGAAATTTTAAACATTCTCATTAACATTAAAAGCGAACTATTCTAGAGCAACCATTTATGGCCAATATACAGTATTTTCAAACTGGACATAAGCAGAAATCTTGTTGACAATATTCAAGGATGGAGATCACCAATACTGTTTACTGAAGCCACTAATATACAGTAATGTCTTTATAATACACAATTTTACAGCAAAATATATTTGAGTACAGCACTAATCTTCAATTCTTTTTTTTTTTTTAGTCAGCCAAATATGAAGGATAGAACCCAAGATCTCATTTTTATGGTGTAAAAAAAAAAACTACCCGTCAGATGGTTTACCAGACAAATCGGAAATATCTACTTTACAAATACTAGAGTTACAAAACCAGACAACCATAAAATGAAGGTCAAGAGTTGAACTGAGACATAAGGAGAAAGGGGTCCTTATTCCTAGTCTTGGATTCTGAAAACTGAGAAATCGTGTCATACTTTTTTAAATAACTTTATAAATCAAGAAGTGCCACAGGCATAATACAGTAAACTGTTTACAGTGACTGAGTAACACACCTTTACAGCCAATTTATGAACATACAGTGTAATGACCATGGTCATGCAGGTTAACGTAAAATCAGAGGATTCATATTACGCTCAATAGCTCATAAAACATGTAGCTATAACTTAATTTTTTATAGCTGCTGCCGAGACGTCTATTTTCTCTCGTGTGTTTCAGAACCTCTCGTATCCCTTGTTTATGTTAGAATATTTAAAATTATGATCGAATGCATCTGTGTTACTGTCAGATATATATATATACCTGCTTACAGCCGAAACATTCAAGATCCATTGTGAGTGATGGTGAAAAATTCAACTGTACAGTATTTACTTTTAGTGAAATTGGCAAGCAAGTTGAATATTTGAGTTTGCAAGGGAAAGTGAAGAATCCTGACATTGCCCCGCAAGACATGCGAGAGTGCCAGTCACCACCGAAGTCAGATTGTTTTAATTCACTATCATCAAGAGAATCTGATGAATGTTGAAATTATTGTTAGTTTTGTATTTAAGAATGCCATTAATCATTTGAGAGAAACCTGTCAACTTCTCAAAGCCTGAAATTTTAAGGGCCATGTGTCAGAACCCCCTCCATTCCTCTCGACTTCTCTCATCGTCTCAGTTATGTACACTCACGCACTATAGTTTCGATGCACCCTCTACCCCTGCTCCTGGCTCGAGGGATGTCGTAGTCAGGGCTGCAAACTGAACGGTCCCTCTTGTATAGTGATGGTATATAAAGTGTTGTGAAGTCACTAAAAAAATATATCGTGAATATATTCTCTCAAATATTGCATCACGAACTGCTATTCGTACAATCCAGCGAAGCTTCGAGCTACCACATTGCACCACTGAACGATGGGTGGAGAGGGGTGGGAGACGTTTGGTATAAAGCCAAGGCTACGACTTCCATCGAGTCAGGAGTAGGGGTAGAAGGAGCATCGAAACTATGGAGCGTGAGTGTACCGAATGCCTCACATCTGCCACATTAAGTGAATATAACTCGGTGAAACTTTGTTGAATATATCGGTGTTCATGTTTTAAAAGTAGTTGAATGTCTTATGTGCCAAATGATACTGTAACGTAACTAGACGCCTTCTGTGTTCAATGATCCATGTGTTCCCTTGCCAGACGTGTGGTGATATTTTGTATTTGATTTTACACTTCTCTTGACTGGTCTCTGTCTCTCGGTCACTGTGTGTCGTTGCCACTATCGAGTATCGATAGCTGCCTGCAGGCAACATGTCTGAGGTAAGATGTCTTTAATACAATGAGATCAAGATCCAAGCAAGTGATGAGCCCTGGGAGCCAACTAAGGGAGAGTGGGCTCTTTAGCACCACGGTGCCGAGTCTAACCGAAGCTGCTGCCGAGTTGCATTTGTTTTGAACAGCATCGGTATAAGCTTGGTGTATACTCATCTTAACCAAATGTGTTAATGATTATTCTATTACATTATTGTGGATGATTATTGGGAATATAATTGTATTGAAACCAAAAATATTACTACCACCAGTATTTGTGCTCTTTATAATGCGAGTAACCTAGCTATACTCATAGATGAGATGTGCTGGTGTATGTCTATGATGGTTCATCCAGTAATAACATGATGCTGCAAGTAATGTAGTAATATCTCTGTGTGCTATTGACAAGTATTTAGTGACCATCTTTCTATTATCACTGTTGTATAATAATACCCTTAGGTACTGAATGTTGTAACTTAACTGAAGATATATTTTTGCTACTTACCAAGTACAACCTATTTGTCAGTTCCGTTTTGTCCGAGTGTTTCAGTAACATATCGGTGAATAAACCTAATTTTTGTGTTTTGAGTAAAGGTTCAAATTGTCGTAATTTTCATATTTGATTTTAATAAATATTGATTCAGTAGAATGTGTGTATCACCGCTCATTCCTTCTAACAATTGGCATCCTTGAAAACATTTAAATACTTATGTGCCTAGCCTTGTGTCTACCACACTACCAATTTAATTGAGAAGTTAATTGTATAAGTTATATTCTAAAGAACAGCCCAAGTGGTGGCAGTGCAAAGATGCAAGTATATTAATTATAATAATGTGCAAGAATAGAGAAGAATATGGTTTTCCCAGGGTTAATCCACAGACTAGAATATAACTAAGAAGGAACTCTGAGAATAAAAGTAAGTAAAAGAAAATAATAAGTAAGAGCAATGAAAAATACAATAAGCACTGAGAGACTTGGAAAATAAAAGAAATATAACCAAGATTATAGAAGTCAAGTGGCAATTCCAAACATTTAAAAAACCGAGATATTATAACAGGAATGTATCCTGTTGTATCCAAGTTCCATAAAACATGACTTATCATATACAATGCCCCCCCCCCTCCCTATCCATTATTTCCAAAATAATGTACAACTAATTCATTTTAGTATAATACAGGTATATGTAGTACAGTACAGTACAATACTTACGGTTTGGTTGTGTTGATTCAGGCTGGTTTGCATCACTGTGGCTAAGTTCAGCATCATTGCACAAGGAACAGCAGAATCAGTGGCACCAACAAAAGCACCTTCACGATGAATTTTTGAGTCATAATGGCAAGCCAAAACTAAGCGACGAGTTGCTCCTGGGTCTAGAGTAGCTATCACATTTGTAAAATTCTTCTTACCAAAGGGAGTATTGGACAAAAATGTATCCTCTTCAACGGTCCACGAAAGATCATGCATCGTGTTCACGAGATGCTGGAAAAAATTAGTTTTCACTTTAAGCTACTGTATGAACTATTACCTATAATACAATGACTAATAAAAAAATGGGAATTAAGAAATGCAGAACACAATTTCCCTGTTCAAATTACAGATATCTTCACATAATAAATACAGGTGCTCCTCTACTTAAGAACGTTCAACTTACAACTTTCAGATACAAACATCATCACTGAGGGGGTGTTACCTGCCAGAACATGTGTTTAATGTGGATGAGACTGGATTATTTTTAAGAAAATTCCACATAGAACAAACATTGCCTAAGAGAAGAAGAGTGAGCCAGGTTTTAAGGCTGTATTAAAGGGTATAGCTGTACTAAATATCCATAATCTTTTAATTTTTTACAATATGTTTGGGATCTACAGGAGTAAAGTTGGATTTACAAACAAGCCTCAGGAATGTAACTCGTTCGTAAGTAGAGAAGCACCTGTACTGATATTTTCTCACAAAAGTGGTTCAGAAATTGGTGCACTGTACTGTATATATGCCTTCATTGAGGCATTCCTTTAACCACTCTTAAACATGCTTATTAAAGACACCCCATTGAGCTGTGCACATGGTTCTACATTTCAGTGCCCTTTTGTGAATCTCATAATAAAACCCGTTATTCAGGTTGCTTTTTTAAATACAGTACTGTACAGTATTGCAAGGTATTGTTACCAACACCACAAATGCTCCTCAGGTTACACAAAAACTTATCTTTCTCCAATTTTCAGTTTTCTCCATAATGGTAAATGTAATTGGCTTCTTCACATCAGTACATTAAGTACTATCATTATAAGAGGCTTACTGGATGTTACTATAAGGGCTGGTACCGAACTCCTACTACTTTCATTTCTAACTGTGAAGTTAGGTACAGCATTGAGTCGCAGCTGGGTAAACCGGGCGTGCCCCCAGGTATGACCCAGTGACCCTTAAGACATGAGGTAAGCAATTTATCCTTTACCCCACACTTATGCCATTACTCCTATATGTGAAGCTTTAAACAAATTTACTGGAAGTTTCATAATTTACAGAAAATTAAGCATTAACCCTTTCGCCTCAGGTGTCACGTAAATGTGCCACCGAATCTTTTTTCCATAGACAAAGGGTGTCACGTACAGTATATGTGATCTGACGTATAAATTGTCCATGCCCACCTGGTGGTGCAGAACGTGGTTTTTTCGCAACTGATAATGAGTGTTGCCAATTGTGTGGGTTGTTTTTATCTCCATATACCAAACAGACACGTCAGTATGTTTCATGATGTCACGGAGAGCAGTAAGAGATTTGGCCGCTACCACGGAGTAGTTGGGGCAAGAAAATTACTTTCTTGATCTAATGGATAGTATTGATACGGATTCAGATACTCTCTGATGATACTGAAAGTGATTACAAGAGGGATCTTTTGAAAGAAATAAAAGGTAGGGAGCATAATATATCATGTTCAAGCGATACTGACGAATATGATCCCCAGCCTGGACCTAGTTCCAAAAGGAAATGGGGTGGTAAGCAAAGTTCCTCCTTGGGTAGAAAGACAAAAAATCAGTAGCACAGAGTATTCCTCGAGAGAGAGAGAGGTTATTCAATCAGATAGTCAGGGAGAAGGTCAGTCCTTTGATAGTAGTCAGCGGGTGGCACAAGGAGCTGGTCGGCAACACCATGTTCCATGCCTGTTCAAAGTCACGCTCCGTGGGTCTGGGATGAATCTCCTTTTACACCTTCTGTTTTTCCATTTGATGCAAGTAACTCTGGATTAACCAATGCATGCAGTGTGACAAGTCAATGAGCTAGATTATTTATTCATGTATCTGGATGAGGAATTTACAGACATAATAGTGTGAGAATCTAACCACTATAACCTTTAGATGAAAGAATTTAAGCCAGATTTTTTGGGAAGTGGGCATCAAGTTATACTTGGAAACCAGTTACCAGAGATGACATCTACATGGTTGTGTGTTTACTGATGCTTATGAGTCGTGTAAAAAAAAATACAATCAATGATTAATTATTGGACAGTGGATGAGGTTTTTGAGACACCAATATTCTCCAAGCTCATGTCCCGTGACAGGTTTTTACAATTATTACGGTGCCTGCATTTCACAGACAACAACAAAGTTGACAAAAATGATAGGCTATGCAAAGTAAGGCCAGTTCTTTATCACATGCATAGGAAGTATAGGGAAATGTTTACTCCATACCAAGACCTTTGTATTGATGAGAGTTTATTGCTGTGGAGTGATAGAATAGGCCTCCAGCAGTACATACCGTCAAAACAGCATAGGTATGGAGTAAAAGTGTTTGTATTATGTGATGTAAAAACTGACTACATTCTTGACTTCATTCTGTATGCAGGCAACTATTGGCATAGAACAAGATGAGAACCTGGGTATTTCTGGCTCTGTGGTCAAAACACTCACAAAAGATTACATGCAGAGATCACATAGTTGGTACAGTAGCCCCACTGTTTCAGTACCTAAATGAAGGAAAAACGGGTGCATGTGGAACAGTACGTGCCAACCGGAAAGATATGCCATCACTTCCTAATGTGAAGTCTGGCGAAATGGTTGCTCGTCACTGTAATCAAATTGGCTGTGTAAAGTGGAATGATAAAGCTGTGGGTTTGTTGGCTTCTGTCCATCCTTGTCATATGATTCAAACAGAAAAGAGGTTGTGATGATGAGATCATCCAAAAACCTGCCCCTGTAGTAACTATAATACAAAAGTGAATGAGAATAGTAGACAAAAATGACATGCTTCCATCATTCATAGTGTACACAAAACTAAGATGGTACTTGAAGTTATTCAATCACATTGTAGATATGTCTGTCCTAAATGCATACCATCTGTACATACACAACTGGAAAACGTGTAGCATTGCTTGATTTTAGCAAAGCAGTTATTCACCAAATGATGGATAAATACAGTGCACAAAGAGTACGAGCAACTGGGCAAGTGGGACTGTGTCCCTCGCACTTATCAGGCCACCATTTCACCTCACCCATTCCTCCCCTTCCCCAGACAACTCGACCTCGCAGACGATGTCACGTCTGTTCACACCCATCACTGCACCCCCACACACGCCAGATGACATATTACATGTGCAATGAATGTAATGCTCCCCTCTGTGTGCACCCATGTTTTGGTGAATATCACACAAGAACATTGAATGCTGATATTGAAATGTAGGCTGCAATTGTAGGTTCTTTGTAAATTTTCATATTGGATGTAAATATCGACCTTTTTTTCATATTTTCTTTATATATGAATTGCTGATTTACATATATTGTTCACAAGAAAACGAGAGAGAGAGAGAGAGAGAGAGAGAGAGAGAAACTTCCTACTTATTTTGAGTAAGAGTAAAGGATACTTATGACGTACGGGTTATGTGTGTGTTCCCCCCCCACCCCCTTATCTCCCCTACCCTCAAGGGGAGGAGTGGTGTCTGACTCTCCTTACAAGAGCACTGAGTCACATGATGTCTCCAATGCATGTTTATTTATTTTTTTCTGGTTTTGTTCTATCATGCCAATACTTGAATAATTACTCTGAAAATATTATTAAGTGAAAGTTTGATGTACACCTCTTACAGATGTTTTTCACTGCATTTTCACATTACGGTAACATTCTTTCTTGTATTTTTCATTCACTGTAAAATGCAAATGCTGATAACCTTGTGATGGAATAATTGCACATTAAAAAAATAAATAAATAAATGTATTTTTATATAATCTACATGTACCAAAATTACATGGAAAGATGTAGTTTATAATAAAAAGATACTGTATATACAAAGAAAATGAGAAAACTACATAGTATTATAAAGAGGCTAGTCGGAATCTTTCTCATCGTACGTCTGGCAGTCCCGAGAGTGACGCAGCAAAATATGACACCTTGTGGGACATTTAAATTGAATGTTTCATGTTGTGTCATACCCTATATCATTTTATTCAGAAAATTTTGCTTGATTTTTTGTAAAATTTAGATTACCTAAAATATTTTGTTAAAAAATTTCCTAAAACCGCGTGTGGGAGGTACCACAGCAAAAACCTCCCTCCGAGGCAAAAGGGTTAAATAATGGGATGAGGAACTACATTAGTCTTTTAATTAGTTCATTATTCTGTTTTTGACAAGATCTAGATTTATTACGAGTAGTTTAGTTACCATTACCAAGACCCTCAGATGCTGGTGTCAGTCTCTGCTTGGTCAGGGCCTACGAACCAGGTAATATTTTGTAACAAATAACATCTTACACTGTTATTCTTCATTTCTACTGGGCTGTCCAAAATTTCAGTCTTGAGGAACAGTAACAAGGACAATACAGTACATGAAAAAGAGCATTTACCTCCTATATGCTAGACCACACTAACCCAGATCAACTTCATTTTTCACCATCATTGCATTAAGTGAAAGTTTGTTTACATCTAACAGTAAAGACACTTGATCGTATCCAACCCCCCTAATGGCCTGTCACCCTCAAACCCTCATTGGAGGGCCAATTCACATGGAAGGTACAGTATGCAATATTCTCACATATGTTTTAATTTATCACCTCAAATGTTTCTCAATCTGGGAGACGGTTCAATTTTTCAGAGGCGCAAAAGCTCTCAGAAACTGGTCAACTACAATACACACCTCAGATTGTGACTCGGTAGATGTGTTGACCACTTTCCCTGAGCTTCCCCCCCCCCTCCCCTCCCCCCTAATTAAAATTTTACACCCTCCAGATTAAAAACCATTGTATTAACTAAAAACACAAAAACTTATTATGGATTTAAATTATCAATATACTGTAGTGCACTGTAAAACTAAATGATAGAACTAAACAATCATCATCATCATTACACCATTTAAAATTAATCATAAATAGGCTTACCTTCCTAACATTAGCATGATTAGTTGAGCCCACGATGCGAGGCACAAGGATGGGGTCGAGAACACTTTTGAAGTGTTTCATGTTACTCAACCTTGAAATAGCTTGCAACTCACTATCAGCCAAGCCAATTCCTTCATGTTCATCCTGTAAAAAAATAAGAGGAATTTAATGATTCTGATGAAATAATCAAGCTGGCCAATTTAAACTACAAAAAGTAGGAATGTGAGCAATTTCATCAAATTTGTAAATGTATTTTCTTTAAGAATAATAATGTATGAAAAATACTCTCCTGAACAGTCAATTTTAACATTTTCAAGTTGGATATTAATGAGGTCTTGCCTTTTCTTTTTTTTTTTACTTTAACAAATTTTACACAAATAATTTCTTAATATTGAACCCCAAATAAAAAAAACTCTTCATATCCAGTACCGGGGGTCCCCAGGTTACAAACGGGTTCCGTTCCAGAGGACATTCTGATGTCAGGTTTGTAAGCAAATCGCAACACATGCTATGTGCATACCGTACTTACAGAACAATGTTTAAAATCCCTCTATAAAAGCCGAATTCCTTATATGTATACATATAAAATCACTTAAATTAAGACAAAAGAAATAGAATGACAAAATACAGTAAATTAGAGTAAAAAAAAAAGTCAAGTAAAATACTGTAAATTTCAAGTTTAACCCTGTTCGTAAGTCGGGGAACCCCTGTATTGTATAACTGAATACGTCCAAATACTAATGTACTTAATTTGCATCCATTAATTAAGTCGCAGGGTAGAATGCAGTACAGTGATGCCTGCCAAAACCATCCAATAAAAAAGTTCCTCTAGAATACTGTACCATACCAACTTTTTTCTTCATTATTACATCTAAAATTACTGTACATTCCATAAAATTCTGGCAGTATTACAGTACACCCCCCAAAAACAGGACTTCTCCCCTCCCTTTAATTCCTGTTTATAATCATGGTATACCAATTGTCTACAGAATGTAATGCAAAATCTAATGTATTGTCTACACATCCAAACAACTACAGAACAGAGGGACTCTACTACTATGTCTACAAAACATAAGAGCTACTGTAATATAATACCGTAGTGTCTACAGAATGTACTGTATTATGATATTGTTAATGGAGTACACCATGATTTTGTCTACAGTACTGTACAGTATACTGTACTACCACAACTGCTTACAATGTTTACTACCACATCAACTGCTTGCAGTGTTTACTACCACATCAACTGCTTGCAGTGTTTACTACCACATCAACTGCTTGCAGTGTTTACTACCACATCAACTGCTTGCAGTGTTTACTACCACATCAACTGCTTGCAGTGTTTACTACCACATCAAGTGTTGCAGTGTTTACTAACATACCAATGGTTGCAGTGTTTACTAAAACAATTGTTTGCACTGTTCACTACCATACCTACTATTTACAGTACAATCAATAACTATTACCATGACTATTGTTAACATTTCACATTACAGTACAATAGTGTCTACAGCATGACTACCATATTAATTACCAACAGTGCGTTATATACCAAGTGGCCATAGGAGTTATTACCATTAAAACTTCATAATACTGTACTACATTCAAAACGGTTCTTAGTAATGTCCTTCCTAACACTAACAGTACATGGTATTTACATTCAAAACTGTTTATAATACTATCACTTCATACAAGGCCCAAGATGTTCTACTGTATGTAACTAAACACTACAGACGTGACAGTACCACACCATAAGACAGGCCCCAACCCTCACCACTACCACTACACAGTTGATCACTTTCACCAACATGTGTGTCGCGCCAAGTTATAACGACACCGTAAATCACCCGATTCCATAAACTTAACTACTTCCATTATAAACAATGCGACGGAATGGGGTGAGTAACTGGCCGAACCGGTTGTTATTTTATTTGTAGTGACGATTGTTTTAATGGCGGGGTAGTTATGTTAATGACTGCTGATGATGACTTACGGTGGTCCCGGTAATGAGTGTTGGTAGTGAAGGGTGGTGTGGTGATAGTGGTGGTAGGTGATGGTAAAGGGCGAGGGGGGTGCTCTATGAGGGAGGAAACGGTGGTCGTTGAGGGGAGGATTTTGGTGGCGGGAGGGAGGTGGTGGATGTGCCGGGGTTGAAAGGGGACGGGGGATGTTTGTGAACACGACAGGTGCGAGGAACAAGGTTACACAAGTGCCTCATCTGCTGCCTAGCCGATAGCCTTTCATTCGGACACACTTATGCTAGGCATATTTGTACATTAATTTATGTAAAGGTGTGTGAGGAGAGACCATTAACAGAATTGTCACTACTGTTAACGGTATTCAAAACAATTTAGATAATGGAATCAGTCTACAAGATCCTGTAAAGGTCAAAATATGACACACTTACATCATTTAGTGATTCTATATAGATAGCATTCTATTAGAAGACTGAATGCACTAAATAACTCAAAAAAAGAACAATAGACCGTGATTATCGTAATGTAAATTTAATAAAGATGAGTACTTACTTCATTTAAAGGATCACGATTAATGGTACAGAATTTATACAGGTTGTCATCAACGAATAATGGCGGAAACAAAGGAAATGTGCTGGCGGAACTCTTCAAGGGCAAGAAAATTATTAGTGGCGTCACAAATGCACCTAGAGACTTAATTTTAATGTCATAACATCAGTGTTCGCCGTGTTTTTACCCCGCAATTTCCCTCATCCTTCATGCTCTGCCCACTAACAAGGAATTTATGATCCATAGAGTAAATGAAAAAAATCTTAAAAAATACTGAAAATAGTTTAATAAACTGAAAATCATCAAAACAATAAGTATAGGAAAATTAAAGAAAATCAACAAACTCCTGGTGGTAGCCATCGTCTACACCTTTACCTTAATTTAGCCTACAGCTTAATACTCCCACATATTACGAGTGATAGTTTTAAAGGCTGTGTTTTCTTGATATATGATGGTTTAGTTTCGGATGGTACAAAGCAGACATTATATATGAATTGAAAATATAAATCAACTACAGGGCAACAGTGGCGTTCTTTCTCAGAAAATTGTGTAGACTTTGGTCCAGGGTATAGTGACCAGAGAAAAACATAACGTACATCATGATCCAGGGTCACCTAGCAGTACTGTAAACTTGGGTAAATTATTTTCAAAATACAGGATGGGTGTATGGCCAGGCCCCTCTACCGACCAGTGCAACACTTCTCTGGTGAAAAAAAACGCAGTATGTCCTTAGGTTCTTCTTAGAAATATTTGAGCTTGAGAACATCTCCGCCCGAGTGTGGGTAGGATAGTTGTCAAACGCATATCCCGTTATGGGGTTTCAAGAGAAGTTTCAAGATAAATTTCTCAGAACCTCGTTCGTACAACAAAACTTTTTAACAATAATGTGTTTAATCGTAGAGGAGGGAGGGAGGGAGGAGTGTGAGGGAGGGAGGGAAGGAGGTGTGAGGGGAAGGGAGGGGGTGAGGTGTGAGGGAGGAGGGGGTGAAGTGTGAGGGAGGGTGAGTGTGAGGGGGTGAGTGTGAGGGAGGAGGGGGTGAGTGCGAGGGAGGAGGGGTGGAGTGCGAGGAGGAGGGGGTGAGTGCGAGGGAGGGGGTGAGTGCAGGAGGGGTGAGTGCGAGGGAGGAGGGGGTGGGGTACTGAGGGAGGAGGGGTGAGGTGCGAGGAGGAGGGGGTGAGTGCGAGGAGGAGGGGTGAGTGCGAGGGAGGAGGGTGAGTGCAGGGGAGGAGGGGTGAGTGCGAGGGAGGAGGGGTGAGTGCGAGGAGGAGGGTGAAGGTGCAGGGAGGAGGGGTGAGTGCGAGGAGGGTGGAGGTGCAGGAGGAGGGGTGAGTGCGGGGAGGGGGTGAGTGCGAGGGAGGAGGGGGTAGGTGCGAGGGAGGAGGGGTGAGTGCGAGGGAGGAGGGGGGTGAGTGCAGGGAGGAGGGTGAGTGCGAGGAGGAGGGTGAGTGCGAGGGAGGGAGGGGGTGGAGTGCGAGGGAGGAGGAGGTGTGTGAGGGAGGAGGGAGGTGTGTGAGGGAGGAAGGGAGGAAGAGGAGGAGGAAGGAAGAGGGAGGGAAGGAAGAAGTGAGGGAGGAAAGGAAGAGAAAGTGAAGAGGGAGGAAGGGAAGAGAAAGTGAAGAGAGGAGGAGGAGGGAAGAAGGGAGTTGGAGGTGGGAGGAGATGCAATGCTGTTCTGTTCTTTGGTGGGTAATTCAGCACCTGACTACAATAGTTAAGAGGCTGCTGGGAACACCTTACGCGCATACACCTGGCAATATTTGTTATGAGGCCATTAAGGAATATAATCACCCCAACACACAAACAAAACATCCACTGCCATTTCAGCTCCATTCTTGTGAAGCACATGTACAGTCATGAGCAATAAATAGTCCAGCGACACCGCTCTCCTCCCCCCACATTCACTCTGACAACGACCGTGGAATTTACAGTACAATACACAGGAAGGGGTTTCGATTGCTTGAGTTACCCCTAAAATTGGTTGATGAGTACAGTGTACGGAACTTCAATATGAGGGGAGAGAATATTACACGACTATTGCTCGTGACTGTACTGTATGATTCATAATGTATACAGTAGTAGTCTGGTTTAGAACTGTAGGTCTTAAAAGTCAATACTCGTACATGTTACTTCGATTGGCAAGTAGTTTAACAGCTAAATTGAATACGTGTCACTAACAGATAGTAACTCTTCCAGAATATCAAATTAAGATCCCGCTTATTTCATCTGACTAGACACCCTAATGCTGACCTAACCAAACCTAAACTACCTCCCCTATTTAGCGTTAGGGTGTTTAATCATCAGGTGAAATAAACGGTTCCTGTGTTTTCCCCATGACGTCATGATATAAATCTGATGTCTGCTTACACCCACACTAACATTATGACAGCGGTAACGCGCGTATCCCTCACCATATGTCCAAGTGGGTAACAGAAACGTGACCGACTGCCCATATCGCTCACAAGCCGATCAGCGGTGAATAGGATAAAAGTATATGGTGTCTGGTCACCATGAATAACACCCTTCCCACATGAGACTGTCAAGTTAAAAGTGTGGGTGGACATCAGGCTTAACTCGTGACGTTATGGGGAAGCACAAGGCAATAAGAGGCAATATCTCTTGCACAAAGGTACATGCAATTTCTTCCAGCCACTCAATTTCCCCCTGTGCTAACACTGGACAATAAAGGTCATTTAGACAATAAAGATCATAAAGTAACAGAAGCACTGACCATCTGTGATCCGATGTGTTAAATTTTACCCTTTCCAATAATAATTTAATTTCAAGCATCATTAGTAAGTTACTTAGGTTTCTGTAAGTGTACTTTGTTCAAGACGACTAGGGATGTGTGATGGGTCTTTGAAGGCCGACTACTTTTTACGCGCCACGTACAGGATGTGTGAACATTTTCCCCTAGTTGAGAGCTGCTTTCCTAGAGTTGTGGCCTAATTGCATTAAGAAGGCAGAAAACCCTACACTAACAATATTTAAAAAAATAAAGAATTTATTATACTCCTATACTGTATGGTTTTATTGTTTTGATTTATCGTACGGTTGGCAGACCCATTTCCCCCGACTAGAAATATTTTTGGTAAAACTAAGGCGGTTTCACAGGCCTTAAGGTGAATGTACTGTGCCAAAAATAAAGTTATCGTAACAAGTAATCATAGTCTATTTCGGGAATTAAATTTAAACCGATTTTAAAAAACTTTCACTAGTAGCACGAAAATTACTTGATAAAACATGTCATACAGGAGTGATCTGCCTCTAAACAACCTTTTGTAGTCTTAAAGAACTTTTGACGCAAAAAACCAAATGCATTTATTGTTGGCCAATTGTTAAACAAGCTATACAAAAATCTAAAACCATCCAATCAGATTTCCTGGACTAGCCATTTACACTTTATATTGCTCAAGCTGGTTTCAAAACCTGAAATCTATTACATATTCGACCACTGCAAAAATGTACTCACTTTTGCTGTATACCAGAGGGATCTGCTCCTTTTGTTGTGCCTATCGTCGCTCTGGGCATAGTTCAAAGCCACAAATGTAGGAAGAACACACACGTCCACCGTGGAAGCATGCTTACTGACGTCTGTATTGCTGCCAGCGCCACCCTCATGGACACGCTGCTTGTGTACGGGGAACGCTGCCCAATCATACTATCTAGGGACAAAAACCATCAGTTTTCCCCCACCACACACCTCAGATATACAATATATATATATATATATATATATATATATATATATATATATATATATATATATATATATATATATATATATATATATATGCTGATAACCACAGGGAAGAAGCATATGCCTAGATCATCTACCTACAGTGATTTGCATATATAAATATATATATATATATATATATATATATATATATATATATATTTATATATATATATACAAATATATATACAAATATATACATATATAAATATATGCATATATATATATATATATATATATATATATATATATATATATATATTATATATAAATATATATATATGTATACAAATATATACATATACAAATATATACATATATATATATATATATACAAATATACATGTATATATATATATACAAATATATATATGTATATATATATATATATATATATATATATATATATATATATATATATATATATATATATATACATGCAAGCAAATCACTGTAGGTGCGCGTTATCCAGTATATGCTGATAACCAGAAGAAGAAAACACAAGTTCCCTAAGCGCTTTCATGTAATTCACATCTTCAGGTGAATACAGACTAAGAGAAGTACAAAAAAAGGTGTATATATACAGAGGAGGTGAGACCAGGTCCACAATGGTCAGGTATTAGGTAATGTCCTATTAATCTGTAAATAGCACGGCAACGGTCGGTAGTCAGGTCAGAGGGTAAGCTGACCCAACCTTACCTGGTTACAAATCTTCTTAATTACAAAATTGTCCAGTTTGTACATGCCATTACTCAAATTCATGTTGAATGCTTCGGTTTGTTTAATGAGACTAGATTCTATGATGTTCCTACTATCAATTGAATTACAAGGTAATATTGAGGAGGCATTATCCCAGTCAAGGCAATGCTTGTTATCCCTCAAATGAACAAACAGAGCATTGGATTCCTGGCCTGTCCTAACACTATATTTATGTTGTTTAAGTCTGGTTACAAGACAGGTAAAGATAGGGTTTAACTACAATTTATACAAAGAAAAAATTCGAACTGGTCTGTATAGAGAACGATCATGTAGATAATTATAATATAAACTATAAGCGAATAACATTACTTAAGCAACTAATCAACCCTTTGATATGTTATGATAGTAAACTATCTTAAATTAGTTTGTAATATTACCGTGTACAGGCTAATTACCATAATCGCAATAACTAATTATATCTACAAAAATTTGCGAAAACGTAGGATGCATCACTTGCGTGTAATTTATTGGACGATTATCCTCACATTTTAAACAGTATTCTTTTAGTTTCGGTTATCTGGGGAATTTTAGTAATTAGGTTTCCGTCGGAAATGTATATTTTTCGTGTATATTAACAGATAAAATTATCATTAGTTGCTCAAAGTAGGCAGGGCTTTGAAGTAAAGGAAAAATGTGGGGTGAAATACTAATAACATCAAACAAACCTTTGAAAACCTTACCTCACATGAGCACCGAAAACATCACATAATAAACACCAAAACCATGAATCAGGTAAGCTTTTTATAGTTTTAGGATTTTTGAAGGGTAGGCAAAGTTTTCAAAGGTTTAAATATTTAATATTTTACCTCATTTTCCCTCTACTTCAAAGCCTTGCCCAGTTTGAACAACTAATATTGAGGGTAATTTTATCAGTTAAAATACTGAAAATATAAATTTCCGATGGACGCGCAATAGAATTAAGTTTTAGTTTTGTTTTTCCTCATTAAAATTGTATATAAAAGTAAGAGTTAACAACTTTTAAATATTTACCAGATTCTGTTGATATAAAGTTAGCAAGGCTTGTCATCAGAAAATTACATTATTTTCTTTAATACAATATTGTACCCAGGCTTTTTTGTATGATAAAAAGTAATTACTATATTACTATTGACTTCAGAATATATCCTAATATCAGGATCACTTGGCCTCAAAATCCCCAAAACCCCACTACTGGGTGGGCTCGCTTCTCTCACCCACAATTTCTTGGATCACCTTTTGATAGTCCAGGATCCGCCCCTGTGGATCAAGAACGCTCAAATATCAGGCGTCCACCACAAATTTATGACTAATATACAAACACAAAAATCATATAAAGATTCCAGTTACATAAACTACTCGGGGTTGACCTCATTTCCCACACATTCACTGTAATCTTGCCGTTTATTTATGACAACCCTTTTATGGACCCCCACACACGCGCGCGCACGCACGCACACACACACACACACACGCGCATGCACGCACGCGCCGGCGCGCATTTAAATCCGATAGCCAAATTTGGTCACCAACTTATCGAACTCCTAACCCTGTAGAGTATAGATCTCATACATTTAGGTATACATACATACTAGATATGAATGTGCATCTTCAATTTATAAACGTCTAAAATATGTATAAGAATTAACTCACGTGTAATAGATGGCTGGTGTCTGTACTTGATCAACACCGCTCACACACTCCCTCAGGTCGTCCACTGACTCAGTTACTGACCTCTTGGCAGACTGCGGGAGGCTCGCCGGGATACACGTGTTGCCCAAACCTCGTTATACTGGCAGCGCTGCAAACTGCCAACCCAGTGAACAGTCTTTTCGCTATTTATACAGATAATGTTATATATTAGGCACTACGTCAATTTCAATGGTAATTAAAATTTGTTTTGTAAGTTTTACTCACCCCTGAAGATGTGAATTACACGAAAGCGCTTAGGAACTTCGTGTTTTCTTCTTTCCTTGTGGTTATCATATATATATATATATATATATATATATATATATATATATATATATATATATATAATGAAAAATAAACACTCCAGCTTATTTATTGGATGACTAAACACCCTAACACTAACCTAACTTAATATAACCAACCCCCACCCCATTAGGTAACTTTAATGTGTTTAATTTGGTGAAACAAGTTAAAGTGCCCAGTCTTCATGTGATCCATATCAACATATTCTTAGTTGTTTTATTTTTAATTGACGAAACTTTGAATTACTCCCAGCAGCAGGCGGTGTCAGTTTACAAATGTGTCTTGTTTACGAGGCTGTTGTTGTTAGTATGGAGGGAGCAGGTACTGCGTCACCTTGTAGTGTCATAAGAATTCCACTCGCGGGTAAATTCAAGATTAATCAGCTCTACCACACCACTGCGCCAGCTGGTAACTCTTCTCCCATCACTGTTTCAGCATCGCCTCACTGAAAAATATTAGCAAGTGTTACACAACCCAGTCCAAGGATATCCAGCTTACTCACCTCACAGTGTAGCTAGCTTATACTGCGTCGAACAACATTTTTTTTTAAGACAGGCACTTCCAGGATGTCCAACCACCCACCACGTACCACAAATATCTCCAACTTCTCTTGCAATCACAGTCCATGTTTTGTACCTCTGCATTATCACATGTTCAATTATTCCCTTTCTTTAGCCCCCTCACATAAATTTCTCTTTCACCCATTGTTCCTCTGATACACCAACTGTCACCGACACTTTATCTCCTCCGTCCTGTCACCATTCAAATTACCATTCATTTATCCAAATTTCCCTTCTCTTGTTATTTTCATCGCTTTACTACTGTTTACATTCACTGTTAACTTTCTCTTCCTTTCGCTGGATAAGAGATTATCAGATGATACAGATTTTACCGTAAATCAGAAAAGATTAACCATCACAATTTAAAAAATAATCATCCGAAAGGAGAATGTACACAATCGCAAAATGACCTGTTCTCCTCCCTTTTGCAGCGATGTCTTTCTAACCGACAGACTATTAATTTAATTTACAGAGGAGTATAGTACTATGTTAAGTTTATTTAGTAAAATCGTCATATAATTTTACATACATTAAGCATAAATAGACAAAGAATACAGCATGTACGTATATACTGTAGATAATGCAGGGACACAGTATACATAGTACAGGTATACAAAAAATTACCAAACTATGTAAACAGCATCTTTTTATTATTTGATGATGGTAAAAGTAGTAGTATTTTAAATTAATCCATCTATGTACTTGACATAACAACGCAAAGAGTTAGCAGTATTGACAATGATACCTTTTTTCGAAAATTAAATGCGAAACAAATTTGTATTTTCCGCCAAAGAAATTTCCCTAGTAGCTTTCGGTATTTCCCGAAAGTCAGCTGACAGGAGAGAGTTGTCAGGTACTACTTATGCAATATGCTTATAGCTAAAAGTGAAATATTAATAATTTCAAATATTTAGTAATCCAAATATGAATTCTATGTAAATTATAGTTTCATTTATAAACGACTTACAATACTCAGTAGGTTGTAAAAATCCAACTACATATGGTTGTGCCAGACGTACGATCATTTAATTCCAGCTTATATATTTGAGAAACTTCATATAATTTATTTTCAGTGGATGCAAGAATAACAAATTTAATACTTTAAAATTAATCAATTATAGATAGAATCACTTAGTAGATAAGATTAAAAAGCGTTGCCATGATGAGCTTACAAGTTAATACACATGAAGAATTAGCAAGCGACCTGTTATGCTGATGTTAACATACATATTTTGTGTACAAATATATTTCAAATATATGATTACCTGTTATGTAGTATTTTTAATAAATGAAATTGTTCAATATATATATCTATATATATATATATATAATTATTAAAAAAATCAACAAGGATTTTGGAAACTGTAACGGGCAGCGTGAATATCAACACCGCGTACAGTGATCAATACTGTGACCGAATGGCGATTAATAAGTGAATAATCACAAGCACTTCCTTTATTACTTTATTCATTTCTTTTGCCCTTCAGAGTTAAGTATCCTTCTATAGAACGTGTTGTTAGAAGGAATATACGAAGAATAGCGTTTAATTTCGTGCCCTTCATTTTAAAGCCATATGTTTGTAAATTATTTGAGTCAGTGTGTCTCACGGCTGTAATGTCTTTATTTTATTGATACCTCTGCATTTTTATTTATTTTACTATTCCACCTACCGCATGCAATCATAATGATAATAGTATGTTTTTACAGGAAAAAAAGCATAGGGTGGCTTTGTCGGCTACCCTTGGTCGAATTTCCTTACTACTATATCTACTTTTACTTTTACTTTATCCTCTTCAACCACTGATCGGCTCGTTAGCCTCTTGGGCGATCGGTCGCGTCTCTGTTACGCACTGTTGGCAAGTACTGGGCATGTACCGGCTCCTGAATGTATCTGAACCTGCTCCAGTGCTCACTCACTCCGAAAAAAGTTTGCCCTCACAGTTTTCTGGACTTGTGGCTTCTTCAGCTGAGTAATGCCCTCTGTGATGTTTATAAACTTCATTAGGTCACCCCTTGCCCGCCTATAGTATAAGCTAGGCAGTTGCAGGCGTTCTCATCTCTCTGGGTAACTGAGGTGCCGTAATGCAGGCACCAGTCTGGTGGCCCTCCTTTAGGCATTTTCAACCAACTGACAAGGGAAAGCACCTCACTCTTGAAGATCTTATAAGACCTATTAATTTAGCTGCTTCTTCGTCGCGTTGGGAGAGGTGAGACGCCTCCTTACTGTTGGTATAAGGTGCATCCTCTTACACTTAGTGACATTGAATCTTAGCAGCCATTTCTTCTACCACTCTTGGCATCGCCCGCCAACATTTGTATGGAGGAGTGTATAGTTCGGGCATGTCATTTGTGAAACAAACAAACAACAATGGGCCCAGTAAACTGCCCTGCGATATCCTGTTTGTCATGGGTACACATGACTATTTCCTTACCATCAATCACCACAGTTTACGGTCATGAAGAAAGTCTCCGATCCACGCTAGGACACTTTCCCGAATCCCATACCCTTCCAGTTTAATTATCAGCCTTTCTTGGAATACGCTGTCGAATGCCCTGACAAAATCTAGGTATATTTTGTCGACCATTGTTAATATGCCTGCCTTAGGTACTGTACATTGGAAATTGAATACCTGCACGGTCTTGTACCTCGTATTCCTGCATTATCTATACACTGTACAGTGTACATGTCATATCAACTGTAAACTTGTATATAACAATCTTACTGTAGTAGTAGTAGTAGCAGTAGTGGATGTTGCTGTTGTTGTATTTCCCTGTACATTGTACCTATATTCCTGCAGTTGCGTATCACTTCAGACCAATACCAAGTATTTATACAACGGTTTTTGACATTGACAGTATTGCTACTAGTTGCGGTCAACACCCACAGATAAGGTGAGATAAACTGAGAAGGGGGGGGGGATCTTCAGGTGTTGCTTTACTTTCACGTTTGTTGGTGCAAGGGAAACAATTCTTCCCATATAAATATATAAGAATTTAACAACTTCCTTGAGCTTTGATGGATTAAATGAACTTATTGTTAACATTTGTATATATACCTTCACTGTTTATGTACACTCTGAACCAAAATAGACTTGTATGAAGATTTTACTGATTATATACCTATCAGAGTAATGCGCATTACTTACAGTGCCCAGGTATCCTCCACTACATCCAATCGCGGCATCAGCATCATAGTACATGACATCTGCTTGGTGTTGATGGGCGTAAGACGTCCTTCATAGCCACTTTTAAACCTCCTAAGGGAGACCATCACGACAGAAGAACCAAACCTGTCGGAGCAATAAAGTCCAGATACAGGTAGATGGAGACCAACAGGAAGCTTAATTAGTCTCTTACCAATCTTACAGTGTGAATATCTAGGCTTAAACACTAACTGTTCATTAGTCCGCACATGAAAATCTTTGTATCCATACTATTCCTTTGACAACTGCTAGTAAAAAATCATCCCAGATAAAATGCATACACTGAAGTAGTAGTAGTAGTAGTATTTGTTGATAAGATAGCATAGTCGTGGGTTATGATGACACCGGTGCCTGGCATTGTTCGTCTCTTAAACGTACAGTACACAGCAGCAGTGATAAGATGTAACAGTACAAAGTATAGTCACTTATATATTGTGTAAGCACTATTTAATTATTTGCACTGCCTACTTGCTTGTTTTCAATATCACGATGTTTGTGAGCAACATAACAAAGTACACTATAGAATAAATCACGGCGATGAGAATTGGTTGGGTTATGGTATCAACCTATCCCCATACAAATAAAAAAGGAGAAACTCTCCACACACCAACACTTACGCCTAAATATACAGTATATATGATGTCGAGACACACCTTGCTCATACAGGTACTTATACACTTATCTTTATTTTATCTCCTTTACCACGTATCAGTTTACTACCCGGCCGGACGGTCGGTCAGTTTTATATTACAAAACAGTTTGCAATTAATGACAAGAAATGCTAATGCATCTTCTTTTATTCGTCTTCCTCAATGTTGTGAGGTTGATCACTATACGTAAGTGTCCCTCGATGACGCAATGCCTTTGTTATCATAATGGTGGAGTATTGGTTTATTTGTATTATACACTATTGTACCAATGGAATATTCTCAACATTTTCTAAAGTATACGTTGCATGATTTTAGGAATATATCTAGTCACTTCTAGTGCTTGTCATGGTCACGTATTACGTCTCCCCATTCCATACTGTTTTATCAAATGTTCGTACTTTACGGCCATGACGTGACGACGTATAGCGCCCAACGATTGGTTGACGATAATGGCAATTTTTTCTACCAATCACAATGAACTGGATATCACCAGTTATACTCAAAATTATCTCTTAAGTTCATGGGACGATGACGTTTTTATAGGATAAAGGAATTACCCAACATCTTACAAATTCTAGAAGAGACGACAGATGTTGTTTATATTACTCGGTGTTATTTCTCCTGCAATTTTCTATGGTATATTTGCTTCAACTATCGGTTTCTATGTTACGTTTTATATCAACACTAATACGTAGTAAAAAAATCAAACACTACATTTGATTATGATATACAGTACAAATAAGTATAAACGTTTACCGGTAGTAGTAGTAGTATTTACCGGGGAATGGGAAGTGGGAGTCAAGAGTGAGTGAGTGAGGGGCGGTGGTCATTAAGCGTACAGTGGAGGCTATTTTCTGTTCATTGTTCCTCCTTAGCCTACGACAAACTTGTGCTAATACAATGTAGATTATTATAGTATTACAGACACCCATACGCACACAGACTTAATCTCACTCTTCTTTACTGTATATATTAGCCTTGTCAATAATTACTCCTTAGTCTGTACTCACCCCTGAAGATGTGAATTACACGAAAGCGCTTGGGAACTTCGTGTTTTCTTGTTTCCTTGTGGTTATCAGCATATACCTGGATCAGGGCCGTTGCTAGACCTTCAGGACATTAGGGCTAACCCTGAGTTCTATGGAACTACGAGCGCCGAAGGCGCGAGTTTTGAGGGTCCGGAGGCATATTCCCCCTGGAAATTTTTGAATTTAGACTGTCTGTGACAGCATTTCCTGCCATCTGAAGGCACTTAAAAGAAGAAATCAAATGGTCTAAAATACAGCAAAAAAAAATATTAAATTGATTTTTTAGACAGTTCCTGGGATGTATATAATGGAAGTAGTAGGCCAACGTGTGTCAAGTTTGTGTAACCTGTGTATATGGTGACCTATGCTTGTGGATTGTTATTGTTCTGTTGGAGTGCCTGTGTTTGTGTGTGAAGTATATTACCGGCGTAATGAGTTATGTGAGCATGCTGATTGGGTGTTAACATTGGTAAATGCATTAAATGTTGCAAAAGTTAAATTGACATATTCTATCCTTTCGCTAATTTAATCACTGCTTACCGCACTAGGCACACCTTTAGTTTCTTGGAGGAGGGGGGGGGGCGTCAGACTATGGCTTCTTGATTTGAGTGCTCAAATCTGTTGATGACTTCATTATGTTCAATGCCGTCCAGTGTATTCTTTTCAATGGACAGAACTGCCAGGTGATTGAGTCTGTCCTGTCCCATAGTGCTCCTTAACCATGTGTGTAGACGTCTCAAGGCGCTGAAGGATCGCTCACAGCTGCAGACAGGAATGGTCAATGCCACTTGAAAGATGGCTTTCAGAATTGGTGAGTACAGACTAAGGAGAAGTACAAAACAAGGTGTATGTATACAGAGGGAGGTGAGTACAGACTCTGTACTCACCCCTGAAGATGTGAATTACACGAAAGCGCTTAGAACTTCGTGTTTTCTTCTTTCCTTGTGGTTATCAGCATATACCTGGATCACGCGCACCCATAGTGATTTACTTGCATATATATATATATATATATATATATATATATATATATATATATATATATACATACAACAGTAATCTAAATCAATTAAATCAAGGGTAGCCATAGAAAAACGTGAAAAACAAAGTAGTCTGCGCAACTGTAGTATATTGATTTAGAAATGTTTCTACTAACGTTTCCTGTATATATGTACATTAGAAATAAAAAGTATTTCGTATATTTCATCTTTATGTAACAGTGGCCGTTTAAGATTAATACTAACTGGCAACTGTCCTAACGTTGGCAACTGCCTGAAGAAGGATATAAAAGGCCTGGAGGAGCATCAGACGTCCCTGTTAAAACAAAAAGCGATTAGGTACAGACGTTACTCCCGCCACCACCATGAGTTCCAAGCCAGCCTATAAAGTCGGTGGGTACATAGAGTTTCTCGAAGATGGGTGTGACCTTTGTACTGCAGTGGAGTTCTAGGTGACAGATTGTGTGTAAGAGGATGGGAACCTGGTGCTGGGTGTCGTGGCAAATGTCACTATGGTGCCACGCTGAACACGCGCTGCCGCCTCCACTCGTGTAATAACTTACTTGTGAATGAAACTGTTGATTTTTGGATTTTGTTTGTCTGGAAGATGAATTGTTTTGTCGTACACTACAAATGTCTGTTTGCAAATGAAATTCTACCGATAGTAAAGTGAAAGATAAATTATTAATGTTAGTGGTGCACTTTGCGCTCAACAAAGGACGTATTACTGTACACTACTCGCCAGTTCTTAAGTTTAAGTGTCATATGAAAGCAGTGTATGTAACATGCCCCTTGTGGTGCCGTGGTACCAGGAACCCTCATATTTCTTCAGTGAAGTTTAAAGTTCAAGTGCCTCGGTAATGGACTCGGGTGAATTCATCCGGGTAGCTCCAACATGATGTATATTAATTATACAGTAGCTGTATTCTAGTGCAGGACCCTACGGTTCCTCTTGGTGTGTCTGTGGTATCAAAATATCGTACAACACCTTCCCTTTCCACAGTTTATCCAATCAGGTATCCGATTAGACTAGTTCCTCAGTCAGACAAATCCACACACACTTTTCTGTGGACAATTCCTTTCTTGTAGTCTTGGCCAACTTTTGGTATAATTTCTGACTGTCATCTTGGTCCTACGTATGTTGCATAATCCGCCCACAGTTGTATCGAGTTGCTGAATTCATTATCATGGTAACCATTTAAAATATATAAATAAAATATCTTGTTTGCCTGTATCCAAGACTAGGCAGTTTCAATTTTTTCCAGCCTCTCTGGGTATGATAGGTCTTGCATCCCAGGTAATTGTTTAGTAGCTCACCGTTGGACTGCTTCGTTCTTTTCAATTACGATTATTATTATTTGTGAAGGGACTCCATAGAGAGCTGGAAAAATCGAAGTGTGACCTTACCATTGATTTGTACAGTGGTATGAAGTTTAGGGGGTCAAGAAATTGGATTGTTCCAAGATCCCCAATCATTTAATTTGCTTTCTTAGCATTCTCAGATATATGGTCTTCAAATTTCAACTTGTTCTTTATTGTTACTCCAATTTCTTTCTCTTATGACTTGTTGCAGTTGTTTCGTATACAGTACTGTATATCATAGGTCCTCCGGTCCGACTATTACCCAAATGTAGCCGCAATGAAGTCAAATAATGGTCCTACATGAATAAATCGGACTGCCAATCACTTCTCGTAGTATTTGGTGTCATAAAAGCAAAAAAAATAGAAAACGTAATTTAATCTGAGTTGTGTTAGGTTAGGTTAAGTGCATGCACTTTCGATCTAATGCTCTGATTAAATTAAACGCAATTTTTGTGACTAAACAAACCCCAAATACTAGTCAGTGATTGACTCAATTAAATAACAGAAAATTAAATTAATCTGACTTCATTGTTGGCTCAATCTAGGTACATGCACTGATCTATTAACTCAGATTAAATTACGTTTTCCAATTTTTTTTTACTTTGTGACCCCAAATACTAGTCGAGAAGTGATTGGCAGTCCGATTTATTCATGTAGGACCATTAATTATTTGACTTCATTGCGGCTACATTTGGGTAATTAGTCGGACCCCTGTTCCTCTGCTTCTGTGGTTAACTGAAGTCGCTTCATACAAATATGGCCTTGCAGAATATCGATGCCGATTTTTTGAATACATTAATCTAACATATCGATATTAAAAGTTTACTGTATTGACTGAATTATGTTAAAACTAAACTAACAAAAGGGAGATTGATGCCTATTGACAACAATCGGTTAGTGTGTCAGCTTTTTACAATTTCAGCTAACGTTGATTGCTCTTTGAGACGAGTTACCTTTGGCAGCACCATATGTTTGAAGTGTCCAAATTCCTTTTCCAGTAATGACACAAATATGATTTTGTTGTCCATAGAAAGGTGAAGTTTACTACAATATAATAATGTACACTATGAATGACTGTCGTACCCAGCAGTAATTGGAAACCTGGATGTTAATCGATTTGCAGATCCTATTCCAGGGTAATGGTTAACCAGTGCAGTTGGCAAGTTGTCTGGTCTTCTCTTTCTATTCCTTGACACTGGGTCATGCAACTCGTTAATTTAGGGTGTGGTTGTTGTGTTGGCGACAGCTTCTACACATTAAACAAATTCACGCCTAGGTGGCCCATGGGCCGGCTATCCAAGTTACGAGGACAACCATTATTTTTATGTCGGTGGATGGGCTGTGGTAATTAAAGGATGATTTACTCAAAAGTATGAATCGGTGTGTTACTTTCATACATACCATTGAAATTGGTACAAAATGTGCATTTATTTGGTATAGCCAAGAGCCTTCAGGTGTATGTGGAGTTGTCTGTATGCATACGGTTAGATTATTTGTTTCGGTACAGTACTACATGAATGTATAGGGCGATTTGTAGTTTGCCAATCTGTAACTTTGCATTGTTAATGTGAATAAAAATTTTACTTCTATTTTGTTTATGTAATTAAAGGCAATATTAATTTCAGCTGACATCAACTTGGCTGATTTTGGCCGTAAAGAAATTGTCATGGCCGAGAAAGAGATGCCTGGGCTTATGAGTCTGCGTAAAAAGTATGGCACAGAGAAACCATTGAAGGGTGCTCGGGTTGCTGGCTGCCTGCACATGACCATCCAGACAGCTGTACTTATAGAGACCCTTGTAAGTGATGATACAAAACAAGATTGTTTGTGTGCTGTACTCCCCATGTTTTGGCTTCGAATAATACAGAATATTACAAATGTACTGGCATTTTGACCATTAAATCTTTGGAATGGTACTCCTATTTTGTACCGTGCATTAAATTTTATAATACAGTATCTTAATTTTATATGCAGAATAAAATACATAGAATTATTGATAGTCTATCTTAAAGATATACTGGTACAATACAGCACAATTTTAATCTACCTTGAAAATTAATGTTTTTAAAATTGTCTGTAATCCCCATTTCAACAGACTGAACTTGGGGCTGATGTTCAGTGGTCATCATGCAACATCTTTAGCACTCAGGACCATGCAGCAGCAGCTATAGCCAAGTCTGGTGTTCCAGTGTATGCTTGGAAGGGTGAAACTGATGAAGAATACATTTGGTGCATTGAACAAACTATACTCTTCCCAGATGGAAAGGTAAACCTATTGTTATAAAAGATGGATATTTATTTGATAAAGGAAAAATATCACAATTTCACATTGGTTCAGCATTTACATAAAAACTAGGTTCACAGTGTACATACAAATTATTGGTTTACTGTATAAACCGTGGCAAACAGTAAGTGTTTCGACCAAGGATAGTTGAAGAATGGCATTCGAAGCTTATTTCCACTAGGGTCTTTGTGGGGTAAGGGTGGACTAGATCAATAAGACTAATTGACACCGAGGTGTTTCACAATACAGTACAACTTTCTATCCGTATAGTAGTGTGATGTAGCTTAATCAGTGGTGTGTTGAACAATGTTAATTTTCAATTAATTCTGTTATTTGCCCACCTCAACAACATGGTGAGGCAGACACATTACAGTGCCTCTGTGTGATGTTTTAAAATTGGTAGACATTTGTTGGTGCATAGCTATTACTACTTGGAAACATAAAATAGCTTTGCTAAAACATTGTAGAAAGTGTAAGCATAAGGTGTAAATTGGCATACAAAGTGTTCCCTATTTCTATCTTCAAGTAATAACTAGTACAGGCAGTCACCGGGTTACAAACACCCACACTTACGAACGGGATCCTAATATATTTTATCACAAAATCTAACTAAAATCCCATTTTTTTACATTTCATTATTCTATACTGTATTGTAAAACATCACATTACAGTATTTGCATTATTTTTTATGTAAGTGGTATTATCATTTTCTATGGGCAAAGTTGTGCTTTAGCCTAACCTAAACTATGGAATTAACACTGTTCAGACTTTAAATTGTTTTTCTCTCGCAGCCCCTGAACATGATTCTTGATGATGGAGGTGACCTCACCAACCTTGTGCATGAAAAGTATTCGCAGTATCTAGCTGACATTAAAGGATTGTCTGAAGAGACAACTACGGGTGTTCACAACTTGTACAAAATGATGCGTGATGGCAAGCTCAAGGTTCCAGCTTTCAATGTGAATGACTCGGTTACAAAGGTGCGTGGATATGAAACCTTACTGTTAGCTTTGTTGATTGATTTTATTGATTTAATAGTGAAACCATGACCTTGTTATTAATAAGTTTTCTCTCTCTATCAGAGCAAGTTTGATAATCTTTATGGATGTCGAGAGTCGTTAACTGATGGCATCAAACGGGCAACCGATGTTATGTTGGCTGGCAAGACCTGTGTTGTGGCTGGATATGGTGATGTGGGCAAGGGATCAGCTCAGTCACTTCGTGCCTTTGGTGCTAGAGTTCTCATTACAGAGATTGATCCCATCAATGCTCTACAAGCTGCTTGTGAAGGTTACCAGGTATGATTTATTTTTCTTGGAATTCATGTGAAGTGTATACTGTACAGTATTATATCGGAAAATAGAATAAAAAGATCCATCATAAGAGTGAAGGATTGCTGTGATTTATTGTAGATGTTCTGATTAATTTTAATTATCATGCTATCTGTGTGAGGAGTCCGTTGGATAAGTTTGTAACCTTTTTCTTGATCTTTAGATTTCTTTTGATTTTAAAGAGATTTGATAAGACATGGAAAAAGGTTCATAATTTTCCCAAATCATAGAGATGGAGGGAATCACACAATGGTTAGGCACTGAGAAATGAGATTTATTTGAACCTTGTTTGTTTAGTGGTCTTCCTGAGTTAGATGCAGACCCTGTAGTAGTTGAAGCTTTAATTTCTATCCTCATATTACTAGTCTGGCTTCAGATAATTGAATAATCGAGAAAGTCTGAAGATTTTAAATGAGCTGATATTGAAATTTCAATTTATAAGGCAGACTTGGTGACTGCCACCCTTTCACCTCGCAAGGATATGTTGCAAAATAGCATTTACTGGGAACTGTTGCTGCTGGGGTTCCAAGCTATGAAAAGCATATGGAGTGATGCACACACTATAAACCTTCAGCATTAAATGACATTATTTTCTAAACTTTTGGGATGCTGGTTATAACTATTTAAAAGAGCTGATCCATTTTTAACTTTAGAAAGACTTAGTGGTTGCCACAGTATTACAATTTAGTTTGTTGTAATGAGAAATGCCAGGATCAATTTATAAGTTTTAACGAGTTATGCAAACTTTATCAGAGCATCATATCAACTTTCACCTCAGCTGAAAAACTTGCTAGTTTGTACACCCACTAAAAATTGTTTGGCACCCGTGTATCACACCGTAAGGGTGCCGAATAATTTAATAGTGGGTGTACATTCTGATATTTTAATTGAAAATGTGAATTAGTATTTTTAAAATTTCTTGAAAGTTTTCTTTTCTTATGATTAATAATTTAATTGAGCTTGACTCGGAGATCTAAAATTAATAATCTGAAGGTTTGTAATTACTAGGCAATTGACTATTTTTTTATATTTCAGGTTACCACTATGGAGGATGCTATCAAGCAGGGAGCCTCTATTTTTGTTACCACTACAGGTTGTCGTGATATTATCACTGGAGCGCATTTCAGTGCAATGAGAGACGATTCCATTGTCTGCAACATTGGCCACTTTGATATTGAAATTGATGTTAAGTGGTTGGACGAGAACTGCGTGGAGAAGGTAAACATTAAGCCACAGGTTGATCGTTACCTTTTGAAATCTGGCAACCACGTAATTCTACTTGCTGAGGGCCGCTTAGTGAATCTAGGCTGTGCCATGGGTCATCCATCTTTTGTTATGTCCAATTCCTTTACAAATCAGGTCCTTGCCCAGATTGAACTGTGGACCAAGCCGGGACAGTATCCCATTGGTGTCCATTTCTTGCCAAAGAAACTGGATGAAGAAGTGGCACGACTCCACCTTGACCATCTAGGGGTAAAGCTGACCAAGCTGTCTTCTACCCAGTCCGAGTATTTAGGACTTCCTGCAGAAGGACCTTTCAAGCCAGATCATTACCGTTATTAACAGTTCCTGTACAAGAAACTGATGTACTGTAATTCCAGATTTTTCCGTGATTTATATTTTGTTGTTTTCTAGTCGTTGATCACCTACACATCCCATTGAATTTTAGGCAAGAGAGGATTTTCTTCGACGGTGTTCAAGAATCACAAATAATTAAATTAAAAATTTTATTTAACACTATTTTGTCGTTTATTTTGTAATCGCTTGGCTTTATGTAAAATTATTTTATAAAGAAACCAGCATTGTATGGTTGTATGTTTGAGTGTATGAAGAACTTCAAATGTTGCAACAAATTTTCTAAAAAAAATTAAGTATTTTTACCCTTGCCCAAGTGAACTGATGGAGTGGACAGTGCAATTAATTCTTTCTTTATTCATTTCTTATTAAAGTGAAATTCTGGTGCACAAACCCAAGAATTTGTGACCCGGCAGTTGTATTTGCCACAAGTCAGAGTGCCCATTTGGAATCTTGGGAGTATACAGTGCTTTGTGAGTAAAAGAACATTATCTTTTCATTAAGCTGTAAAGATAGTTTGAGGTCTACCTGTTTATCAGATAACTCCAATAAAAGGAAAGAATGGATCCAAAATACTGGTTGGAATAGTGCATAAAAAGGGTGACAGGCAGTAATAAAACAAAAAACATTAAAAGCCCTTTTTGCATCTGAGTGAAGCTGATGAAAATGGGAGTCCCTGTGGTCATCCTTGGTGGCTATAGATTGAATTGCCCATGGAATCCTGACCTCTTGCTCTGTACACTACATTTTCATAACCTCTTGGAACAATATTTACCAAACCAACATACAGTATCAAGGACTTCACTTGGGCCAAAGGGGTTCCCAGCACACCTAATTAGTTATTACTGTACTTTACCTGTACAGTACTTCATATCCTGATTTTGTAAAAAAAATTGATGTTAGAACCCTGAGGAAAGAGTGACCATGGAGTGCATTTAAGAAATCTCAGCTGGGATAGACCCCTAGGACATGATTGATGGCAATTGGATCTTGTGAATCCTTGTTAAAGAAACCTCTTTAGGGACCAATCCATAAGTTTCAAAGGTAGGAGGAAAAGAGGTTCATATTTAGAAAACCTCTACAGTTGCTGCAACAGTATTGGAAAAGTTATAGGTAATTTACACTTCTCAGGTGGTTTTTACACACACACTGTCTAAAAAGGACCAATTGAGTTGTACCTATTCTTTTAGTCTGTTTTTGTCCCTAGGGATGCACTTTCACTTTCACAAAGCTACGAGTGAATATTTTCATCAGAATAATTCTCCAGATACACCTCAAGTAATAAGCAAATCGTAAAACCTCTGAAACTGGCATTTTTTGAAGACCAGTCCTGCAATGAACTACGTTTCCAGTAGGATGAAGTTAAATAATAATTACATATCTACATCCTGTATAGGTATAAGTTTCATTACAGGTCTTTTATGGAACAATTTTAGTGACAGGTTTCCTAAAGAGTTATTTATAATAATTTTTAATAGCTGTTGACTAGTGTACAGTACAATAATTAATAACCTTGGTATGTGCTTAAATACCTTAGGGAGTTCTTGAAGTGCAGTAACATACCAATGAAAGACTTCCATAACTGGCATTCCTAGGAGAACTAGTCTTCTTATGAAGTTTCAGCTAGCCTAAAAAATATGAAATGATTAAGTATCTGCCTTATGACAGGGATATGTTCCTGGACACTGATTTTAAGTAGATCTGTTCAGAACTCGTAACATTGTAAATTCCCAATAAAATAAGTTCTGTATTGATGCACAAATGTATACTAGTGAGTTAAAACTGCTGCTGAGGAGCACTTTGCAACACTCCTTTCCACTACATATCTTTAATCACCCCACCTTTTGCTTTCTCACTCCACATTTTAAAATGTTATGTAATACCTGATACAAATGAAGATTTACAGATAACTTTCTTTTCATATTTGCATGTTAACATCGCATGCGGCATTGTAGCCAAGTTTGACTCGTCACTGTAACCAGCAGGCTACTGGTCTAAGCTGTGAGGTATTATGGTTGCTTTTCAACTCGTATTTTCAGGTAGATAAGCGCAACTTTCTTCATTTATTTTTTACTCAGTTAAGCCCCGTCCACACTGGCGGACTGTGCCCTCACCGGATACAGTCTGTCGGGCATGACTGTGATGTCCACACTGCTGAGTAGGTGGTCGGCAGCCCCTGAGTGCAGTATCACCATAAGCAACACAGTTGGAAAGAAGAAAATTGCGTTGTATAGCATATTAATAGCTGTCTCAGTGAAAAAAAAAAGTAAGGACAGTGCAGAAAACGATCTGGTGTAAAGAGTGGTTAAGTAAGAGAGAAGTATTGGGAAATCATACGACGATATTACGTGAACTACAAGATGGAAGTGAGCATGATTTCACCAACTACTTGAGAATGGATATCAACGCCTTTTACACACTTCTAGCTAAAGTGGAACCATACATAGGAGAAGATACCCATCTGAGGCAGAGTATACCAGCAGCAGCCCGTCTCGAAGCAACGCTCAGATTTCTAGCAACTGGGTGTACATACGTACTGCAGTGTACCACGAGGATATCGAAGCAGAGTTTGTCACTCATAATACCAAAAACATGAAGCTATATATATTGTACAGTACAGTACTCACGGAAGATTACTTGCAGATAGGATTGTTTATATAGTATTATTGATTGACACCACTGTTGTGTAAAGAAGTAAACTGTTTATTGTATAAAGTACAGCTCCTCCCCGACTTACTACGGGGTTAGGGAACCAAATCCAGGTGGTAAGTTAGAAAATGCTTAAATAATACATAGAAAACCTAAAATGGGCGTCTTTTTCTTCTCAGCACCACAAAACTCTCACTTTTAAGCTTGCCAGCCACATTAAAGTGAATTACAAACGAAAATTTTGTCAGTACACAAGCGCCAATCACTGACGTTGGGACTCGAAAATACGTAATTTGACAAAATTTTGATACGACTGAGGCGGTTGTATGTCCGGGTGGTCATAAGTCGGGGAGGAGCTGTAATTACATACACTCCAAAACGTATGTACCAGACACTCCATAAAATAACTTAAATATCAATAGTGATCATTACGTATTGTACCCATCGTCGTCGGTCCATGCCTGGCGCCAAACCACCGGGCAGTTTTTCAGTTTAAAATGATGGCATTTTAATCAGGAAGTACGGTATAGTATTTAAGATTTTCTGACAGTGCCTTACTGTACACAAAAGATTTTCAAATGAAAAATAGTTTTGAAAACGTAAACTTAAATCCAAATTTTGCTCTTCTTTTGCTTCTACCTCTGTAGAGAAAATTTTTCCCACAAGAACTTTTACCCTTCCCATATCCTTGAAACAGCTGAGAGTCAATAAGGGGGAAAGTTCAGAGAATAGCTGACTGTATGAAGCTAGGCACATAAGGTTTTAAAAACAAATTGGTTAATAATGCTTCGAATCAATCCATAATCTATATTAAAATACATTACAGTATTTTAAAAATCACAGGTCCTCAGTGCTATTACCTAGAATACAAGTTACATTATTAAGTGTTTCATAAAGCATGTAAGAAAAAAGATGAATTTTATTGAAAATTTTTCACACAGACTTTGTCTCTGTTTATTACCTCATTCCACCACCATCTGCAAGTGCTCCACAAACCTTCATCAGGAAACTTTTAATAGTTAAAAAAAAATAAAATGAAAATAAGATTTACTTAGTTATACAGCATCTAAAATTCTAAGAACTCGCTACTCTTTTGATAATTTACTTTTTCAATCTATCCCAAATATATAATTTAATATCCATTAACCCAATCTACTGTTTATGTGTAAAAAATAATACATAATGTTCAATGCTTTACACTTGCTATCAAAATATAGTGTTCTGTCTGGTATCTATACATTCACTGCTATCAAACTAGAGGACTCATGAGTGAGTAATAAATTATGACTATTGTTCATGTTGCCAACACAATAAGTTTACATTTAACAACAAGTGCAAATCGACCTGGATGGAAAAAGGATTATTAAAGTATAAAATAAACATACATTACAATGCTTTGTGCTAATTTAGACTGTAGTACAGTATAGTCTCGATTTATCTGGTTTGGTTTACGCGTTGGTCATTTGCGCGGCACCTTGCCAGACCGACAATTTTTATTTACACGGTTCATTCTATCATTTACGTGGGAAGCGGCGCGGGCAGGGTGCGCCTAAGGTCGCCCAGTCAACAAAACATTACCGAGTTCTTCACCCGCCACCCACCACAGCCCAAGTCATTGATAGTGATAGTGAGGATATGGACTTAGGGGTTTGACAAAGAGGCCCTGCAAGCCTCTGTGGTGGATAGTGATACAAGTGATACAGGTGAGGGCCAATAATCTGCCCTCTGCCTCGGAACAACCCCCATCCCCATGTACCCAGCCATCTTTTCTACTAACGTAAGTGTTAAAAACCTAATATTATTGATATTTCTCTTAAATATTAATTGTGTGTGCATACCATCATAAAATTGAGATGTTATTTTTACTACAACGTACGTATTATTCGGAAAAAGTGGAGTTTGGGGGGTCGGCCCAGTCTCTATTTCAATTAATCCCATATGTTCTGTTATTTCCTTTATGCGTTTCTCGTTTCTGGACCTCCACTGGTTCAATTGACCGCGTAAATGCAGACTATACTGTACTTTGCTTTATTTCAGTTTATGCATCATATAGACTGTATACTTTTTAACATTAAAACAATATTTCAATTTATGCTTCATACACTATCCTTTCTGACATGTAATTATATTTCATGAAATTTATCAATGAAAGCCTCCCCCATGCAAGGTAGAATGAGCAAGTCCATAACTTCAGAATACATTAACCAACATACATTATTATTCCATAACAATGATGAAGAAAATATTTCCAGTTATCATCCATATGTACATATCAAATACTGTACTCCTGTATCAATATCACCATCCTAACCTTACAAGAAATGAACATGTGGATGGGATCAGTGAGCTAAAGAGAAAGTTTTTAGATTCAGAGGAACAAAGCAAATATAAAGAAAGGAATAATTGATCATGGCTTTTGCTTATCTAACAGAGCCCGTGGCCACATAATATAGGCTAACCAATACTGCATTCTGTGTCCTTAACAAACCCAGAGTGGTACTGTACATTTATCACAAAAAAGTACATCTATTATCCCTACCTTCTCATTATGCCCATTAGCCTAAAATTAGGGAGATCTGGTGCAATACTTGTCAGTTTGAAGACAAGGAACAGGAAGCAATAATAACCCTGTGCTCAAAGAAAATAGACTCTGCACTCTCGTCCAAGGGAAGGACTTCCTCAATCCTGTCAGAAATAATACAAAAATGGGAAATTCCCTTCATTATTAGAAATTAAATCCCCCTGACCTGAACCCATCAGAGAGGATTCAATAGTAGTAATTGGGAAAAATTACTCTCCCTGTGCCTGGAATATCACTGTGGGTGCATAAACAGAACCCCCAACTCAAATTAATATCTACCGTCTCCATACACTTATTATATCTCTATGGATCAGAGTGACTTGGCCTACAACATCAACCAAGAATCAGTAAAAAGATCATGATTATCAAAAAGGTGGGAGTCCTTACTTTATCCTGATCAACCTTTGACAAGTACAGAAAAGAATTGGCCATACTCTTAATCTGTAATGAAACATTTAATTTGAATTTTCGTTAAATTGGAATTATCTGATAATTTGTGACAAATTGACACACAATTGTATCATTATTAAAGTGTATGTTCCCCAGAGGGCTAACAGTTCTGGAGCTGATGATTACATATAGGTCCTGCAAATTTCTCATGTAATACAAAAACCATGACTGAATGCAGACGGAGGTATTGTGGGGAATTGGGCATACAGACTTAAAATGTTTGGTAAATAATGTCAACAAACCTTATGGAACAATAAACATAATGTCTAATAACTAACATGTTTTGCTGATAGCACCAAGAAATGTGGTAGTTCTTGCCCATTATCTGTCATTTGTTGAAAATTTAGGTTTTAGTAGTATGTATATACAGTAAGCAGTCCAGAGGAGAGATAGTCTGCAGATGGTCACTCTCAATGGTATACAGCTGGAAATTTGATCCAAGATGGTGTGCTGATTGGTCAGACTAAACTATTATAATGCCTCCTATTTCCAGACGACAACAGATACCCGGTACACTTGATCTCAGCTGTGGGTCAATGGTTATGATGGGAGATGAGCATGATTGGTAAACCCATTTGGATTAATATATCAACTTAGACTAAATGATTGGTGTCTGCCTCTGGACACAGAATACCCTAATGGGAAGCCAGTAATATGACGAGTTGCCTAGCAGTAGTAGTTAGCAAGAAATGTTCCAAGTGGACTTTAATACATATTTTGGTGTCATGACCACAGTTGGTTTCTTATATCTGTAAAGGCTTATGGTATTGGTTACAAAGTAAGTCCCATTCCTAAACAAATAGGCCAAATTTATTTGAAACGATAAAAGTTCACCCATCTAACAGTAACTGATCCTGACTGCAACACTTAAAATAAATCTTCACAAGAATAGCTTTACTGATACAGATGCAGAGAAAAATGTAATGGTTTTCTAAATACTGTACTGTTACATGCAGGCTGCTAGGGTAACCAAGCTGTCAAAGCTATTTGCATAGGTTACCTGACACAAAATTTGGGACGGTATTGAAAGTAATGGAAGAAGTTTAGTTTTTTTTTTATTAATTTCTGAGCTGTGTACGTTAAACACAACCATCAGATAGATCAAGTTAATGTGGGCTACCCTGTTATTAATGAAGGATTGATCATAAAATCTCTTTCTGATCAGAGGTGAGTGGATGGCTTTTGATCACAGAGCAACCATGAAAGAACCGTCTGTTATTTTGCCCTATAAACAAAAGAGTGGTTATACTAACCACATCTGGATCCATGGGTGTTCATCATATCCTCCTCACTTACTATGAAGGGGGAAACATATCTTTGTGTCCCACTTCAGTTTGCTGCTGTTTCATGTGAAAACTGTGCTTACTTACAAAGTGAGAGAAAGTTACTGTAACACATGTATTTTCACAGCCATTGAAAGACAAACAAGAAAATTGTAGGGATTGTTTGAGGAGTCCAGTGGATAACAGAAGACATCCAGACTACAGTCAAAACTTAGCCTTGATATATAAATACATATTGTACCTGAATTACACTGGTGATTCTTTCCATGATTAAGTAATTTTCTTTATGATTTTGCTTAACTTTGGCTATAGCCTTTGTAGTTGTTTTGCACCAAGTCCTTGCAGACAAAAAAGGGTCAGCCAAAGGGCTCAAGGGTCCTTTATTCTTGTGAGTTGATTAGTGGAGTGCACTGATAAACATAAATGTTTTTAGTAAATATATGGCTTGAGATAGGTACTATTTAGAGTATTAGTACAGTACTTTTTTAAAAGCCTTGACTTCAGGTTCCTGGTGGCATGACCTGGGCAACCTTCAGTATATGGGCTCAAACAGCCAACCAACCATCACAGTTCTAAACATCATATCTTTGGTGTATAAGACACATGGTGTCTTTAGGAAGCATGACAGATTGATTTTTTTTGTGATCATTGATCTGTGCCTCTCTGCTTTAATGAAAATATCCAAAGCATTTAGCAACCCTTGTCTGTTAGAACTAATGGATGAGAAATTGACTACATTATGTACATGCTGCTATGGGGCATATTTGGTTCTCTTATGTTTGCTCAAGAGTCCTGTAATCACAAGCCATTTGTAATTCTAAGACATGATAAAGATTCAAATGACAAACTAGTGAAGATGAAATGATATTTTCTTTCCTAAAATGAGACTAGGTGATATAAGAGAAAGACAAATTAAATCTGAGCTTTACTGTAAATATTTACTCTATATATAATATATTTAATAAATTTTGCTGGATACAGCTCAAAAATTAAATAAATACTCAAAAATTTATATACAATACTAAAATATACAATTAACTGTGCACAACTATGTATTTCATACATTATATACATATCCATTCAACTTTTTTTTAACAAGTGCAAAATAACCTTTACAAACATAACAAAATAAGGGAAGTAGTGTAAGTTTAGGCCCATCTCATAGATAAGTTGTATGGCACACTACTCAACATGTTTGTGGCATTAATGAATATATTTGGAAAAAAAATCAACTCGACTGTACATGATGTGCATATTGCCAAAATCTTCCCTGAATTATAAGTAAAATATCCCCCAAAATTAAAAACAATAGTGACTAATATTGCCGTGTAAAAAGATGCCACCCTAACTTTTTTTATAACCTGGAGGAGCGGAGGAAATTAAGTAATACACTCAAGCCCATTTTATTTAACTTATATATTAATCAATATATTTTTTGGAGTTTATTTCTGGAGGAGCTGATCAATCTGAAAATTAAAAATAAGGTTTTAGTTGTAAATATTTTTTTTTACTTCGATTGTATTAATAAACTAAAAACTGCTAATGAAAAATGGATAATAAATAAGAAATTTTGTATGTTTTTGAGGAAATGCCCAAAGAAAAACAGATGCCTTGGAAATATAAAAATATACAATACTGTATAATCAAATACAGTACGCCCCGATAATTCTGGATTTTTATTTTGCGGTCCTCTATTATTCATGGATGATACCCTGGATGTACCCAAGAATGTCTTCAGGTAGTTTTAAAGTTGCTGGCATTTTCGCGACCAGTACAGGGGCCGAGGGTTTTGTGGCGTCCAGCAAGGTGTCTCTCTTGTCCCGGGAGGCTGGCCCATGGCGCCCGCTCCCTCCACCTCAGTCCGGGCTAAACATTTGTATGTCTCGTGCATATGCTACTCTCTTCTCATAACAACTGTACTTCTTGTGCTTGTGCTTGGCTCCCAAACGCCCTCAACCACATTCATCATCATCATCAATCATCATTTTCATCATGATATCCATCAGTGGCAGGGGAGAGGTTTCATAGTAGACTACAAAATATGTTTTTCTCCCATACGTAAGCCTGGCTATGCCTGGCATCTCCCATACCTACTATATGCCTGGCTACGTCTGGCAACGGAGGCGGTTAAGGGGAGTGAGTGACTGCTAGTTAGTGTGTCATCTACAGTTGTAACTCTCCTCACTCCCTGCCATATTTCACTGGATTTACTGTTATTAATAGTGTTTACTGATAGAATTGTGCCTAACAGTGATTATCATGCCATTGTAGCTAGGTTAGCTCATCATTGTAACCACCAGGCTACTGGCCAAGCTTTGAGGTGGGTTTTTTTTTCAACTCGTATTTTTGGGCAGATATCATTAACCTTCTTCATTGATTTTTACTCATTTACATGCACACACCATTCTATAGACATATTATGAAAAGGAACTGTATACAGTATTACACCACAATTACTGACATCCTTCATGTTGGGTTGGCTAGATATCTCTGAAAGAAATTCTGTAAGTTTGATCTATGTATCAACCTAGCTGGCGCTGACACCGTATGGCAACTCAACCAACTCAACTGTAATAACAAAGCACGGAGTTGACATGAGGGTAGACTCGCATTTTTTCTACATTACATTTTGTTGTCGTGTTCCTTATTACGGTATCTGTGAAAAGATTTCCCTATTATTATTTATTTGTATGCATTTTAATAATAATAATAATAATAATAATTAATGGTTTATTAAAAGAGCATGGCAGCCGGAAGGCTGAAAATATAGTTACATAATAACTAACTGGGGAAAAGGTTATACTACAGCGCATTTCAACATAGTGACAGTGCAAAAAGTCAGATTGGCTGGGAGTGAACACATACAGGTACACTGGTTGATTACAAGTTGTTGATAATTTTAATAATGGTTGGGACTGGGATGTTCTTATAGCATGTATGTGTGTGTGTGTGTACACACACACATATATCAGGTAAAAAAAGAAATAATTGTCCTAAAGGCAAACACATAAAGGGAATACTGTATACATTTCTTTGTCCACAAGTAAACATGTACCCCACCCATGGTCACCAAATGTTATTCGCAGATTTGGCGATTCGGGGCCAATTTGAGAACCCAAACCCCGCGAATTTGAAGGGCCCACTGTACTATTCATGCCTCTTTCAGACTCCTGTTCCCAATGGCTTTCATTTGTGAATATTTTTATAAATTTGATGAAGAGCTTTTGACATCACACATGGCCCTTGATGCCTTCTACCACTCATCAAGTTTTTTACTACTGTACAACAATTGATCTTCAGCTTTAGTCCAAAGAAATAAATAAATTGTCATGTACAGAGCCTTCCCCAACACTGACTCAGAGACTGTCTCGGTACCTTCAGGTGTTAATGTGCATCAACACCTGATGTATTTGACAAAGAACTGCACAGGGTGATGTGGCTCTTGTATACCATATGTGAGGTACTGTAGTTGTAACTTAGAAATTCAAGCATAAGAAATGATACATGACAAGGTACATGAGAAGATGTAAAATCAATAAAGTACAAAATGGTAAATGTGAAATTTGTTTAACTAGTTTTACTATGAAAATGTAAGAAAAGAACACCTACTTTAAAAATGAATGATTTGAACTTGTGAAATGTTCTTTGGCTAGTTCCCACAGGTTGGGCTAAGTGAGGAAGAAACATGAGGCTAAGTGAGGAAGAAACATAAGGCTAAATAGAGAAGAAACATAAGGCTAAGTGAGGAAGAAACATAAGGTTTATGGAAGAAGAAACATGGGCGGCTAAATAGAGAAGAAACATAAGGCTAAATAGAGAAGAAACATAAGGCTAAGTGAGGAAGAAACATAAGGCTATGATGAAGAAACATAAGGCTAAGTGAAGAAAACATATACAAATAGAGAAGAAACATAAGTTAAGTGAGGAAGAAACATAAGGCTAAGTGAAGAAGAAACATATACAAATAGAGAAGAAACATATACAAATAGAGAAGAAACATAAGGCTAAGTGAGGAAGAAACATAAGGCTAAGTGAAGAAGAAACATAAGGCTAAGTGAGGAAGAAACATAAGGCTAAGTGAAGAAGAAACATAAGGCTAAGTGAAGAAGAAACATAAGGCTAAATAGAGAAGAAACATGAGGCTAAGTGAGGAAGAAACATAAGGTTAAGTGAAGAAGAAACATAAGGCTAAGTGAAGAAGAAACATAAGGTTAAGTGAGGAAGAAACATAAGGCTAAGTGAAGAAGAAACATAAGGCTAAATAGAGAAGAAACATGAGGCTAAGTGATGAAGAAACATAAGGTTAAGTGAAGAAGAAACATAAGGCTAAGTGAGGAAGAAACATAAGGCTAAGTGAGGAAGAAACATAAGGCTAAGTAAGGAAGAAACATAAGGCTAAGTGAGGAAGAAAAATAAGTCTAAGTGAGGAAGAAAATAAGGCTAAGTGAGGAAGAAACATAAGGCTAAATAGAGAAGAAACATAAGGCTAAGTGAGGAAGAAACATAAGGTTAAGTGAGGAAGAAACATAAGGCTAAGTGAGGAAGAAACATAAGGCTAAATAGAGAAGAAACATGAGGCTAAGTGATGAAGAAACATAAGGTTAAGTGAGGAAGAAACATAAGGCTAAGTGAGGAAGAAACATAAGGCTAAGTAAGGAAGAAACATAAGGCTAAGTAAGGAAGAAACATAAGGCTAAGTGAGGAAGAAAAATAAGTCTAAGTGAGGAAGAAAATAAGGCTAAGTGAGGAAGAAACATAAGGCTAAATGAAGAAGAAACATAAGGCTAAATAGAGAAGAAACATGAGGCTAAGTGATGAAGAAAAATAAGGCTAAGTGAGGAAGAAATATACAAGTTCTGGGATGTGTTGCTGCATGTCCTGCCTCTATTGTTTCCCATTACTCTTGCTTTCACTTCCCCATCCAAGAATTTATTGAATATACAGTACATGGCAGCATAGTTACCATGGAGACTAAATATCTTACTTTTCAATAATTACAAACCTGAGCTTTGTACATTTCCTTTACGTCTGCAAGATCCAAACGCAACTCCTCAACCTCCTCCACTTTTTCTCCATGCATCTGTAAAAAAAACATGAATTAAAGAACACAGCACATGAGCATACCAGCTTTGTTTGTTGAAATAAATTAATTCATAAATACTGGAATGTACAAAACTGCACTTGTCCTTCAACACAATATGCCAAACTTTTAGAAGTCTTCCAATGCAAGTACAGTGGGGTATGCTGTAACGAACGGATCCTACTACGAATATTCCTATAACGAACGGTTTTACCTATAAAATTGAGAATGCTATAACGAACGAAACTCCTACAACGAACATTATTTAATTTTTTTTTTTTTTTTTTACAAATTTATTGCTTTTTTATTACAAGTATTAATGATATTCTTTATTTCAGGGGTTTAGATGCATATTTATGCAATTTTTTACAATTTTTATAATTTTATATTATATTTTTCAGTGTTAAGTGGTTGTATTTGGGGGCCTGGAACGGATTAATCCTATAACGAACGAATGCTAAAACGAACAAGGTTCTAGAACCAATTAGATTCGTAATAGCATACCCCACTGTACTGTACATGAGTTGCCCAATCCACAATGTCAGTTACAAAATTGAAGAAAAAATCATAAAACAAACCTGCAGCAGTGCATTATATTTTTGCTCCATATCTGAATACTGATCTTGGAGTATTTGATGATTCTGCAGTTGAATTTGTAAAATTTCCATTTGACTAGTCACTGATACCAATTCCTGTGCAAGGGATTCTCGCTGAGCTTCATACCGTGTAACTTCACTTTGCAGGTGATGAATTTCCCCTAAAATTATGAAAATATATGTACAGGGTATGTTCTACTGTATTAATAAACAGTAGTTTACGGCATATTAGACACACGGCCAAATAAGACACACTCCCATTTTATCATGGAGTACAGTATTTAGGAAAAACCTTTTGTGTGTATTTTCCTTCTGTATCCATAGTTTTCTTAAAAACAATATACAAATACAGTACCAGTAAATGTGAGGAATAAATAAAATTAATACCAATAAACAAGTTTGACACAGTCGCCATTTGCATATACAGTACAGTACTGTACTTCTGTACTCCGTTTACCATAGCAACGGCAACGCCACCTCCGCCGATTCCCTAGCACTGCCCCCCCCGCCCCCAGCCAGCTAACTCATGTGCAAGGAAATGTATATTCCTTTTATGTGTTTGCCCTTAGGACAATTATTTCTTTTACTTTTTTCACAATAAGTATGTAGGATAGTGTGTGCATGTATACATGTATCAGTAAAAATATTTGACTTGAAAAACAACATCTTGGCCCAGTAGCCTGGCTACAGAGACAAGTCCAACCTCGCTACAATGCCACCAGCGATGTTAACAGATGTAAATGTGAAAAGAAAGTTATCTGTAAATCTTCATTTGTATCAGGTATTTGTAAATTGAAAAATAAATGTTTCAGGTATGGCATTAATAGAATGTAATGCTTGTAAGAGTTCAGAAATAGTTACAGTGGTCCCTCGGTTAACGAGCACAATTCGTTCCAGAAGGTTGCTCGTTAACCGAAAAACTCGTTAACCGAAACCATTGTTTCAATGGGTTTTTGGGTAATTGGTTCCAGTTTACCGAAAATTGCCTAAAATCAACAAAAAAGGTAGTAAAGTACACTTACTTTGAGGTGTGTATGTAGAAGGCTCCTGGATGATGATGATGATGATGATGGGAATTACAATGGGGGTGGAGGAGAAGGGAGAAGAGAAGGCATTGGGGTGGAAGAAAAGTCACCCCATGGTGCCATTTCACCCATAAAATTTTAGCTCTCTTGGAGGTTATTTTCTTTAAATCAACACTGCACTGCATTATATATTGTCAATATGTAAAATAAATTTAAAATTGACCAATAATTTGCTTGGAAACACAGAAAAAAAGCATTTAATTGAAGAGAGTCTCAAGCAAGATGTTACCTCCACTGAAAAGACACAGAGACTGACGCCTGTATGGTGTGTTGACAGGCTGTTTGGCGCGCAAATTACTAGCTTCCTATACTTCAATTATGTTCAATAATTGTTAAAATGACTAAAAAATTTAATATAAAACTTTTAAAATTATTGAATAGTACAAACTTCTTGATATTTACTGTGCCTGCACTCAGCTCAGTCACCCTGCAATATAAGCTTGTAAGAGAAGGGGGGGGGGGAATCTGCCATGGAAACATTGTATTTTCTTCTCACTAATTCTAAATGCTTCCAACTTTGGTTAACACTGAGGTTTTACAAAACAGTTGTCAGTCCAAAAATAGATTTACTAGTAATAAACACACACTCTAATGATACACAGTACAGTATATCTACATACTATGATGCAAACATTGGATATGTACAAGAGGTAAATATCTCACCTTCTCTCTGTCGCAACTGAGATGTGAGAGCATCTACAGTGGCTGTAGTGTTCCCGCGCATAGAATCATATAGAGTTGTAGCCCGGGACCATCCTGACTCAAACACCTCATCCTGTTGTGTACAGTAAAGTTGAAATTCATCAGACAAACTGTTAACTAAAATAATCTTTATATATTACTATCATGCCTGGTACAGTACAAGCCTTACTCATCATTTGTGGTGTGAATTAAGCTATTTCAAAGAGTTTATTTTAAAAAAAACATTTATACTGTGAATGAAATTGTGCATACTGTACTTTTTAGGCACCCAAACATAACCCAAATTCTCTTTAGCAATTAATTTTGCTACAGTAAGAATTCAATCTTTTACAACAATGTTTTGTAATAATCCTTGAGCATTTGTGGGGTACCTCTTTACCTTATTTGGCAGCATATTAGCTGGGTGAGTATCATAGCTGTTTTCATAATGCATTATTTGTTAGAATAATACTACTGGCACTAAATTATAACACCAAAACATAATGGGTTCTGTCATAATGAGTTCAAGGTACTGTAACATTTACAAATTAATAGCATTAATTTCTAAAGGCTGGTGGTGAGCTTGAGGCTCTATGAGACACCAGCAATTAAGTTTGTAGGTAAATATTGTTAAAGACAGAAGCAGCAAGTATATACTTCTATGGAAATTTACATTATTTAACCTAAACCCTCTAGATAACACAGATATATATCTCTCAAGCATCACGACGACCACTTACTCCCCACTGTGAAGAAAAGGATTCCGACAGAGAGCCTGAGACAGAGAGTCGAGACAGAGACGGGGTGGGTGAAGATCGAGGGGTGCTGTCATGACTCTCGGGAGCATCATTTACTAACTGTAATAGTTTCCTCTCTCTGTCTTTTAGCTGGTCTTGGAGAGCAACTGTTTTCTTCTTCTCAGCAGCCACTGCAGTCTTCTCTATCTCAAGTTGTTGCTCCAGACTGTCTCTTTCTCTCTTCACTTCTGCTATCTCCTCAGCAAAGGACATCTTCAGAGCCTCTACCTGAGTTATTTCTCTGCAATTTGAATAAGATGTCAGTGAAGAGTGTACCTAAAATTTAACAGTGTGGTACAGTACACATATTCAATTCATTTAACACACAGTGAGTTGGTTATGCATCTATGGGAGATATTTTCTGAGGGACCTACTATTCTTTTTTTCCAAATCCTAATTTAGACTTCTAGAAATCTTCATCAATTACTTAAAATATTTTGATTGCTAATCTGGGTATGTAATGAACTGTATTTATGAACCTAAAGTAAACTCAGATTGACCAACCTGCTTGGACACATCTTATATAATACTGTATAGGATATTTAGAGACTGTGCAGTATGGAGAGCTGCCATCAAGTAATTACAACTAATACATGCAAGCGTGGAAAACAATTATTAAACTTTGATGAAGATGTCTCATTTATTCTGTATTCAAATAAAGATTTCATTTCTTCATCTTCCAGTGCTGTAATTCTATTCCATGTATACTATAGGCTAGGTTGTGTGGCCTAATAAAGGTAGGGTCTAATGTTAGCTGTACAAAAGTGTTCTGCATTATCATGTCAAGTTGTGTAAGTGGTAGCCCACTCACCTTTTAGAAGTCATGAGGTAAGATTTCATGCTTTTTTTCTTTTTTATCAACCACTCTTTTTCAAACTGTTTTTGGGAGATTCAGATTCACCACTCCTGTTATGATACTCACCATGCATAATTTTCTTACACCTCTATAACCCGGCCACACAACTAAAAAGTGATAGAAGAAATAACAAGCTTGGAAGAGACAAGCTGAAATATGGGTAACTAGTATATTGCTGTATCTGTAGTCTTAACATAAACAACCATCATACACTACAGTATAATGAGGCTCCTCTGTTTTGTAGAAAAATTTGGAATCAATGAACATTCCTTTGACATTGCAACAAACGTATGGTCTTAAGACAAGCATATTCTGCAATATTATCCAAGATAAACACAAGACTAGAGACTGCTAGTGAACAGGAAAGTGATATTTCTTGTGTGAGGAATATTCAAAGGAGAACAATATACAGTGGGGTATGCTATAACGAACGGATCCTACTACGAATATTCCTATAACGAACGGTTTTACCTATAAAATTGAGAATGCTATAACGAACGCAACTCCTACAACGAACGCGGATGAATACGAGACTATTTCGCCTGGCGCATGAATATTGTTGTACCGCGACCCACAACAAGAGCGTCAGGCGCCATCTTTGTCTCATTGTGTAGCCAGTGCACCACTGTTATTGTTGAAATTTCGTCTTTTGATGTGGAAATTCGCGTTATTTGTATAACTATTTTGTTATGCAAGTATACATTTGTAACAATGAGTCGTCCAAAGCGAGTGAGAAAGCTAATAACCCTTGAAACTAAGAAAGAAATTATAAAGAAACGTGAGAATGGAAGAAGCATTGCGAAACTTTGTGATGAGTATGGGATGGCTAAATCGACTATATGTACGATTTTGAAGAATAAAGAGGAGTTAAAAACTGTGCAAGTGGCTAAGGGAATCTTTAGACTTAGCAAAGCAAAGTGTAATGTGATTGAAGAGATGGAAAATTTACTCTTAGTGTGGATAAAGGAGAAAGAAATGGCAGGTGGTAACATTAGTGAAGCTATAATTTGTGAGAAGGCCAGACAATTGTTTGAGGACCTTAAAGCCAAGACTCCCAGTGGAAGTGATAGTGATGTGCCGGTGTTTAGGGGTACCTGCATGCTGAATAACACTAAGGTAAGATAAAGTACGGTATTTTTTACATTTTCCACAGAATTTTTTCAGTGTTAAGTGGTTGTATTTGGGGGCCTGGAACGGATTAATCCTATAACGAACGAATGCTATAACGAACGAGGTTCTGGAACCAATTACGTTCGTTATAGCATACCCCACTGTACACTATTTTTATAAAAAGTTAGCTCAACCCTTTGATTCCCCCCCCCACCCATCATATCAACTTGTCATCATGGATCGATCACATTATTAAAAACTACCAAGACAAGTTAGTTCATAAGTACTGTATATTGTAGTACAGTACATTAAACAACGATATCTGTACTGTAGTTTAAAATAAATGAAACAAATTTTCAACTTAGATGCTTATACTGTATATCTAAAGAGAAGGGATTCAGTGTAAGAAATGAACATTGTAACTGCGACCGATACTAATATTTAAAAAAATATACATTTTGTGCCGACCAAGAAAATACTCTGATTTTTCACAGAACGGCACACACTGGACCCCCTTTTCAACATTTGTCCAAGTTATTGGGATTTTACTGCACAATTCCTAGTATACTGTATACTGTAATGCAAGGAATCAATACTGTTACTCACTTTGTGCGTGTTTCTGCCAGAGATTCCATTTTTGTTATTGCCATGTCAAGCTGAGATGATAACTTGCTGTTTTCTGCCCGTAAGCTTGTCACCTGGAAATATTATTAGTGTAATCAAATATATAAGTTCATTCTATTCTTATCTGATGACTCAAAATTACATTATGAATGTGATTTGGTCAACAGAACGGCAATATGATAAAGACAAAATTCTCTATTAGTAAAAAGTTTTGCCTCATTTATGTCTTGTACTTCATCATCAGTCAGTATCCTCATGGGTAACATAAAGTTGTGGTTGACTATTGTTGCACCAACTGAGAGGGGCAGATTTTCTTTTCTCTCATTATCACATAACTTGTACAGTAGTGTACTGTACCCATATTACAACTATAGATGGTTGTAAAAAATTTATTTTCAAACTTCCCATTATCCATCAAAGACAGCTTATGAAACTGGACATCTGTACCACTTCACAGTTACCCATATTAAAATCTGCTAAGTACTGTACAGTAGTTTCACCATTCTTCACACCAAGGATTAGTGATCATTTATTATACACTTTCATGAATTTAAAACACGTGTAAAGAGTTAAAAAAAAATTTAATTTAACTTTCTCCTTTTACAAGTATTCTTTTTTTTCCTTTTTTGCACTTCTCTTGTTGCATCCACATACAAAGGGCCACTGGTTGGAGGATGCACCACACACACAGTAATGTCCTTGAAGACTGGCCAACATCAGTACACACTTAACACAAGATAATTTAATCTACAGTGACATCATAGAGCCAGGAGCCAGACAATGGTAAATTATTTTTGTTGGTCTTGGCAAAGTGGTCAACATATTATCCATCTTTTTCTGGATATTCTGGAATGATTCTCTTTTGTGCCACTTCTTACTTGGAAGTCCATCAGTATCAGCTTGATATCTTTGGCCAAAGATAGATGAAGCCTTGCAAAACAAAGTATTTGTTAGGTGATAAATATAAAATGCACTCATGAGACAGATAGAATGGTGGAACTGGCATAAATAAAACACTGACTGCATGAGTGTGCTCAAGCAGTTAGCTTGTGTAATGCATTGCAGTGCATTTACCCCCAGATACAAGTAAAAAAAAATTTGAGGCCACAGCAAATTATTGAAAGAATATAAATCTAAATCTTGAAGATCCGTGAATTGTAAAGGTGAAAATTCCTTACCTGGGTTTGAAGTACAGCTGAACTTGCTGCTAATTCAGAGTAATGTTCACGAGCAACTCTTTCCTTTTCACTGCTTGATGCTACTGTCATTTGTGCCTCATCTGCATAAAATTATGCTTCAGTTATTATCAAGTCCAAAAATATAAAATACATCTGAAAATACATTTTTCTGGTGGACCCTCCACCCAAATGATCCCTCATAAAGCAAACTACCATCCAGTGTCCTCACACAACTCTAATTATTCAGCCAAGGTTGATATTTTAACCTAAATATTGTAGGTACTGTACATCAATCATCCTTCCCTCCCCATCAAATTCATTTCTCCAAAATGGGGATATCTGGTGCATCAGCTGTCATCTTATGTCAAGAGGACTGTTAGTAGCCATGTGCTGTTGTACAGTAAGTCCTCATTTAACGTTGCCCCCGATAACATTGTTTCGATATAACGTCGCTACTTTTTAGATAGCAATAATTCGGTTAATGTCCCGACGATTCAATATAACGTCGTTTTTAGCGTTGTCACGGACTATTTTTTACGGCACATCACCCTCTCTCGTCTTGGCACGCTACCTCTCACTCGCGGAACGTCACAGCGTCCCCAAGCGGCGACAGTCTTTGTTAGGCTTCCACAGCGTTTCTTGCGTGTTTAAGTGTTTTTGCTCTTAATACTGTACTCTAACAATTCTAAATGGTTTCCAAGCGCCCATCAAGTGCTACTGATGCTAGTGTTGTGAAGAAGCAACAGAAGACCATTAGCTTTGCTACGAAAATAGAGGCTTTAAACCGGGAGGAGGAGCCACCCGCCGGGTCTCAGTGACTCGCCACCCTCCTCCTCCGCTCCACTACCCACCACACACTTGCTCCACCACCTCCATCCATCGGTGAGTACAATAAAAAATGATTTAGTTTATATATATATATATATATATATATATATATATATATATATATATATATATATATATATATATATATATATATATATATATATATATATATATATATATATATATATATATATATATATATATATATATATATATATATATATATATATATATATATATATACCATTTTCTATAAAAATACCATTGAATTTCTGTATATGTAATGTATTTCATGGGGCAAAGGGAGGCTCAGGAACATAACGTTGTTTCCGTTAACGTTGAGGTTTTCAGGAACTGAACCACGACGTTAAGCGAAGACTTACTGTATTAGTAATCAGCACACTGTGTCAAAAGCTATACAGTACCTTGGAAGTGACACTAAACAATCAATATATAAACCTCCAATCCTTATGGGCTTAAAATGGATTACGCTCACCCAAGTCTTTCCTCAATAATAAAAACATAACTAAGAGTAAGAAGCACTGAACATTAGCTTACTTAAACGGCGAGTTAGAGTTGTCTCCAAAGATTCCCATGTGGCTTGTTGGGAAGAGTGGGTAGACTGCAGATTTTCCATCTGACGTAGAAGAGGTCTTGTGGCAGCACTTACAGCTCCTGAAAGTTCCTCTGCTCGAGCTTCAGTTTCTGAGACTCTCTGCTGTAACTCACTGATATCTGAGCGTAGTTGGCGTTCTTTCCTGTTGGTAAAAAATAAATAAAACGATAAAACAAATTTCATGAAAAAATACTTAACAGAACTTAATCTCCACAAAACTATGGTTTTGTAGATCATATTCTGTGTGTGAGAGTGTGGAAGATTGTTATGTAGGGAGAGGGGCTGACCCAGCAGTACCACCACTACCTCTCCACTTCAACATTGGAGGAAAATCATTGGAAGGATTCTAAATAAAACTAATTCCCTTAACTAGAGCTAAGGGAATGTAATTACTGTAGTTTAGGTTAAGTCTCAGGGTCAGTTTTTATTTGATTTTTGGAAATTAGCTGGTCAACCTAGTACAGTATATGTATTTATGTATTTTTACATCTTGAGTTACAATAAATATTCATCATATGAGCAATTGAGAATGTGGACTCAGGTTAGCCTGCAATCAAGTGCTTCCCAGGTGCAAATGAAAACATCTTGTAACTAGAGACTCAGCTTGTTAACACTTCTGATCATATTTAATAACACGCTTTCTCAATGCTACACTTGAAGTACCTGTACAGGTATACTGTAATGAAATTCAGAGTAAAATTCTAATAGCGCAAAAAAAAAAAAGATGAGATGTGATCATGGCTGTCACCCAAAGGTAGTTATGACTTAAATATTCCAAAGTGAGTGAGTGGTCATGGTGGTCTTGTCACCTTGCTACACACACTGCAGTCTTTTTTTTTTTTTTTTTTTTTTATACAGGAATAGCCCACCCGGACAGGTCATCGACCCACAATGGGGCCTGAGGGTCGAAAAAAAATAAGAGTAAAAATAAATTAAAAATACATTGTGGCAAAGAGAAAGGGGAGAGGGATTATCAATTAAAGGAGGAGAGTTAATAAGACGAAATGCCTTTGATTCCACCCTATCTAACAGTTGGAGAGAAGAAGAGCCACCCTAGATATGAGAGCACTACCTATACTGAAATTTTGAACAAAATCCATTTTTTGGCCGAAAATGACAAAAATTGTAA